CCCGAGCACCAGCAGCTCATCGCTGGCCAAGGCCGCGATGGCCAAGAGAAGGCCCAGCCTCTGCCGAGCTCAACGAGTCACTGTGTTTCACAGGGATCCTTACAGATCCATTAGCGAATGGCCTTAGCGAATAGCCATAGAGTCTTGAAATCATAGGTAGCCTTTTGAAAAAATAGATGGGTTTCCCTGGGAAATGGAATAAACCCCATCTACACCGGCCCTCTACAAAAATCCTTTCATTATACACCTGAACATTGCCTTGTCAATGGTGGTTTCCCCTTATGTTGGTGGCAAAAGCAACATGTTTCAAATGGTTGCAAAATGTATCTTTCAAGGAGCCCTGTCTCACATTTAGTCTACCTGGGTGTTTTGTTTTAAGGGTGTTTGTCTAGGCCCTCCAGATTTGAGGGGTTTCTCTGTAGTCTATCTTAGTAGGGGAACCTGGAACCCTCCCCCAAAGCCTGACTCTGCCGAGTTCAAACCTCCAATGGGCCAGGTAGAGCCCCAACTACCAACGCCGTGTATCAGCTCCCTACAAATTGGTACCTCCAATTGGGGAACCTAGTTGTCAATTGCCATAGCAAGGGGAACATGAAACCCACCAGAGGAGCCTTCTTAAACGATCCTGGTCTTCCAGGAGCCCCGGGTTCCGTTTTGTATGCACCCTCTAAAAGGTGGTCAGGGGAAAACCAATGTGACTTTGAGAGCCCCGAATTTGTAGTCACATTAAGGGACTCAGTGGGGGACGCAAAAGAATGGTTTGCCATTCGTGACTCGCAGGCTTGGTGGTTCCCAGGCATCCGCTTCCTTAGGTGTTTGCATGCTTTGTGGGTTTAGTGGATTCAACCCACTAAAAGTTAATTAAGCTTTTAGCAGGGAATCACCATCCATCACCATCCTACGGGAATTCCGACCGGTGGCTCCCAAAGGCTCCCTCTGACGCAAACTTGGATACCCCTAACTCAGCTCGGGAATTTTTCAACCACTAGCTATCCTATGGTTGTGAGGGGCCCCCCCAAAGAGGGGACCCGCTGGAAATGGTCATTTCTAGTAGGAACCCTCTTCGCTCTTATCAAGAACCCTATCAGCCCCTGGACCTATTCGAATTGGCTGCAGTTTGGATGTCTTGCTGGCTACTTGTAGTTTTGCCCCCTTTTGCCCAAAGGGGAACCATTTGCTAGGTCCTCGATTAGAGAGGTTAGAAGAAGGGTGCCCGATTTTTGTTCTGTCGTCTATTTTAGTAGGGGAACCCTCCCCAAGAAAAGGGGTGAGAAAGGGCACTACTGGGGACCTAGTTTGACATGGAGAAACAAGGGGCCCCCCACACAATCACTGGAATATCTCGGCTCACGTGGAATCTAGGTACCTCGATCTTTCCACTCGTTGATTTAGACTTGCCCCTACCAGAAGTTTAGATTTATCTGGGCGGGGATATTATCACCGACTGGACCTGACCCAATAGCAACCAAGGAGAACATGAAATCCAAACAAGGAACCCCGGTCAGGTTTGGCAACGTGGGGACTTCTGTAGGGTTGGTACTTCCATGTTTGTCTTTTGCAGTACGGGCACAGGGGTAGACCGTTTGCCCCTGAAAGCACATCAAAGGAAACAGCATTGCCGAAGTCCATTTTGGGGGGGTCCTTTGAGACAAAAGCTTCAGTGTTCAGACCGGTGGGTGTGCCCCGTTAGCCGCTTGAGGTGAAACGCCTTCCATTTGCGAAAATTTAATTATCGCCCCCTGTTGTTTTTACAGGGAATCCATCACGAGAAATGGCTTTTTCCTGCAAACTTCGGCCCTGATATCGTTGTTCAATGTGACCCTGAATTGGCAACCACCCCACCCACCCCACCCAACCCCACCCATCCCCCCCTCCCCCCCCCCCCCTCCCCGCCCCTCCCTCCCCCCTCCCGATTCCTTCACTGTAAAGGAGGCTTCTGTTCACCCACCATCAGCATAAGAAATCCCAGGTTCGCTGGTTGTGATGGCGACCCCTTCAGCCGGCCCCATCGTTTCATTGTCAAAGACACCTCTGTTCACTGGTAGGTTAAAGGGAAAACAACCAGTTTCTGTGACTCCCAGTCAAAATAAAGACAAACTCGGTCTGTGTTTTGCTGAGGGAACCCTTTTGAGGTTGCTTTAAAGAAGCACTAGCACAAATACACAAGCTTAGTAAGTAGGTTCCAACCAGCTACACAAGTTCCAACCACGGTTCCAACCCACATGACGTTGGTTGAAGATCCAAGACTTCCATTTGCTTAAGGTCCTCTAGAAAATAATATCCCAGATTTTGGTTGTTACTTCCCAGATAACCATGCTTGTTACTTCCCAGATTCTTGGTTGCTGCTGACCCCGCTGCAAAAAGTTGAGCTTTTTGCGGGCTTCATTGAAAAATGCTTGGTTAAGGAGTTTTCCCAAACACTTGAAGTAAAGATCCAACCCAATAGCAGTCAAAATGCTAAGTTCTAGGTCCTCCAGTAGAGAGGTTAGAATAAGGGTACCCTTCTTTCTGTTGTCCACTTTAGTAGGGGAACCCTCCCAACAAAAAAGGGGGTGAGAAAGGGCACCTAGCTGGGGGACCTAGACAAGCTTAATAACTTTTAGTGGGTTGAATCCACTAACCAACAGGGGAAAAAATAGAATAAACTTAAACAAATGGAAGGTCAAGAAACTAAATTGCTTGAAGGCACTCAGTGTGAAACCACGCGGAACGCGCCCCACGCGTTTCGTCTTTCGGCCGAGATGCATCGCCACCGCAGCAGACATCCGCAGCAACCGCGCCCTCTGGTCCGGTCGCCGGTCGACCACGTAGCCCACCTCACCAAAAAACGCAAAAACGGGACAGGAATCCTGGATTCTTCGGGAAATCCCTTGTTTTTGCTGGGATTCTTCGAGAAATCCCTGTTTTTTGCTGGGATTATTTGGGAAATCCCTGTTTTTTGCTGGGATTCTTCGGGAAATCCATGTCTTTTTTCTGGGATTCTTCGGGAAATCCCTGACTTGTTGCTGGGATTCTTCGGGAAATCCTTGACTTGTTGGTGGGATTCTTAGGGAAATCCCTGTTCTTTGCTGGGATTCTTCGGGAAATCCCTGTTTTGGTGGGAGTCCATGCCTTTGGATGCCTTTGGTGGATATTTGATGCATGTCCTTGTTTGCTGGTCTCAAGTTGGGATGGGTGGCCGTTCAACTCCAACCCCAGGATGTCTATCTTGCTGTTTCTCAGCGGGCGAATAGAGGTGGATTGACCCCTCAGATGCCCCGTGGATTTTCATGAGAAAAAACCTGTTTTTGTTGTTTGAGTTTAAAGGAATTGGAAACCTTCCCCCCCAAAAAAAAAAATGAAAAAAGGGAAGCACCCCACTGGGCAACAGAGCCTATAAGCCATCCGTTCTTCGTGGATTCCTTGAAGGGGATCTCCTTCTGGTTCATTCCCAACACCTGGAAGGTCATTCCCTGAGCACCAGCAAGTAGAACATGGTGCCACACATCGCTCTTGGGATAAGCCACAGCTGGTGGTTCAAACTGAACAAAGTTCGTGGGGGCATCCTTAAAGGAACAATTCAAGGAGTTAATGTTAAAACACGGAACCGCACCAGGTCCGTGAGTATGTGTTGCTTTTCTTGTTTAGAACTGAGGCTATAACTTGATACTTGTACGTAAACTTGGAAAGGGATCCGTGTGACTGCCACTCGAAAGGGGTGGCGCTTTGTTCCAACATACGGAATTGTAACCCACCTAGTGGATCCCAGTTCAGCCATACTAGGAATAAACCGGGTGATTTAGATTTTCCTAAGCCACCAAAAAAGCAGCTCATTCTTGAAATACCGCGAACAGGTGCTGGTTCAATGTCCCAAACATGGAACCATCGCGGATGCGGCTTTTCCAAAAGCGAGGTTGTAAGCCAACCGGTCACAGGGCACCAGGGTGTGGATGGCATTGGACCGAGGTCTTTGGATCCAAAAACTCTATAGCAGGCATGGCTCACCCAAACTTCCCCAAACATCCTGCCCTAAGGGTCCCGACTGTTTTTGGGCCCTCCAAATGGGTTGTTTTTTTGAGGGCCCTTGAGGGGTCGGCGTTCTCCATTGGAGGGTCTGGGGGTCTGCATTGAGTCATGACCCTTCGGGTGCTCGACAAAGTTGACAGCCCTACAATTCCGATCGGGGCTGTGCCCGTACCGCAGCCCGGAGTTGCCCTCAACCGGGGTGGCAAAGTTCCCCAGAATTCCATCGATCGGCGTGAAGGGTAGGCGAGATTTCAGTTTCACACAGCTTACGAGGGCAAAAACTACTCCTAGGGTCACCTCCCCCAACGGAGGAAGCTTCCTACAGTTGGGCAAATACAGACGCCAAAGTTGAGAGGGTGCAGCCATCTTGACTACCAGGCACGTCGGGCTAAAGTCAACCGCTCAACCGCTCATCGCTCTCACCCCGTCTGTCTTCAAATCCGAACCAAACCAAACCACCAATTAGGGGGGCGCTGAAAATGAGCCCCTCGAAACGATTTATGGCTGAGCCCTGCTTAAAGTTTACCTTTTAGTGGGTTGAATGGAAATAAACATCTAAGGAACTGGATGGCTGGCAACCACCACGTAAAGATGATGGGGGGATTTCATCATCTTTTCCCCTCAAACCAATGCTTGGAGCCGTGGCGCTGGGAGGGCCACCACCAGGCTGGTCAGCCCCGAGATGCTCTCGGCCATGCCCACCAAGCTGTTGGCCTTGCTCACCTCGATCAGAACGACCCATCGAAGCGAGGCATGCGGAGCTGCAAAAGCTAGGTCCTCCAGTGGAGAGGTTAGAATAGGTGCCCTTTTTTTTCTGCAGTCCCCTCCCCCAACAAAGGGTAAAAGGGCACCACTGGGGGACCTAGAAAACAAAGAACAAGACGAACAAAGAAAAAGAACACCAACAACAAAAAGCAGGAATGGACAATGACAACCAAAGAAAAAACACTGCAGTTTTCAGAAGGTGAGCGAAGTCTGGGCTGACTTATGTCGAGGTTTGAGCCAACCCAAATGGGATCCTCACTTCCTGAGTGGACTACTTCACAGATACAACCAAAATAGCTTAAGAAGTGAGGCTCTTTGGCTTCCCTTGAAAGATCCACCAGGATACCAGTTTTTGTCTGCCCTTTTTCCAGGTGAGGCTTCAGAACCAAAGTGGGGATCGAAAGGATGAAAGTAACGGTGCCAACATGCTCTCTTTCTTTGGGACCTTTGGTAACCTGGTCTTCCTAAGATGCTTTGCCTGTCCCCGCTCGAGTTGCCCAGTTGCCCTTCTGGGCAGTCCCATCGAGCTTCAAACCACAAGGCTGGATCCCTGAAGTTTAACTGGTGGGTTAACTTGGTTGCTCTTGACCCCCCTGCAAAAAGTGAATAACTTTTTGGGGCTTTAGTGGAAAACACCTTTATTTCCCAAAAAGTTAAAGTCTAACAATCCAACCCAATAGCAGTCAAGTTAAGTAGGCACTACGGTGGGTGCCCTAAGCATTAAACAAGTAAATCAACCACACCCAGCCGCAAAACCATGGCTAACTTTTTTTACGGCAGCTTGGGGTAGGTTGGGGTCCAGATTCCCTTAGCTGCAATATTTAAGGCATCCACCGTGTCACTAGGTCCTGCAGTAGAGAGGTTAGAAGGGGAACCCTCCCCTTACCAAAAAAGAGTAAAAGGGCACCGGGGGACCTAGTATATAAACCCTAAACACATTGCTGGGGATGGCCGGCCGGGCACCGCCAAGGAAAAAAGGGATTCCTTAACGCTCTGGATTCTTAGTTGGGGCTCTCCGGACAGACAACCACCACGCTTCCAACCATTCCTTTTGGAATATTTTGGGGGGGCCTTCTTACTGTGGCTGGATGGACGAACTCCATTTCGCACCGCCTAGCCCCCGCGACGATTCGACTCCCCCGCAAACTGAACCAACCAGCACCGGTTCAACCATGGCTTCGTGGGGTCCTCCATTCACAGCCCTCTGGGAGAACTCCGCGGGCTTTTTTTCTCCCCCGTTGCCCTCCCGCCTCCGCTTCGAGCCTCTCACGACCGACTCACGACCGACCCGTCTCTGGGCCCCGCGCGGGGAAGAGGCGCGGCCCCTGGGCCAGCCCGGAGCCCATCAAGAAGAGGTACTTGTCGAAGATGGGGCCCATGGCCTGGATCTGGGACGAAAACGCGACAGAAAAACACGGGCCTGGCCACAAAAACAAACTCGCCGGACGTGCTGCGGATATATATATATATATATATTTATTTGAGCATGTGTTATGTATATATGTATATGTATATGTATGTATATATAGATATATAGATATATATATATATATATATATATCGATATGAATCTACATGTGTACATGACTCTGTTGTGGGTGCCCCTGCCATATATTGCAAGTAAGGGAACAATCGGAAACATGGTTTTCTGGTGTGCTTTGGTTTACTTGCCACGTTGAGTTGGCATCCACCATATTTTCCCTCGAAGGTGTATTAAGACTTGTCTGTCTTGTTTTAGGAGACACCCAACATGTATGATGTTTCTCCCTTTTGGCATCCCTTTTCATCCAAACAAAGGGTAGCCTCGCAAACGGACACACCCACTTAGATGCGTGGAAGAGCACCCTTAGTATCTGCAAGGCTCCTGAGATCCCAAGAAGCCATGCGAAGAATCTCTGTGGTGTTTGCCAGTCTTTCAGCGCTGCCGATATCTCCCCGTGAAAAAGTACGCCACCCGAAAAGGTGATACTTAAAGCCGCCTAAATACTTAAACCACCAAGTAAACCAAGAATCGCCCTCCATGTTTCAACCAAACCAACCAAAAAAGAACACCTGGGCGTGTCTCTTCTTTTGAGGGCACCTGGCTTTTATGGCGTCAAAGGAAAATTAAAAGGACAAATCGACCATGTTGGTGATTTTTTGAGGGCACCCCTCTGTTTTGTGTTTCAAGGAATTTTGGTGGGTCCGATTCCTGAAAACGAACGACAGACCCGCCCATGGTCTCCAGGGGATCTTCTCCAACTGCTGCCCATGCGGCCATTCCCCAGGCCAAGGACAGCAGGAGCTGGAACGCAAACCTACGGCGCTTCTGGTCGGAACCCCTGCCAAAACAAAAGTTTAACTTTTGGTCGGTTCCGTGGAAACTACCAGTGAACCCTTAACTAAAAAAACACAAACTAAGGGGATAGTTGGGAATCACCAAGTAATCTTGACTCGGATAAATGAACCCCTGGTTGATCTTGGTCAATGGTGTCCCGGGATTCATCACTTGTCTCATTTCGGAGTTCATCACTGTTGGATGCAACACCCTGTTCATAGGACACTAATCCGGGGTCAAAATTCCTCCAAAGACTACAGAATACATCCTAAAAACAAGGCATTTGGAGTAGGGGGTGCCAAGGACCTATAAATTGTTAGAATGAGGATGCCGACACCAAATTACCCTCCCCCAGACTAACATGGAAGCCTTGTGGAAGACTTGGTTGAATCACAAAGGCCTGGTGTCCTTTTGATTGCCCGTTAAACCCACCCCAAAAAGGGCACCCTCAAAAAGGCTGCCGACCCATCGGTCTCTTTTTCCAGGAGAAAGCGACCCTTTAGCTCTGTACACGCAGCGCTGTTTAGAGGATTTCTGGCTCCCTGCTTCATGTTAATCATGCCCTTTTTTGGGAGTGCATTTCCCTTTGCAAAGGGTCCCGGAAGCTTCCATGTTAGTCTGGGGGAGGGTAATTTGGTGTTGGCAACCTCATTCTAACAATTTATAGCTTGGCACCCCCTACTCCAAATGCCTTGTTTTTAGGATGTATTCTGTAGTCTTTGGAGGAATTTTGACCCCGGATTAGTGTCATATGAATAGGGTGTTGCATCCAACAGTGATGGTGATTCCCAACTATCCCCTTAGTTTGTGATTTTTCGGTTAAGGGTTCACTGGTAGTTTCCACGGAACCGACCAAAATCAACCTTTGTTGGGAGTGTGTTGGGAAATCCCATGTTTGGGGTTGACTGGCCAGAACAAGTGTTTGCTTTTTGGGCCCGGCCAAGATCAGGCCGAAACTGCAGAAGCCTGGCGAACAGTTTCAAAGTTTGGATCGGCCAAAGCAACCAAACTCGTTTAGGGGGCTGAAAACGGCTTTGCTCTTCCCCAAGAAAAAAACAACTATCACCTTATGCAGGTATGGAAAAGCCACTTGTTTCCAAAAGATCTCTCCGGCTAAAAACGGCCCAAGGCACATGGCTTTCACGTTCTTCCGCCTGAGCTCTTTCTCCTCGCTTCCGTCGCTTCCATTGGCGGCCAGCTCCATTCCAGGCAGCAGCGGCCGCTCGCGTGCGGAGGTCTCCATGGCTCACGGCTCGCTGGGCTCACGGCTCGGCCCAAAGCGGGCGAAGGCCGCGAAGCAACAGCAAGTGGCCAAAACCACAGGCTAGGTCCTCCAGATTTGAGAGGTTTGAATAAGTTGGTACCAACTTGTTTCTTTTTCAGTCAATTTTTGTAGGGGAACCCTCCCAACCAAAAAAGGGTGAGAAAGGGCACTACTGGGGGACCTAGTAGGTGTTCTTTGTAGACTGGTTTCATTCCATTTAGATTGGCCAAAACGTGTACCCACAGCGTTTTGCCATTTTTGCGGAAAAGGAATGATGTCTATAGAAACTTTGGCATTCTCAAAACTCATCTTGTGTTCGCGGGGGGCTGGGCGAGGGAAAAGGTTCCCGTGGGGTGGAAGGGAGCGCGGTGTATGTCATTGCACATGGACAAGACGGGCCAACATGACCCCAATAATTCTTGAAGGGATGCTGGCTCTCTTACACAGGCTACATGGCTGTGGAGTTTTTGTTAGGGGTGCTGGCTTTCTCACACAGCTACATGGCTGTAGTGGACCAACGTGTTTTGCCCTCCTTCGATGCCTCCTTCGTGCCATCGATGCCTTGAGCAGCGTGCCATGAGCCGGGCGCGCGTCGGGCGCGAAGGCGGGGGCTGCTGGCCAAGGTGATCCATCCCAATGGCGAGGCAATCCCATGAGTTGGCTTCTCGGCCCCATGGGAACCCTTTTTGGTTGGAAGCCACCAAAGAAAGGGAAACATAATTGGCGCCACTGAACAACTGAGATGATGAGTTCTGCATAGCTTCCATTTGCGTTTTCGCCCCCTGGAAAAAGATCCTGTAGTGGTGGATTCCTTTTACAACCAAAAGGGGAAAATGAGCATTATTCTTAAACAAATGGAAGCCTATTGATTGAAATTGCTTGAGAAAGAGCGGGCTCCTGGCCCTCCATTTGCTTAAGACCCCTGGAAAACATAAAATATCTCCAATAGTGATGGATTCCGTTTACCTTGCGGCCATATTTTCTGGGTACATATGGCTATCTAGGTTTCCCAGTGGTGCAAGATTTGGTCCACAGTATGACGCTGACACTTCAAAGGATCTTTTGGCATCGGCAGAACCCATTGGCCGCCCTTCCTCCGGGTCTGCTTCTAGGTCCTCCAGATTTGAGAGGTTAGAATAAGTTGGTACCAACTTTGTTCTGTAGTCTATTTGAGTAGGGGAACCCTCACAACCCAAAAAGGGGTGGACCTAGGCCTATTCATTGAAATTGCTTCGGGCTCCGTTGCGTGAATTGGCCGCAAAAAAGTGACGACTTGTTGGCTGCCACCAAATGGTCTGCCCAAACAAGTTCAAGAAAACTTGCCGACGCCCGAACAAGTCCGCAAGCTGGGAGCCCTCGAAAAGGCTTCCAACTAAGAAGTCCCTTCGACCGGCACTTGAAAACTGGGTTGGAAAGCCTGAAGACTTTCACTTTACTCGGTTGCTTTCTGCTCCCCTGCTAAAAGTGAATTACTTTTAGTGGTTTAGTTCGGACCACCCGACTTAGTTGGCAAAAAGTGGTTCAGTCCTAACAGCCCTTGGCAAAATGCACCAAAGTTTCTCGTGAGGTCCACCCCTCGCCCAGTTTTGGCTCGGCTTCTCAGATGATCCAAACCCAGGGGACTCCGATGCGCGAGAAGTCCCGCATGTTCTCCTCTAGGCTGGAAAAATCGGGCCCCGGCAAATATATATATATATATATAGTTATTTATTTATTTATTTATTTATTTATTTTTGCCTGGTGAGTGGAAAACAAAGGGAACCAACCAAAAAAAGATCAAAAAAGCGAAAAGGGGAGCTAATTCTGGGGAAGTGAGGCCAACAAGGGGAGCTAATTCTGGTTGGAAGTGAGGAGCCTGCGAATGTTCCCGCGGATCCCAGCAAAGTTCCCGCAGCATATGTCTGGCTTCCAAAGTTTGCCATGCCTTAGACTTTTGAGCCGGAGGGGCGGGAGGGAAGGAGATGCAAAGCGAGCTTCACTGTTCCTTGGCGGTTCCCGGCAAAGCGTCCCTAGGTGTTGAGGTTTAGCGGGGGTGTCCATTTAACCCAAAGAAAGTTGCTTTTTAGCGGGGGAACTGAGGACAGCGGAGGTTCGTGGCATCTTTCTAGTTGTGGATTTGCTCATGTTAATTCGATTTGTATTGGCGATTTGGCTTCATTCCTTTTTGTAAGTTCATGAGTTGTGTGAAGGGCTGCAACTAGCACAGCTTCTAACTTTTTCACCTTTGGCGGAAGGAGGTGTTGCAGGAAGTGGGTGACATATTCTGAAACGGGGAAAGCAGTGCTTCAGCCACTTCTCCTTTCGTTTCAGCCTGGAATTTCCGGATCGGTTGGTGGACCACTTTGTTCCCCGCGAAGCTTTTTGTCCAAAGAGGAAACTATAGGAACTCCCCCGTAGCTCATTTTATCTGCTTTCCTCTCGTGTCCCTTTAACTCATTCTTGAGTTCTCGGACTTGAGTCACTTCTTGGGAAGACACTTTGAGTGGTAAACAACAAGTTCTCGACTTAGTTAAATCATATGGAGCCGCATGGCTGCACCAAAACAAGGGGGGGAAGCACCCCTTGGTGCCACTGAGCCGGGGTTTCCGCGAAAAGTCCAAGCCGAGCCCAGAGCGAGCGAGCGAGCGAGCGAGCGGTTCGAACCCCGAACCCCCCCCGCGCCGTGTCGGGACCCGCGCGGAGGCCCGAGTCTGGTGCGACCTGCGCCGCGCGGCTGGTGGGACAGAACCTCGGATCCGACTCTGAAGACTCGCGGACTCGCGGCCTCGCGGCTCGGATTCCAAGCTGAAACGGTGACTCAGATGCCCAGTGGATTTCCATGGGGAAAAAAAAGAATCGGCATCCTTTTTTGGTTGACTTAAAAGGGGAACCCTTCCCAAAAAAAAAAGGAAAACAACCAGGGCACCACTGGGCAACTGGGGTGAAGTGCCGTCCGGCTGGTTCCGTTTGTGAGGTCACCCCCCAAAACGGGCGCTTTGGCTTGGTGGTTTGGATTTTGAGCCCGAACCCCTACAGATTATAGAAGGCAAACAGAAAACCCTAACCACTAAACCACCAACATTCAATCAGTGGAAAGCTGAGCTAGGTGAGCTGGGGGTATCCAAATGTAGCCTTGGTCTGCAAGGACATGGTAGCCCCGTTTTCCGGGTTGCACCGAATCTCCTGGAAAACTAATAAGGTACCCTTGCAATTCCATTCAACATGGGGGTGCTTTCTCGACACAAGACCCACGTATTGCCTTATGGATGGCTTATTTGGAGGAAAACGAGGGAGGGGGATTGGGGGGAGGGGGATGGCTCAAATCCAGAATCCTGCCGTAGTGAGCCGCCAACAAGTGAAACCACTAGCATCTAGCATAATGTTGACCCCGGATTAATAAACCCCAGCTTATTACTTGCTTTGGAAGGGAACCCCTCCCGGTTTTGCAGCGGATTGATTCGGATCCCTTTTGTAGAAACACACCCACCGAATCATCTGCCAGGCTGACTCATCCGGGGGTTGACAATGCCTTAGATTCAAAGGGGCAGCCCCTCCCCCAATTCCAACATGTGGGCAACACTGCCGCATAATGTATGAAACGCACAAAGGGGTACCCAAACGGAAAACGTGTCGGCGAACAGTCTGGGATGGAGTCTGGTCACGCGTACTTTTCCATTTAGTTTGGCGCCCAGTTTGGGAACCAAACCCGTAGTGGCTAATGCAAAAAAAAACGCCATTGTTTGCGTAGTTGATGTTCAACTTGGATGTGAAAAACCAGCGTCAGGCAAGTAGGCTACAACCGTGGTTATAACTGGTGTAGCCCCCTCGTACCCATGCATGGTTTTAACCTATAGTTACCAAGTAGGTCGGACATCCAAGAAGGGGGCCCACCCCCCCACCCCCTCCCCCACCCCCTCCCCCACCCCCCGCCCCACCCCCCAACCCATTTCCCAACTCACCTGGGCCCACCCGCCAACAAAATTCCAAAATGGGCTCTGCTGCTTGGTCCGCTTCTGCCAGGCCGCAGTTTCTCCCAGCGAGCCGCGGCGCGGTCCTGGGGAAGCAACTGCCAGGTGACGCCCAGTGGATCTACTAACCCCCGTGCAGCAAAATGACATCTTGAACATGACAGTCTAGATGGTGTGTAAAGGGGAACCCCCCCAAAAAAAAACAAGAAGAAGAAGAAGAAGAAGAAGAAGAAGAAGAAGACAAGTGAATTTAGAATTCGCAAAAATCTGACTTGAGAGCGTCGCTCAGTTATTGCTCAGGGCCCATGGAAACCAAGGAGTCTTCGCAGGATTCCCCCGGGCGGGCCTATTGGGGTGGCCCATCTCACCCGTCATTTCGGAGTCCAAAACGCTGAAGTTGCTGGGCCGTTAAGGAAAAGCAGGGATCCTTACATGAAAAACACCTGAACATTGCAACTTGTACATGGTGGTGTCCAACTTTATTTGGGTGTTGAAAATGAACCATGTTTCAAATGGGTGCAACATGGAGATCCTTTAAGGAGCCCGGAAAAAAGTTGGCCAGTTCTAAGGCCATAACCCCTACAAGGGGACCAAACTCCTTGGTAACCCAATGCAAGGATCTTGCGGATTGCTTTTCAACAGCCCAGAGTCAGGTATAATGAATTACCCAGAACCTTCGTTTTCCGAGAAAAAAAATCGTAAGTTTAAAGATTCGGGGGGGAGGGGGGGTTGTTTCTCATGCATTTGCCCCCAAGAACCACAGGTTCAGCTGCCTCCGGTTCACCACCTATCCAAAACCCCAATGGAATCCAAAACACACGCCGAAAACCACAACCAACCTCCACCCATCTTCACCTGGGTGTGGCTCAAAATTTAAGAGCTAGGGTTACGCAGGTTTTAGTCTTTGGTTCCATTTACCAAGGTGCCATTTTGGGTACCTGTACCTATTTTCGAGCCACAGCCACCTTAAAAACCTGAACCCAAAGAAATGAAGAAGAAACAAAAACGCCTGTGAGGAACCCTGATAGAGGCGAACCCCGTTAGAGGAGTCTCCTTGTGGTTGGTGCCCCCTTCTCACTTCCTGAGTGGATTGCCAAAAACAAGCCCGTTGAACTGCTCATGTACCGCAAAAAAAAAGAGAGTCCCAACCCCAACAAGCAAACAAGTGACTCAAGTCCAAGCCAAAAAGTGACTCAAGTCCAGGAATTCAGGGAGTGAGCCTAAAAGAAAAGGGCAGGTGTTGAAGTCACCCACCCGCTCCAACCCCCGACAGCCGTAGGCCTTGCTCAGCAGCGGCTCCACTGATCCGCCATGGGAGGGGTCCGCGCAGAACTGCAAGGCGTCCGCAAAGGCAAAGCGCAGCGCCTCTGTTCGATCTGTGGCTCTCGCCCATTTTCCAGGGGGCACCGGGCGGTTGTTGGTATCGGAGACCAACAAGAAAACCATACACAGTTTGATGGGACAAACTTGCTTTTGGTGTTTTCAAGAGAAAGGGGAAACCTATTTTTGCAACCAACAGCTAAAAGCTTTGGATTTGGTCTAGGCAGCTCTGGTCGTTTGGGGCAGCTCTCAGGGAGGGTTCCAAGAGGTTGGGGTTCCAGGCAAGGGATATCACTTGGGCCACCCAGCTGGCTCCGTGGATTAGCCCCAACTTCCGCTGAGAAACTTGCACTGTTTGCCACATTTTCGTGGCCGTGCCCCGGAAAGCACTCAGGGCAAAAGTCATCCAAGAAGCTTTCCTTTGGCCAAAGCCAAAATTCAGTTGCCCAAAACACCTGAAACTAAAAGGTTCGCCTTTTGGTGCCATGCCTAAAACTGGACCAGAATGGGGAAACTAAAAGGTCAAAAGATCGGCTTTGAACAACTGAGACAACAAAACGGGGCGCCAACTGCAAACCAAGGACCGCCTCCCCCCCCACCCCTTCCCCCCCTCCCCCACCCCTTCCCCCCCCCCACCCCTCCCCCCTTCCCCCCACTCCCCCCCCCACCCCTCCCCCCAACCCCTTCCCCCTCCCCCCGTCTTCCCCCCGGCTTCCGTCCCGCGGCGCCTCCGCCTGCGCGTGCAGCGCCGCAGCGCTCTGCCGCGGGAAGGGCGGCAGCCGCTCCAAGAGGTTCAGCGCCATCAAGGCCTCGGCGAGCCGAACGATGCCGCTGCAGACCAATAGATGTATATATAGATGTAGATATATACATAGACATAACATAAGTACAAATATACAAATATCTAACATTCCTTATATTTATATGATGTATACATGTATATATATATAATATCTACATATATATATATATATACATATCCATATAATAGATATTTGGGTGTGTCTTGTTTAGACCCCCCTTAAAAAAGTATACGGTGGTGTTCCTCTTGGTTTCTCTTCAAAGCCAACCCAAACAAGGGGTACCCTCAAAAAATGACACCCCCTTATATATATATATATGTATATGTTCATGAATATAGATTTTGAATATGTTGTGTAGGGTGCATGTGGGTGTATGTATATCAATATATATATATATATATGGGGACTGGGCAGAAATGACCATTAACTTGGTGAACGCTCAACCGAAAACCTGGGGTTTAGGTATTTTCTTTGATCATCAATTAAGTCAAGGGCAAACATGTTGCCAAAACTTTGCCCCATCTCACTTCTCATTGGATTGGCCAGAACTTTTGTCCCCGATTTTCTGTCCAACATGGCAAGCCCCCTTCACTCAGTGTCGACTTTTTCGGGTCCGATGTCTTGTTCACTACGATGTCCTTACAGCACTCCTGGCAGCTCCCGTGCGGCTCCCTTCCAACTACTCTAATTGTTGCTACCAAAATGGTAACCAAACCCAAACTAGGTCCTCCAGTGGAGAGGTTAGAACAAGGGTACCAACTTTCTTCCTGTCCACCAAAAAATGGGTGAGAAAGGGCACTACTGGGGGACCTGGCAAAAAGTGACTACAGAACTCAAGCAGTAACGTCTTTTGTGTCGGGTCCGATGTCCAGCTCGCGGGTCGGAAGAATCGCAATTTCGCCGACGAGGCCCGAGGCGCCGTGACGCCCTGCGTGGGTGGTGGGCACTCCCAGAGCCGCAGGCGGTTTCGGTAGCTGGTGCTCACCTCGTCGCATCGTTGGATGATTTGGGCGTCACTCTCTCACTCCCAATCGAGTGGATGGCAGTGAAAAAAGTAGCCAACTTCTGCTTCAAAGTGGTGCAGCATTTTGTCAATCCACAGTATTGTCTCGCAGCAGCTGCATAACAAGAGCAGACTCCTTGCAGCTCCACCCGATGAAAACAACTACTCCCAGGTTCATCCTCCGCATTTTTTCCTACACTTGGGCGCTCTGGTAGGCCGTTCTCATGGCCCAAGGGCAAGCATCAAAAAGAACCTAGCCGGGCACCAGGCCATCCAGTGCTGTGTATAGTTGTCTCCTCTGCCACGGAGGATGGACAGGGGCAAAGGGAACCCAAGATTAACCTGGAAGTCCCAGTCGAGTCACAATCAAAACCCGGTAGTAAAATGGTCGTAATCCCAGAACCATGTAAAGAATTAAGAAGGCGGCTAGCAACCTTCATCTAGCAAGGTGTTGATTGTGGCTCATTTTAGATTCATGAATCCGCCAGGTGCTACCTGCGTGACTTGGGTTGCGAAATTCCAACCCGCGGTCTCATGCTCCCTCTACCCAGCTACCCTCACTTCCTGAGTGGGCTTGGAGAAGATGGTTCAAACCCAAAAAGTGATTAACATCCAAAACGGAACTCGGGATTTGAGTAATCTTGACCGTGGCAAGGCCGGCCAGGACGATGATTTGTAGAGATGTATGCGGCGTGTGTGTGCCTACCTACCATGTCCCAAACCAGACCTCCGATCGCTAGCTCCCAAAGGCTCCCACTTTTTCTTGTTTTTTTCTCGGCACCTTTGGATAGCCCCAGCTCCTTGGCCCTTGTCCAACCACCAGCTAGGCACATGATACCGGAGCACGCCCGCTCTTGAAGCGAGCTTTGTTTGCGAGCAAAACCCCGCTATAAAACCCCAAGATCCCGGCTCAGCACAAGGCTGAATTCCTCCATTAGCTTAAGCCCCCTGCAAAAAACATAAAACGTATTTACACAGTGACAAGTTCCGCTTAAAACCAACAAGGGAAATAATAATAATAATAATAATAATAATAGCATACAAATATTTCCAGCAATGACTGATTTCCTTTAAAACCAACAAGGGGAAATAGTAAAAACTTCCTATGCGAATGAAAGAATCGGAGGAAGCCAACATTATAAAGAGCGAGTCAATACGGTGCGCGACCCAAATGCAAGTCAACCACCCCACACTCAAGAAAACCACGCTGCTGCAAATTACAGGTCACTTTGGGCGGGTTGGGCAAATTCCCATACTTCCACGATTGTTTTACAGTCAACTTGGGGAGGAGGGGGGGGGGGTCCTCGCTCTCTTCCTTGCAACTACTTTGGCGCTGCAGGCCCCCCAGCAAACAGTTCGCGTCGCAATGGTTCGTTCCGTAGCCGGCTAAAAGCGAACTACGAGCGGAGGATTTTTTGACTTTTTGCCGGTTAAAAGGAAATATGTGCAGAATCCAAAAAGTTGAAGTCGAAAGATCCAACCCAATAGCAGTAGAGAATAGGGCATCCGTACCTTTGGCGCCTCGCTCGCTGGACCTTTGCGGGCATAGGCGCCGGCTCCACGAAGAGCGTCTCATGGTTGGCCAGGTCACTTTCCGCCATGAGGCCCCCTGGGCGCAAGGAGCTGCCGATGCTTTGGATGGGTGGCTGTGGGTCAAACCCTCTGGGGATCCCATTTTGGGGTAGGTGAATCCACCACCCATTTTAGAACCAATTTTAGTGGGGATTGGGATGTTCACTGGGGGTACGATTTGGCTTTTGACCCATGGCCAGGTGGCAAGGAGGAATTGGCTCCACTTACCTCCTAGAACCAGGGCTTGGAATCCCGAAGCCAATCCAAACCTATTGGGGGGAAGCTACGATGATGGTGATGGTGATGGTGATGATGGATGGTGGTGATGGTTACTGCAGCGATGATACAATCAGGTTGCTGCAAAGCGCCTTGTTACTGAGTTGCTGTTTCCGCCCCCAAACGCCTTCAGAAACGCATACGCGCCCAGTTTGAAAACAAAAGGATTCCGAGAGCCGACGACCACGGGCTCGTACCAATCAAGTCATCTAAACTGACCATAATGGGAATGCATAATGGGAATGCCGGATTATCAAACCCCTATTAATCAAGTCCTTTGGAGTGTGTCAATTCGGGTTAACGGGTTAACAAATGATTCAGTCATACCCGCAACAAACAGGTGGTTTTCTCATGCACGCAATTGCTCCACTCACGCAATGAATGGATTCTATAACTGTGTCACCCCTGTTTGGGGGGGCGGCATTCCATTTGAGAGGGAATAAGTTTACTCCTTTTGTTGAAACCCGCTCCCTACTTGGATGTAAAAAACCAACATCCGGCAAGTAGGTTATAATCATGGTTCTTTGCATACGAACGTCATTCGAGTCTTTGCATACTGCATGGTTATAACTGGTGTAGCTGGGGTGATCATTCCTTTACAACCACGGTTACAACATACATACCTGACAGTGGTTGACCCCATGTAGTAATCAATCCACCAGCTTCAGTGGCCTTCAGTGGCATCCAGTGGCCTGCTCCCAAGAAAAACCAAAAACAAACATATCCCGCCTCGAGACTTGAGGGCTTTCACGATCTCCGCGGCCACGCGGCCCTTATAGAACCCCTCCTTGCTCAGTTCCGCTTTGGGCCATCCCCTCCGTGAGGGCGAGAGGGGGTGTCCCCAAATCGAATTTACCCTCCTAGATAGGAAGCAAAAACGGGAACGTGCATCCAGTATCCTGAAGGGGGAGGCCTTCAGTCGAGATTCAAAGCCAAAGAACATGGGAAGTTACTCGGAGACAATCCGATACCATGTCCAAACTCGAGGGTCCAGCAGGCTCCCATGAGGCAGTAAGGGGTGGTTCCCCGTTCATCCAAAGTTGGCATTAACTCATGTAGACGACTTACCCTATCTCATATCTTGGCGCGTTCTGAGATAAATGAAGGAACATGAAAAAAGCCCTAGTTCCAATCCGTATGCCCCGAGTGGGACACACCACTAAGGGAAATCAGCAACCATCTGGCACAAAGGTTGAGAATTGATATCTCTCTTCCTGAACTTTCTATATATCAGAAAAATGATATTCCCAAAAAAGCTTACCCTCCCACCAATTAACATGGAACCTGACAGGGAGGTCCTGGAAGACCATGTTCTGTTTAAAGGGCCCCCTGTCAGGTTCCATGTCAATTGCTGGGAAGATCAAGTCCAGGAACGGGAGGAACTGAATCGGTTGAACTCCATCTCGATTGTTTCGCAAAACGCACAAAGGATACCGCGCTGCATATTTCCCTGATATCAACCAAAAGGAGTCCTTGGGGCTGACACAAGCGTTCCCAACATTCCGCTTTGGCAAATCAATGTTGGTTTTCCCTCACTTAACATTAGGTTGGACATATCGTTGGAACCCATTCATGAAGGCACTATCCATTCGTACAACCACTTCCAAAGGATAAGTGCGGTTCCTACCTGGTCTTCTGGTAAGGCCTATGCAAACCAACCTGGAGCCAAAAGTCAGTGGCTTTGAGCACGATATCCTGCCATGTCTCGATCCAATGCCAACAGTAGCTCCGAGAGGCTCCCTCTTCGAAAAGCAACTCAGTTCCTGAGTGGATGGGCAAAACACAAATCAGAGTTGTTTATTTACCACCAAAATGGCCTTCTATTTACCAACAAAATGATCCAAAGCCAAAAGTGACTAAAGTCCGAGTCCCGGAACTCAAAAAATCAGGCAACTTCTTCCATCTGTTGTTGTTTTCCGCCCCTGAAACAATATGACCAGTAGTGAAATCAACTCCCTTTCAATCCAGCAGGGGAAAATAGCCAAACATTCATAGGTGTCCTTATTGGGAAAATAGATGGCCCTGGTAGTTGGTTGAACCACCAGGTAAACCAGGAATCGCCCTCTATTTTGCAACCACATCAACCAACACCTATGCAAACATTCACTTCATTTCCTGGTTGCGGTTGACCCCCCTGCAAAAAGTTAATCCGATTCTGTTTGGGGCTTCGTGGAAAACACCTTTTGGTTTCAACCAAAAAGTCTTCCAGTCTAAACATCCGTTACCCAACTGCAAACATAAATCCTTCTGTTTGCTGAAGTCCCCTGGAAGAATGGAAGAATGGAACATTTCAGCACACGGAAGAATGTGGGTACCCCCAGCTGCCTGTCAGACCCTTCGCCCGCTCTCCCCGCGCTCCTTGGCGCCGTGCTCGCCCAAGAGCCGCAGCGTGGCCGCAAGCTCGGGGTTCCTCGCCGCGCCGAAAATCCGAAGCCGAGTCCGCCTGTGAAACCGCAGTTTGGTCGCGCAAAACATCCTTTAGCGTTGGGGTGGGGTTAGGGCTAAACCCAAAAACCAAAAAATGAGTCCCCGTCTGGGGGGGGGTCTGCAAAACTTTGAGGCTTACCCATCTTTGGATTTGCCCTTTGGCGAACTAAAGTAATTCTGGGCTACGTTGCGCCTGGCTAAGCTTGAAAGCACAAAGTTTAAAGGAGCAACTTTTCTTTTGGCAGGGGGCTCCAGTTTTGAAACTCCCAGACACTCACGTCCTAGAGCAGCTTTCTGTTTGCCCCCAGCCCAGGGAAAATCAGATGATTATTGTCCATAGTGGATCTTGGAACCCTTAGGATCCTGATGGAATTATTCCATTTGAATATGGGGAATTCAACTGAACATACGTCCTATTGAAACACTTCGGAGAAGGCAACTCGGAGTTGCCGGTTCTGCGTGCCTCGCCCCGATCGGACCCTTAGAAAGTGTCATTTTCCCCAACAGCTGAATGCTAAGGGGGGGGTGTCTCTGCCCAGAAATTGGCGGGGCGGTTTCAGGGGTTTCGGCGACTGTTGGGAATGTTTGGGGTGCCAATTCCCCCAAATCGATCGTCACAGAAACTCTGAAAGTCCACTCACTTGCCCAAAAACACCTGGCAATCAACAGGTTACCCTCCCTCCCACGTTGCCATGGCGCCTGACAGAGGGTCTCTTTAGCAGAAACTCATCTTCCAGGTCCCCTCCCACGAATGCGTCGGGAGAAATGTTCACCTTTTGAGGCCATGACCAAGAACGGAACCAATGGGAACACCGCAAAGGTCAGACTTTGGCCGATTCGCTTTGGGCTGAGTCCAGAAGCTTCAAAGCACCAATTGAAGGGAAGCTGAAGGTAGGTTCCATTTGCTGTCTATTTTGACTAAGATCGTGAAAGCAGGGGGCAAATGATGTTGGTCTTTCAAGACAGACTCCCCGAACCCTCCTCACCAACTATTCGTTGAATTGGGCCTGGATTGCTCGTGCACTCGGTTCTGACTCATCGCAGAAATGGGGTGCTATCCCCCTGAAATTCCTCGGAGTGAAGAGGAGCTCCTTAGCTCCCTGATGGTTGCGGGGGCTGTTAGGTTTTTTGTTCGGGAGCCTTTCGGAGCTGCCGAAGGGAGGTCTGGTTCGGGACATGGCCCTTTTTGCTTTCAACTGGGTTCCGGGCGACTTGTTCCTCTTTGGTGCCCTTTAGAGACAGAAGGTCAAGTCCTTTGCGCCTCCTTAGAGATTAGGGGGTGGTTTCCCATTTGCCCTCTACAAGGTACAGGGGTTCAAATCCACAAACCACCAACCAAAACCACAGGTTTCCTGACATCTACAAACATATCCAAAACAAAGCGCGACCTCAAGTGAAATTGGACAAGTGTCTGCACGGTGAGCCCCTTCTAACCCCATCAACTGGATGCTGAGTAGGGGGTCATGGCAACGCCAGGCGGCTTCCAATGTTCTCTATCCTTCCAAAATCATGGACGCGTTTTAAACCACCAAAAGATTCAAATCTGCGCACTTCCTGAGTGGATGGGCAAAAAAAGGCAACCACACTTTCTATTGCCACTATAATGGTCCAACCCCACAAAGTGTAAAGTCCGAAGCTTCGTGGACCTCGGGGACTGACCTCACCCAAGCGCCTGAAGATCTCCCCGGCTTTGGGCGTCGTGCCCTTCGGCAGGTAGGGGCTGGCTCGGCCGCTGCCGGCCGCGGCCGCCGAGCGCAGCACTCCCTGGTTTCAAAGGGAACGCGCGAGGGAACATGCAGGAAAAAAACGCATGTGTGATGTGCCAACCCTGGGTTCCCCACTTTTCCCCTGAAAAGACATTGCCAGGCCAAATGCAAACTCCAGGGCTCACCCCACCCCAGTTACATTTTTCGGGGAGCTGGTGGGACTTACAGAACTCTGAAGGGTACCTTCGCGCCGGGGATCTGGAGGGACATGAGACCTCCAACCAGCTGGCTCGCCTAGGGGCACTGCCGTGAAACAGCGGAGCAACGGAGCCCTCTTTAACCTTTTCTTGACACACAACTCTTGTGTTCTCCCACTCTTACCCCTTAAAACTCCAAGCCCTGGCGAAGTTAATCCTTTACAGACATATAGCCCATGTTACCCAGAAAGTTGAAAAGTTGTGTTTTTAAGAGGTAAGCACTGATTCAAAGACCTCTCCCAGCCCCCATATGATGGAGGGGTCTATTTTTGCAACCTGGCTCAAGGTATTGGTTTTTAGGGTAGTCCGGAAAATTTGCTTTAAGTGTCATATCCCCCCTCCCCCAAACCCATGTAGGGGGTGGGGATGCCCCCGTTTGGTGCACACTTAGTTTCTACTCCTTCTTTTCGGGTTCTCTGCAATTGACCCTACCCCCTACTCTAAGCAGCCCTTGTTTTAGGTCCACAGAATAATCAAGAAAAAGCTAGCACATTTGGAGTAGAGGGCACTTGGATGTTCAACCCACCTTATAACCATTGCCATAACTTGGGCAACTGCTTTAGCCCATTCCTTGCCATGGTCTCACTTGCTCACTGGCCAAACAAAGTCCACAACCCAAACTTCCCTACAACAACGGGTGTCCCATGTTTTCAGGGTATTGCGTCAAATCAAGGAGGTGCTCCATGGGTTAAAACACGGTGTTCCGCAATACTACTCTAAAACAAGGCATTGCTTGGAGCACCCTCCCACCCAACATGGAAGTGCACAGACCCCCTTTCCAAGAGAGGAAAGTCGTCTTTCTACCGACAGATCTCTGAACTTCCAGGTTCGTTGGTGGGAGGCTAGGGGCAGAGGGTCCCATGGCATGGGGTCCTCGCTGTCGGCCCAGACGTGCGCCGCGCCCGGCGCCACGGGAAAGCCCTGCTCCGCCAGCTCCACGGCGGGGGCCAAGGCCTGCCTGGGACCACGCTCCGCTGAGACCGGTGGATCTAAATCGCATGCGTCCTGCTTCCGTATACATATGGTTCATATGTAGAAACATGTACATATATGTATGTATATATATATATATATATCTAACTCTCTCCCTCTCTCTCTCTCTCGTATTTATATCATACATAAATACACACACAAATATATATATATATATATATATGTGTGTGGGTGTGTTTAGTTAGTGTGTAATTTCTTTGTGCTACCACATCCTTCTTCCATCTAGCCTTTGTGTAAAAAAACACATTAGGACTGTTTTATATATATATATACATATACCCAAGTTTGCCCAGATCTTTTTTGAGGGAGCCCCGTTTGTTACTTGCCGGAGGGGTCCCCTAATCTAAGACTTTCAGTTGGGTGTCTCTTTTTGAAGGTGCCTGGTTTGGTGTCCAAGGAAGCCGTTTTTTTTTTGGGGTGGGGGGTCCCCAAACAGACTCACCCAGTTGGGTTGCTCCAGCCCTCTTGGTCCATCTTACGATTCGGTCGACAACAAGCAATGAAAGGGGGCCTGGTGCGGCCAGGCTGCCAGGTTGGGGTTTCCTCTAAACGGGGCTTGTTGGATTGTTTAAATATTTGTGGGAGGTGGTTAGTGGGAGGTTGTTTCAATATGTGTGGTTTCAACATGTTTCTGGTTCTGTGTTGGTTGTTCAAATGTTTGTGGCTACGTTACATGTTTCAGCAACCTGGTTGACCCAGCCCTCCCTCTCATGAGCTTGAAGGGCTTCTCGAGCTGTGGGGCCTGTGGTGAAACGGAATGCATATCAGCACATGTACATCTCTGTGTGTGTGCCATGTACGGCTCCATTTTGTGTTCATGTGTGCTTGGTCTGGCAGATTTATTGAGGATGTTTGTACCTGAGAATTGCACGGTTTCAAGCACAGGACACATCTGGTGGGAAAAACGTAAACAAGGAACACCCGAACGAGGAAACTGGCGATGTTTCGAGCATATTTGAAGAAACTTGGTGTTTCTCAAAATTCGGGACCCTCCTCCGGCCTCCGGGTCGGCGTCCTTTTCTCTCTCCAAAACCAATCCAACAGGGCCCGCCCGTTTTATTGGAAACAAGCCCAGGGACCACCACAACTAATTTTTGATCCATGCTTAGTCAACCCAAACCATAAAACTGGAGAACATTCCAGTCTTATCCAACCGCCTCAAGAAAGCGCGCAATCTCAACAGATTGCGAATGGCGACCAACAAATCAGGTTTTTGGGGGTCTCCTGGAGCAACCAGTAAGACATATCAGGGACTGCTACGGTGCCTTCTTTTGGGGGGGGTGCCGCGGCCTCAGCGGCAGGGCCCCCCAGCGCCGGCTGGCCGCGTCCCAGGCGCTGGCCGCCCCCGGCACGGTGACGCACAAGGCGCTGAGCGGCGGCAGCTCGCCCTTGCCTCGCGAGCCGCTCGAACTGTCGAAGCCGGAATCCGCCCATGGACAGTTTTTTTGGGGTTTGGCTTATGAGCTGTTCGGGGTTCAGAAGCTTCCTTCTGAATTCCCCCATTTGCTGAAGTCTCTTGGATGAAAACCAAAAAAAACATATGTCCAGTAGTGACGGATCCCCTTTAAAACCAACAAGGGGGTCTTAAGCAAATTGATGTCCGGGGTTCATAAGCTTCCTTCTGCATAGGCTAGTTTAGAGTGTTGAAGGCTGTCGAGAAGAACCGTCGAAGGCTGAGAGGCACGCCTTCGCAAAATCAGCCCAGGTTGCGAGGTCCATAGGTGCCCGTTTAGGTTGGTTTGGCTAAAAACGGATGAATGTAAACAAAGTTGGACGCTTTCTGCCCATCAACAAAAAGGATGGGAGTTTTAGTTTACCTTTAGGCAACAAAAAGAGGTGCCAACTCCCACCAATCAACATGGAACCTGGACCATCTTTCTTTTCAAGGGACAGGGACCCCCAAACGTCAGGATCTGTCAGGTTCTATGGGGAGGGTATATGCCCATGGTATGAACCGCGTGATGGTATGGAATGTTTGTGGCTAACCACCCCTGGATGTTTATGGGTTATGGAAAGCCAGGCCTCTTTTCGTGTCCAAAACGACCATGGGTTCATGCATGGACCCCCCCCAAAAAAAAAACAGCCTTTGAAGTTGGCGCCGCTCTGCAAAAAGTTCATAGAAGCCAAACAAGGCATCAGCTTCCTTCTACTTGGTGGTTTGGAGCCTGGTGGTTTGGCGGCTAGAGGGGCACAAGTTTTATCATATGGGTGTGGCTTTTTTGTTTTAGTTGGTACCCTTTTCTTGGTTGTTTTAAAGGAACACCAAAAGGAAGAATGAAGCCATTTTGGGGGCTCCCCTCGCTCCTTTGAAAAGAACAACCAGCTTCTTTCTGCCTGTTTGGCGGATCTCCAAACAAGAATTAGAACTGTGATCAGAATGGGGGAGCTATTTTAGAACTACATCGTCCCGGTTTCGGACTACCCCCAAGGTCGATTTAAACCCGCGCCTGCCTTTAAACGACTCAACCCCCCCTGGCTTAAGCCCATGGAAAGACCTTGACAAAACCTGGCCCTTTGCATAAGGTTTTCTTGCTAGTCTAGGTCCTCCAGTAGAGAGGTTAGAATAAGGGTACCCTTTTTTCTGTATTTTTTGTTGGGCTGAACAAACTCAAGCAGTGAAATCGATTCCCGTTCACACGAGCGGGGGAAGATTCAACATCGTCTGAAATGCAAATGGTTGTTTCATTTCCCAGAATCGAGGACCTCTCCAGGCGCTTGCCCTCCTTTTGATGTCCCTTTCCTCACTTCCTCGGATCGAGGGTCCAACCCCCCCCCAAGTTCCAAGTCCGAAACGGAACTCAGGAAGGTCAGCCTATCCCAAAAAAAACATGGTTCCTTCACTTGCAGACCCTGGAACGGGGATCCGGATGCATTACACCTGAGCATTGCCTTGTTTTATGGTGGTGTCCCATTTTTTTTTGGCTGGAAAAAGCCGTGTTTCAAATGGTTGCAAAATGTATCTTTTAAGGAGCCCTGTGGAAGCAACCTCCAAAAGCTCGAAACCGAACTCCAGTGGGTTCACCCCGAAACACAACTTTCCCCCCCCCCCCCCCCGTTTCTCAGCCACAAGTCTTCCCTCTGCGCCGACTCCGCACCCGCGCCCCGACTCCCGACTCCCGACTCCCGACTCCAACCGGCGCTTCGGCGCTTCGCCTGCCACGTCGGGGTGGGCCTTCACGGCCTCCAGGGTCAGCGCTGCCGGTGACCGCCCGCAGCCCTGGAGGCACTCCACCTCAGCGAGCGACCCCCACAGAACCCCTTTTGGTCGTCAAGGGCCCCAAAGCTCTTGGGATTTTGCTGGAGTCCCCGACCCCCCCAAATTTCCCAACGTTGTCAGAAACCCCCAAAGAGGGGAGCTTGCTGGAATCATCAGCTATTAGGGAACCTCACCAACCCCAGTGTATTACATTCGGGGGGTGGGGGCCGCAAAAAAAAGTTCCAAAGTGTTGTCTGACTCCCCACATTTCACCGGGCACACCGCCCAAAATTCAATTCACTGGGGCTGTTTAGTAGGGGGTCCAAAAAAAAAACAGCGAGAGAACCAAAGTCTTCCGTCGGTCGAGTTGGGTGGCTCGTCTTTTTGTTCAGGCGACGGGTACCCTGTTTTTCGACTTGACATCCCTGATTTGATAGAAATCCATTGTTTAGGTGCTGCCGGGGGTCTTTTTGGTCAACATGAGGTGTATGACGTCTATCATCATGGCTGAATTTTGCTTCCAATTGCCCTGCAACCCCATTCTAACAATTTAGGCCCTTGTCTTGCGCTGGGCTGGTCTTTCGCAAGGGGCAGTGGCAGTCAACCCAGGCACCTTTTCATGCTCTCTGGCTCTTGGCTGCAACAATCTCAACCAGACTTGTGGCAGGCTACTTCAGTGGTCAGCTATACCCTGGTTGTAACACAACCGCTGCATACCTGGAGCTTGCCAAACCTCCAGAATGCCGGCCACGAGGGTGGCTGCCGGCCACGAGGGTGTCTGGATTTCTGGTGACTTCCATTGAAACTGCAACTTCATCCACCAAAAGCTACCCTAAAACAAGACATATCTTTACAACCCTTGGCATGGTAGCCAGAAGATGCTTGTTTCTGCCAAGCACATGTAAAAACATGCCAACACCAGTGAACGTATATATATATATATATGTATGTGTGTGTGAATATGCATAAATAAGTAAATAAAACAACAAATAAATAAACAAATCAATAAATATATCAATAAATAAATGAATGAATACATATATATATATATATATATGTGTGTGTGTAGCGACCCCTGTCAACATGTCGACCACTTGTTTGGCTCCTGGCCTTTTTCGTCTTGGCATTGAAGAAGAGCGCAAAGGCATCCCCGCCTCACCAACTCGATCGGTCGCAAGAGGAACGGCAGGGCCCGCTGGACTCGTCTCAGTTGCCTTTTCAGGACCTGGACATGAACCGTGATCACCTTTTGGAACCTTGACTACATATACACCCAAACACCAAAATTACAAGGTCGAAAAAATTGTCAAAAGGTCGGCGTTGGGCAACTGAGCTAAATTAGTCCAGAGGGGAAAAAGAAAACAAGTCACCTACTACATTGAGCACTGCAGGTTCAAACTCGGCCCCGGTTCCTTTCGTAATTCCAATTTTTGAATTCACACTCGAGGCTGTGAATTTTACTTGGATTCTAGCCCTCCGGAACCAGGGCTCGAACTTGAGGGCCTGGAGCTGCACTCTTCCCGCCGAATGGAAAGGCTTCGAGTCGAAGGCCGTAGGCCTTCGGGGGCCCAGCTGTGAACTCAAAAGGCTTGGTGGACGATGAAGGGGAGCAAAAAATCAGAAATTTTAGCAGCTAAGTGGTTGGATTTGTTCCACTAAACCACAATAAGCAAAAATGTAAAAAATGTTTCCCAACAACAACCATGAAGGAGCCGGATGGAACCGGGGTGTTCCTCTTTGTTTTGGCATGCGTTTTTCAACGCTGGTTCCGTTCAAACGGGGTTCAGTCGCTAGATGGAAAGAAACCTGCCTGTGATACCAAGCCAGACATGGAAGAACTGTATTGGCGCATGGCTCGAAGCTTTAGCCAAAAGTTCAAGAGGCAAGCCTCCAAAGAATCAACTAATGTGGGGCTGAGTTCGAGATTTAAACAGGAAGTCTGGACAAAATTGCCAGCCCCTTTGTCCGAGAAAAGAAAACACCCTAGCTCAGTTGGGTCCATTCAAATGACATCCTCAAACTTCTCAAAATGGTGCCGCGACCCAAAAGATCTTGTGTTTTTTAACTCCAACCTCAACCACTCGAACAAGTGGCCGAGTTCAAACCATCCAAGCACTGTGCAGAAGCACTACCGACTGTCCGAGGACTTGGTTGGCATGCAACTGCCAGCCCAAGGGAAGAAGCCACAATGAACTTGTTTCATCTGGGCATGTGTCCAAATAGGAAAACCGACCCCCTAATGTAGCAGCTTTCCTCACTTGCTCAGTGGATGTGCCAACAAGTCGGAACTGTTTGTTTACCACCAAAATGGTCTTCGCACAAAGTGAAGTGCAGGAGTTCAGGAAGTGAGTTTCCTTGTGGCCCATTTCTGAAAAGGATTAGCAACTGAAGAAGCACAAACCCGCTGTTCCTCCATTTGCGTTTTCGCCCCCTGGAAAAAATAAAATATCCCCAGTAGTGAAATCGATTCCCTTTTAAAACCAAAAGGACAACATCAACAAGAGTCTTAGACAAATGGAAGAAAACGAGGCCAAACGAGACCCGGAAGGCGACCCACAAAGGCCAAACGAGACAAACAACTATGGCAAATGGACGTATTCTCTTCCCATGTCCCACCCCCGGGGGCCTTGGGGGAAGAAAAAAGGGTGGCCTCCCTCTTTTCGGCGGTTCACAGGAGAAGGAAGCAACCCACAGGCGTGGTGAAACGGCCAGGGGCCTCCCCCCCTTTTTTTGTTGGGGCTCACTTCCTGAGTTGATTCGCAAAGTAAGAAATCCAATGTACCGCTTCGGTCCAAACCCGAAAGTCTCTAAAGTCTGACTCCCTGTCTGGGGTGACCGCAAATTAATAAACCACAGCTTCTTGATAGCGGGGTGTCCCTGGGATTAGTGGGGAATCAAACCACTTCCACCGGCGCCCCCCTACAACAAAAAATCAGCTGGGGTTGATTGATATGGAGTCAACATAAGGGATAGTCCACAAATATATCAGAAACCATTCCTCAAATGGCCATGGGGAAAAAGGGCAGCCATTGGTTGCTTGCTTAAAAGGGGAACCCTTCCCAACAAAAGGAGGAAAAAAGAAACTGGGCAACCGGGATTCCAAAAATTCCTGGAGCTCCTCCTGACGGCATTTTTCTGTCTATATTGGTAGGGGGTTCCCCCCCTCCCAACCCAAGAAAGACAGGAAAAGGGCACTACCTGGAGTCTCCATGACCCTTTAAAAATAGGTCCATGACCCCATTATTTGGGGTAATGACCCCATTTTTTAAAGGTTATGGAGACTCTAGGTACTGGGGGACCGGCTCCTTAGAGCTCCCATTTCTCCAAGTTCCAGGCCCAGCCCGGTGTTGCAGGGCTCCGTGACGTTCAGCGCCGCCGCCGCCGCCACGCAGGCGTCCGCCGCCGTGCCGCCCTGCTGCAGCACCCGCAGCCCCGCCTGCGGGGCTGCGGCGGATGTTTCGCCGAGGCGCCAAGCCCAGGATGGAAAGTCGGGTCGGTGTAGAAAAAATATATTTGCGCTTTCGCCCCCCGGAAACCATGAATATGTCCAGTAGCGATCGATTCCTTTTAAACCCAACAGGGGATGTTTATTTTTTTGGTTTTAACTTAAACAAATGGAAGAACATGAGGCGAAAGGCTCGGCAGGCGACCCAAAAAGGCCAAACGAGACCAGCGAGAAAAAATAAATAAATGGCACAACAAGGGATAGCCCGAGGCTTTGCCTTGGGCTTTTGGGCGGTCGGTCGATTTTCCGGTGGCTGGTTGCGCTTCTTTGGCTGGTACGAGTTGAAACCAAAAGGATCAAACATCTCTTGTGGGTGTGCTAATGTACGTCTCAGACATCAACCGCCTTTTGAAGCAAAACCCACTCGGCCGCTGCAGAACGCCCGTCACTCGTAAGTCTAAGAGTGGCTAGCCCCGCTTCCTTTTGAGCTATTTTCTTCATCGAGTAGCGCCTTGGAGCGTTCCCCAGCCAGGCGCTGAACGTGGCGACCCGGTTAAAATACCAAAAATCGACCAGCCCGGAATCCGGAATCCCTTGCAGCTTCCTTTAAGTGGATGCCACGCAAATGTCCGCAGAACAAGCAAGTAGACTTCCAAGCCCCGTACCCTCCAGAAGAGAGCTTAGAATAAGTTTGGTACCAACTTTTGTCTGTCGTCTATTTTAGTAGGGGGTTCACCCTCCCAACCAAAAAGGGGGTGAGAAAGAGCGGGCTCCTAGCTGGGGGACCTAGAAAAGATGTACCAAACTGGCACCTTGGTAAATGGAATCAACTGCTAAAACCTGCGGTTTGCCCTGGCGCTTTCATTTTTCGCTGGTGGTCAAAACCAACCCCAAACCAACCCTGCAAGCAAACAAAAAACGCTGAACCCCCGGCCTCAGCCACCCCCCGCCTCCACCCCCCCGTTCCACCGGCGCCTCGCTGGCGAGGGGCTGACTGGTGGCCACCATGCCCCGCTTCCCAAAGACCGGGGCGCGCCGCGAGCGGAACCCGAAGGCCCCCGGCTCCATGGCTCGACAAGCTGCAACTCTTGTGGGGCGTTCCGTGTTGCTTCTTCTTGTTCTTCTTGGCCTGAGGGCGGGAAGAAGTGGAGGTTGGATGTGCAAAGTTGGGATGGTCCGGGCCGTGTATGTGTACAAATAAATAAATAAATAAATAACTATATATATATATGTGTGTGTATGTGCGAAAATATGGGGAGGCAACAGTGCGTGATTGTGCGTGCGTGTCTCTCGACATATGTACATATTATTTTCTCTGAACGCGTGCGTTTGGCCTAGCTCCAGGACCTCAACGTCCTCGAGCCGACCCGCATACGCGAAGACTGGGCATGTTACCTGAAGGACCTGGAAGTTGACGTGGAGTGGTTCCTTTGGCTTCCCTTAGAAAGGCTGGAGGGTCCCCCTTTTTTCTGTCGTCTATTTTAGCCTCCCAACCAAAAAAGGGCAAAAGGGCACTACTGAGGGACCTAGTCAAAATAGCCCCCCCCCAAATCGGTGATGTTCCTTTGGTGTCCCTTTAAACCCCTCAAAGAGGGGGGGGCCGAAAAAGAAGAGCCGCCTCCCCAGTTGAACAACAAATCTGGGCCAGTGATGGCAGCCGGACAAGAAGGCCCTGTTCGGCGAACTTAGTAAGTTGTTGGAAACCTGGCAACTTATAGGTTCCCCTAAGTGGAGTTAACCCTGTCATTGGGTTACAAACTAGGGTGGCTCACCACAAAAAAAGTTGGCCGAATATCCAAGAACAACTCACCAATCCCCATCTTCAGCTTCCCTCTGGGTGGTTTGGATGGGTGGCTTTGGGAACAGGAACCCCTCATTTCCTGTAGCGAACACATAGGAAAGGAACGTGTCCACACCACCAGGCTCCAAACCACTGAGAATTGGGTTTTTTTCCCTGATGCTACCAGGTTTCTTTCAGAAATCCTGATGACCCCCAAAGGTTAGGACGCAGGAACCTTCCTGGGCCATGGGGAAACAAGTCGTTCTGATCTAAGCAACCTGCATTTCCGTGGGCCCCTCTGCAGCTCTGTTGCGTGCAGGCTTCCGCATCCAGCGTGTCCTGCAGCTTTGGAGCTGAAGACTTCGAGGATATCTCAAACTACAAAAACTGGAACTTTAAAGCGCAAGGACCCAAGAGGAGACAAACAAGCAAAGAAACCCACAATCTGCAGGTTGAAACTCGGTGGTTTGAACGGCGAGGCAAACATCAGATTCAGAATGATACAACTCCCCACCTTGCCATGGACTGCGAGAACAAAGAAAAGACACCGCAGGCGGGTTGAACAGGATTCTCGAGGGACCCGGAAGTTTTAGCCAAAACAGTCCCAAACCAAGAAGTCCGTGTTTGGCTAACTTAGAAAGTCGTTGGTAACCTGGTTGTAACCCACATGTTGGTTTTTGTTGAGTGGAGATACCCCTGTCATTGGGCTTACAAGTAGCTGATTTTGATGGTACAAACTGAGGCCAGGCTACCCCCCCCCCCCCCCGCCGCCCGCGGTTTGGTCCTGGAAGTTGTCGCACTCTGCCGTGAGGTCGCCGTGCTCCTTGAACAACTTCTCGCCTCATGGCTCGACGCGCGACGGCGCATAAAGGGGACCCCGGGACGCGGCATTCTTCGGGCAAGCTGTCAATCGGGCCCATACACCAAAGGGTACAATTGTATGTCACGAAAACTAGGTCCTCCAGATTTGAGAGGTTAGAATAAGGGTACCAACTTGTTTCTGTCTATTTTAGTAGGGGAATCCTCCCAACCAAAAAAGGGGCGAGAAAGGGCACTACTGGGGACCTAGAAAAGGTCGGGTTGGAAAGACAGGGACCCTCGGAAACAAGCAGAGACAATGTTCATCGCGGGGATGCCACAACTTCACTTGGAGTGAGAAAACCAAGAGGCGCACAAACACAGGAACCCACACATTCACAAATCCAACCACACAGCCCAAGAAGCAAATCCAACCACACAGCCCAAGAAAGAAAGAAACAAACAAACAAAAACAAGCGAACAGACAAACACAAATGCAAGCGAGCAAGCAGGCAAGCTAAACGATGATGGGGAATCCCACTTCGGCATCATCGAAAAGAACTGCATGGCCTGAAGAGTGGATCCCCACCTAAATGATGTCCACCAAAGGGTTCCTAATTACGTTTCATCATCCATTTCCTTTCCACAACTCGATTCCTGGGTTTTGGTCCGAGTCCAACATGCTTAACGAAAACAGCCGTGCCGACAAGCAAAACACCAATACCCATCCTGTTTTGCTTTCCCCTTGGGACGTTGATACAATTCATGGGCATTCGTTCCCAGTGAGAGGGGCAAGTTGCTTTTTTGAGTGGATTAGCAAGCGCAACAGCCACTTTTGGTCTACCACAGACATGGTCCAGGCCCAAATGCACACTCACTTGCCCAAAGGGCCTGGAAAAGGCGAACCTTTGGGAACCTCGACTAAATTTCGATGAACATGGGAAACCCAGGTCAAAAGGTTGATTCGCTTTGGACAAGTGAGTAACATTAACCCCGTATTAATAAACCACTCCTACTAAAGGGGGGTTCCCTCCAAACGCAATACACCCTCAGTAACACGGGACACCCCCCGATATTAAATCAAGAAGGGGTTCTGCTTAGATCCGGGGATCCCATCAGTCCAGTGAGAGTTTCCCTGCTCTCCCGAGTTTTTGGCTGTTAGGCTTCCTGTGCACCCAGGAAGCGTTTTTCTTTCCACTTCTGGTTGCGTGGGCCACAGAAAGGCATTGTGTCACATTCCCCCTCCCCCCCCCACACACACACAACACACAACACAACACAACACAAAGCGAAACAGGCATGCAAATCATCACATGCAGGTCGGCTGCTAGATTCCTTGGCTCGGAAGCTGCTCAGCGCTCAATTTGGGGACCGGGCAGCGGTCCCGCGTGTCTTCGAAGTCCCTGGCTCGTACGCATTAAGCTACAGTGGGGAAATGGAGTTCTTGGCCAGGTCCGCGCATAACGCCCTCACCTGCCCTGTGGGGACCTGGAAGTAAAAGGTGACTCACCTTTTGGGGTCTTGAGTAATTGACAAAAAGAGCAAAAACAACGAAAGTTCAGAACAGTACATTTTCAGATCCAATATGATGGGACAAGATACGACCAAAAGAAATAATTTATACACATATTGTATACGTAGAAATAGTTTGTCTTCTGTTTGCATTTCCTTTCTCATTCCGCACCTTTTCATGTTTAATGTGAAACTTTGGTGAGAGAATGAGATTCTGGGAGAGACAGAAAATGCTTAGAAGAAGCATGTGATTTTACTATCTGGAATCTTGTTTTTATTACTGTCATTATAGAAACCCAGATAGAATTATCTTCTTCATTCTGCAGTCTCTCAATTTCTGAGATTAACGGATAGTGAGAGAAATGGAAAGAGATGGAAAGAGAAGGATTATTACATTTGGTGTCTTTCATATTCATCCTTCCATATCTTTCACCTATCATCTTTTCATTTGTTGAGACTAGTTAAGAGAAAGGGAGATGATGAGAGATGGCATATGGTTATTTTTCCTAACCAAGAGAAGTCTACCGGAAATCGGCTCTGCTTCATACTTAGTCTGCCCTGATTCCAGGATATGGGTTTGTCTCTAGATTCCCCCTACTCCGTGAACCGCCCCGTCCGCACCCACAAGGAGACACATACGGGGACAGGTTTTCTATTCGGGATACCCCCCCTTCATAGATTACTAAGGGGCAGAATCACGGCTGGTGCCCGGGTGATGCTTCTCTTCAAACCAGCCCAACAGGCTACATTGAACTCCAGACACACTCATACACCTCGGTTGCTTTCTGCTCCCCTGCTAAAAGTGAGTAACTTTTAGTGGTTTAGGGGAAACCCATTAGTTGGCAAAAAGTTAAAGTCCTAACAGCCAAGCAAAATACACCAAAGCATACAAGATTAGCAACCCCCCGATTAAAGATTCCCCCCCTTTTCCTCGCAGAAAGAAACAACCAAACTACCAGGTTGCCACATGCTTCATGCGACATCGGACAAATTTGAGCCCGCCAGAAAATAACCTTCAACTCTGGTGGTTAAAACTGGGCTGCCCTCAAACCCTCTGCAAAACTACAACTAAACCAACTCATCTCTACTCTTGGTATGGTAGCAAAAAACTTTGTTTTTTGCAGACCCCCGGTAAAAATGAACAGAACCAAAAAACTTTAAAAAAAATGATCCAAGAACAGTGAAGAACTAAAAACAAACCACCCTCTGGAACCTGGGTGCGACCTTTCAGAAACCAGGCCACAAAAGGAGACTTGAGAAGCAGGCCGAACCCCTAAAAGTGTTCGAACCCCTTTTTTTTCGCCCTCCAAACTTATGGCTTTCCTTTTGGCTCGCCCGTTCAAACCACCAAAAAAGAAGACCAGCTCAAGAAAAACGCCCATTTGCTCAAGCCCCTGGAAAAATACATAAAAACATAATCCCCGTGGTGATTGATTCCTTTTACAACCAAAAGGGCAAACACTATTCTCAAACAAATGGAAGCCTATTGACCGAAATTGCTTCGGACCCCGTTTCGCGAAAAAACGGCCGAAAAAAGTGACCACTTGTCGGTTGCCACTAAATGGTCTGCTCAAACAAGTTCAAGAAAACAGGCCGGCAAAAAGGCCGTTTCGTGGATTGACACCCTCAAGAAAAAATCCGCCCACCGAAGCCATGCGAGCTTGTAGCCGAAGCCATGGCTGCGGCCAATCGACTCTCTCTCTCTCTCTCTCTCTGTGATGCCAATTCGCTGGAATTAGGACCCCAGAAAAAAATATAATATGCTTTTGCCTGGTTAGTGGAAAACAAAGGGAACCCCAAAAAAGCAAAAAAAAAGAAAAGGGGGAACTAATTCCGGGGATGCCAAATCGATGATGTCCATCCCTTCAACGCTTTCAAGCGGATTGCCCTGATTCGTGGACAGCGGCCCTACCACCATACCACGATACCCCCCCATTCAAAAGCTCCCATGTGTGTCGCATCTGCTTCGTGTCCTGCACATTTTGTCCGGGCACCAACTTCAGGTTTCGCGCCTGGTCCGATTGAAGCAGAGCTTCTCGGCATACTCGTAGTCAGCCCTCAGCCATCGAATCGCGAGTCCTTCGGCCGAGTGGAAAAATCAGGACGTGAAGCGGCTTTCAGCCAAAGGCTCTCCGAATGGCTGAATCCAGTGCAAAACGTTCAACTTGTTGCAGTTGAGAGGTTCAAAATGATCCACAGTTGCCCAAAGGGTTCAAAATTAAAAGGGTTACCTGTTTGGGACCATGGCAAAAAATAGTTGCCGAATCAGGGAAGCCGAAAGGTCAAACGGTCGATTCGCATTGAAGAACTCTTGGTTGACGTTGAAGGGGAGCAAAAAATTAAACTTTAGCAGCTAAGTGGAGATTTCCCACTAACCACAATAAGCAAACATGTAACATGTTTCCCAACGACAACCATGGACTTTTGCAGGTGCGAAGCTGGGAGCTTCGCGGGCGAAGCTCGTCAGTGAAACGATCTCTTTGTTACTTCCGTTCGCGAGACAAAATACGTCCAGTAGTGATAGATCCCATTTTGAGACCAAAAGGGAACAAGAAACAAACCGTCTTAAGTGTCTTAAGTAACTGGAATGTTACCCTCGAGAAGGGTTCGCCTCTTGCCTTCCACTGAGCATCCCACACGAGGGTGCTGAAGTAGTCGAACTGCTCAATCAGGTAGCCTCTCCGGTTCGCTGGAAAGCCAGTTGTGCCCAACATGTGGTTTCCTTCAGGGGAAAACCACAGAAGTCACTGGATTCCCTCTTCAAAGGTTCCGTGGAAACGGACCTACTTTTGGAGGTTCCGAAAAAGGGAAATGGAAACGGGACGTATGTGGCAAAATCGCACCAGCAGCAGGCGAATGCTGCGAGGCTCGCTTTTGCCTCTCGCAGTGACTGACCGGCCGGTGCGCTCGGCACAAGCTGCTTTCATGCGCAAATCGCCACCGAGGATTATGTGTTTCAGGGCGGGTATGAATATGCCATGGACCCCCCAAAAATGTGAGTTGTGCAACGCCCTGGCGCAATTGTACATAGACTATGACTATGGTATTTAGGGATAGGCACCCTCCATTTGCTGAAGTGCACTGGAGAAAACGTTACCACTAAAATGGTATTCCCAAAAAGCTTCCCATGTTGCTGGATGCCCTATGCCGAGGCACTGTTGGGGAGTGAGTTCCAGTAAATGGACGCACACACGCTTCAGCCGGCCAAGGCTTCCGCTTACCTCAGGCGTGCTGCAGGTGGAAGACGCGGACCCGGCGCAGGGCCGCGCTCTGCGGCCCCTGCGCCAAGTGGCTGGGGTGGGGTTGGGTGGGGCGGTGGGCTGGGTGGGCTGGTGTAATGTTGACTCCAGATTCATCAATTTCAGTTTTTTCATCTGATCAGAAATGGGGGGGAGGGGGCGCTTCTGGGTTAGTGGGAATTATCACTTTTGGATTGATTTGGGGGGCCCTCCAAAAGTGATAAGTCCGCCTATATGTGTGTGTGTATCTATATATATATATATATGTGTGTGTGTGTGTTTGTGTTGTGTGTGTATATGTGTATGTATATGCGTGTGTGCATGTGTGAGTCAAAAACATGAGCCAAAGCCCGGAGGGGTCCCAAGCACCTATTCCCTGAAACGAGGAGGCCAAGATGTTTCCAGCCCATGGCCAAACCATTTCCAGGCGATGCCCAAGCACTTCCCCTTATACTTTGCCCCGAGATCCCCTGCCTCAGGTCACGGCCCCCTTCCCCAATTCTGTTTTTAAGGTGGTGGGATATAGTGAGTAACAATCAGCTTGAACACCCACCCACACATGCAGGCGCCCATGCCCCCATTGTCACAGCCAAACAATCAACTTGAACACCCACCCATGTCATGCCCCTATTATCACACAAGTAAGCCAAACCCACCTCGACTGGACTTCCATGAGGAAGCCTAGAATTGGCACTCTGTTGCTGATTATTGAAAACTTGTATTGAATCAAAGGAGGTTCATAGAACCACCACTACTTGCCGGTCAGGAGTTTCGTCATCCAAACTGGGTCAACCATTCTTGTACTAGGGGTTGAACCTGGGGTTGTTGTTCCTTGAACACTTCAAGGGTCCTACCCCCCTGAAAAAAAAGCTGAACAAGCTCAGGTAATATCCCCAGCATGAGGCATATACTTGCCGTTGAGATCTAAGCGCCGAAGTTGCACCGGTAGTCGGGCTGACCTCGCCCACTTCTTGGATTCAACCAACGTCAGGCAAGTAGGTCAGAACCATGGTTATAAGTGGTGTAACTGGGGTGGTCGTCGCCCTCTGGCCATGGTTGCGACCTACATAACCTGGCGTTGGTTGAACATCCAAGTTCATCATCCCGAATGGGTTCATCCACCGCTAGTTACCGGCTTACTGGGGAAACTCCTCCCCTGTAAATCCAAGAAAATGGCCATGGCTTCATGGCCACCGCTCATAAAGTCCTACCTACTTGAACCCCCCCCCCCCCCCACCGCCCCGCACTCCCGGCCCCCCGCCCCCCGCACTCCCGGCGCGGAGGTCGGCTCGGCGCCTCCAGGCGCTCGGGCGGCACCACCTCCGCCAGCGCGCGCTCCTCGCAGCGGAGCCCCGCCCTCTCCGCCGCCGCCGCGAACTGCTCCGCGCCGCCTGCGCTGCGCGGAGGCGGGGAGCGGGAAGCGGCGGAAGCGGATTCGGGGCGAGGGTGCGGTGAGCCGAGGTGGACAAACCCAGGGGGGTTTTGGGAGGTGTTTTTTTTTTTTTTTTTTTTTTTTTTTTTAAATACGGGACTTTCCATGGGTTTAGGAGGTGTGTGTTTTTTGCACAACAGCTGAAAGCTAGAGACGCACTTCCGATCGAGTGGATGGTCCAAAAAAAAGTCTGAACGTTGTCTTTACCACTGATATGGTCATCCCAAAAGTATAAAGTCAGGAACTCATGAAGTGAGTAGATGCCCAGATAGGCTATAAGGAGTGGTTTGGGGCAGCTTTAGCCGGAGGGTTCGGGGGCTGTTGATGGGGATAATACCAGGGCTTATTTTTTGCGAAGGGTACGTACTGCGTTGCAACAGATTGTTGGTGGTATGCAGGCATCCGTGCCTCCAAACACCATACCTGGCAATGCCCTTGATTCACAAACAGAAAATGCGCACGGCTGGATTCGCACTGGGCCGGAATGAAATGAATGCCCATTCAACAGGTCTTGGCAAGTGCGGCTGGGTTGGAGGTTCATGGAAACAGAAAAAAATAATCCACGCAAATCAGAGGTGACCTATGGAAAATAGATGGCCCTGGTAAATGGGGCATAGAACCAATCCAAACCAGTGCCAGCTATCTCTATCCAAACTACTCCCACTAACATGGCACCTGACAGGTTTTTTTTGCAAGAGGACAATGATCTGCCTGGTACCCTCCCACATGTTTATGGGAGGTCTGATGGGTAACCGATCAAAAGGACACCTGTGACACACATGCATTTCCAATTTGGAGCTGCCCACAACCCGTCGAAGTTTTGCAGCAGTCATACGAGTTGCGTCTGCGCTTGATGCGATTCCGGGATTCAGACTTGGGGGTTCCCTTAGGAATTGTTTGGTTTCCCTTAGGAATCTATGGGCTTGTCATTTTTGAGGGTACCATTGCCAGGTTGCAGGGGAAACACAGGGAGGCGCTATTGACACGCACCTGTCAAAAAAGAGATTCATGGTGGTCGTCCGTTCACGCATTTTGTGGGGTCACCTTTTTGTCTTGCTTGGGAATCCCCATGAGCCCCCCCCATACGCCTCTTTCCCGCCCTCCGGAGAAAAACAAGTCGTCGGCCGTTGAAGATTGGCGAAATTTGGGGCTTAAGTCCAGGCACCTGCCCCATGGCACTTGTCCGCACTTCCGATCGACCGGATTGGCCAAGAAAAGTCCAAACTTGTCATTTGCCACCAAAATGGGGCCAAACCCAGAAGCAGCAAGGTTTAACTGAGTCCAGTAGAGAGGTTAGAATAAGGGTACCAACTTTTTTCTGTAGTCTATTTTAGTAGGGGACCCCTCCCCCAAAAAAATGTAAAAGGGCACTACTGGGGGACCTAGTCTATTTACCACTAAAATTGGGCCAAACCCAGCAAGGTTTAAAGTCGAAAAGGAACTCAGGAAGTGATACTGTGGATGAACAGAAGCCATGGGAAACCACTGTTTGTTGGTATTTACACTTCTGAACGGTGGTGCGAAATGGATTTCGTCCATCCGCAGTATAACGACATCTACTCTGATTGGGGTTCTCTGTGGAGTAAATTGAGGAAATCCCGAGGAAGGGAACTGGCTAGGTCTTGTTCCTTTGGAACTCCACCCAAATTGTGTTCCTTGTGATTTCCCTTTAAAACCACCAACAAAAAAAGTCAAAAAGGGGAACTGACCATGTCTTTGTCCATTTGACCCCCCCAAAAAAAAGTGGGTGTTGTTTTCCCCACCTGAGACGGGTGTCCCTGACCCCGCGCCCGGCCCCCGCGGGCCACGCCGCCTGCTTCCCGGTTGCCGTAGGTCACCCAGGCGTGGCCCGCCTGAAATTGGACCCGCACCCTCGAGCCTAAGGTGGACCTTCTGGGCGGATTTTTGTCGGGGGGAAGCCGAAAAAGGAAGCACCCGAAACAAAATTGGTCCCTCCCGAGTTTCCGGGAAAACTGTTTTTTTCATTGGAAAACCGATGTTTTTCAAGGGAAAACCGCTGTTTCAAGGAAACACGGAAAAAAAAGGAAGAAGAACAAATTGGGGGTGTCTTCTTTTAGGGGACCCACAAAATTGCGGTTTTCCTTCTGGCTCCCGATCCAATTGGGCTCCCATGCCTTTCAAGGGCAAGGGAAACCAACTTTGGGCTCCCCTCCCAATGTTTTGAGAAACTGCCTCTTTTTCTGAATCAGGGACCCTGCAAACATCAGAATTCGGAGGGCATTCACCTCGATTTTGAGGTGGCTCACCATTAAATCTCAAATCAGCATCTCGGTTGGTTGGGTTTAGCATCAGCTTCCAGGCCCTTGCTGCTCGAGCCCTTTTGGTACGTGTAGAAGGGGGACACGTAAGCAACCTTGTTTGGCGCGTGCTAGGGTTGAATTGTGTATGCATGATTATTTGTGTCCTCAGCGTCGTGCTTGGAAGTGAGTGTGTCTTGAAATGTTGCATCCAGAAAGTTGCGTCGCAAACGGGAGCGTCGTTGTGAAGATGCAAGGGTCAATCTCACAGCATAACGTTAGCTGGACCTCTTCTGACATCATGTTACTGGCCGACGGAATGTGAGCCAGAATCTGAACATGTAATTTCTGGTTCGGAAATCTGCGGAAACCATAACGGCCTCACCAGGGATTCCAGATGTTCGATTTAGGCATCCCAGAACTTTGCCCAGAATTGATTGATCCTGGAAAGCGTGGGAGCCGGCACAAATGATTTGGCTCCGCTTGCCGGGTTTGGCCTATGAAAATGTGTTGCTTTAAAGGGGGCCCAAGGGGAACACCAGCCACCTCAAACGTCTCTGGGTACCCCGATGTGGGGGTGGTTTTAAAGGAAACCATTTTTGGAGGGGTACCCTGTTTGAGTGGTGTTAAGGAAAGCCAAAAAGACAAACGCATGCTGTTTGTTGCTCAGTTGGCATGGAAAACAAAAAATGCTTCCGTGGAACTGTTTACTTGCCCCAACCTTCCTGAGGAGTGTTTATTCGCCACTAACATGGGGTCTGCCCAAGATGTATTTCTCTGAAGCGGAACTCGGGGAGTGAGACTAGGGACTGACTTTTGCCCAAGCGCCCGAAAATCTGATCGACCTGTTGACAGCAAAAGCTTGACAACAAAGGCTAAAAGGGGACAGACCCAGTATATATAGAGAGAGAGAGGTCAGAATAAGGGTACCCTTTTTTCTGCAGTCTATTTTAGTAGGGGAACCCTCCCCCACCAACAAAGGGGCGAGAGGTGGGGCACTACTGGGGGACCTACACTTACCCCTTAAAACTTCAAGCCCTGGGGAAGTTGATCTTTCACAGATGTTACCCAAAAAGTTGAAAAGTTGTGTTTTTTAAGAGGTAAGTACATGTAGATGCGGCAAACAAAAACGGACACCCAACAGGTCAGCGCCGGATTCGCGAAACGCGCCGCTTGCCGCCAGCGCTCGCCTCACTGAGCTTGGCCTTCGTGAGCTGCGCCAGCGCCTCCACGTCCGCCTCCTGACGCTTTTGAGCCGCGGGGGTTGGATCCTATCCGCGCAGATAGGCGGATTTGTAGCTGGGCGCACATGACGCACAAAAAGTAATCTCACCGAAGCCATAACGTTCCTATCTTGCAGGATGCCATAAAAATTACAGGGATGGGAGGCGGGGGATGGGAGGGGGGGTGGGTGGGTAGGGTGGGTAGGGTGGGTGGGTGGGTGGGTGGGTGGGTGGGTAGGGTGGGTAGGGTGGGTGGGTGGGTGGGTGGGTGGGTGGGTGGGTGGGTGGGTGGGTGGGTGGGTGGGTGGGTGGGGGACACGGGCAACCCAAATCAAAGACATCTTTACCACCCAAACAGCTTTAAGGGCTGGAAACAAACAAAAAAGGGGCTGGTTTTTTGTTTGCAGCCTACTAAAAATGAACGGCCCAAAAACCAACAATATCCTAAACACACGCCGAAAGCAGTTACATATTTGTTTATCTGTTGCTAGTTCGCAACTTTGGGGCCAAGTTCCTGAAGAAGACACAATCTTTCCAGGAAATCGCAATGAATTCAGGGCAATGTTCTGCCCTGGTCATCTTCCGGGTGCTAAATAAGGAGCCAACCCCAATGCATTTCTCGTTTGATAAGGGCGCAAGCCCCTAGCAACACCGGCTCTTCTGCTGATTTTTCCCGGCTGAAAGCTTCAGGATCTCTGAGCTCTGGGTGGTTAGGGAAGTTTCTGGAGGGTTCCAGGGGGTTCCGGGGTTGCAGTTGGCGATGCACTTGGGTGATAATCATGATGACGATGACGTTGACGGTCCGTTGACGTATGACGTATGACGTATGACGATGAGGATGAGGATAATGAAGATGATGAGAATGATGATGAAGATGATGATGAGGATGATGATGATGAGGATGAGGAGGATGAGGATGAGGAGGATGAGGAGGATGAGGAGGATGAGGAGGATGAGGAGGATGAGGATGAGGAGGAGGATGAGGATAGGGATGAGGATGAGGAGAAGGAGGATGATAAGGATGATGAGGATGAGGATGAGGACGAGAATGAGGATGAGGAGTAGGAGGAGGATGATATGGATGATGAGGATTGACGCTCATCACGAGGGGCCCAGGGGACCTTTCGGCGTGTCTTACAATTAGGGACCCACCAAATGGATTTCGGTGTTCCTCTTAGTTTCGCACCAACCCAGCTCAAACCTGGGTAATTACCGTGCCTCAAGAGACACTCCCAGTCCCAACCCCGGGTATCTTAGCACAAACAGTTCTTCATGTTCAGCCACCAAACCCTCAACACACACACACACACAACTTGTTCCAACATGAACGTGAACACTCAACACAACTTGTTCCAAAGTTAACACCCAACTTGCAACTTGTATTGATTTTTATCCAGTGCCCACACCAAAAGCATGAGAAGCCAACCAACCGCCCTCACAGCGTCGGCACCTCGAGGCTCCAGGGAACACAGGTGGGCTGTGCCACGTAGAGAACCTCCGACAGCAGCAGCAGGTCCTGATGCCGCCGGGATTTGGACGCAGATGCCATGCTTCCAGGGGCTGAATTTTCCAGTTCTTTGGAAGACTTGGCTCCAGCTACAGGTTCGGCCGAGCTTCCATTCGGAAGATTGATCTAGGGGTTGACTCCTTGTCCATTCTTTTCAATTCCATCGTTCTTTTCAATAACCTGCTTGGTTCCAGGGGTTGGTTCCTTGTCCATTTTTATTTGCCCAAATCTGCCCAGCCGGAAGTTGCAGGATCCAAGCCCCCCTACGGCCGTAAGTCGGGTTCCATCCCAATATTCTAGGGGTTGCTTCCGATTTCATTCTTTCCAATTCCATCGTTCTTTTCAAAAAGCGGATCCGTTCTGCCTGGGTTTCAAAGGAGGTTTTCTGGAAAGAAGGATCCCTGGAAAGAATGGAAATTGAAGATACCCCTAGAATGGTTGAGCAAACTGTCTGGTAAACGTGGGGCCATTGCTTGGGCCGCCAAAAAGATGAGAGATACTTCAACCACATGGCTGTGGCTCAAAGAACCGGTACGAACATGGAACCCTGGTACGTGGAAACATGGACCAAAACCTGCGTAACCCCGCCTGTTTAATTTTGAGCCACACACACATGGGAAAAGTTAGCATGGTCATTTGGGGGCCAGGTCTTGTTGAAGCCCCACATGGTGAGATCACTTTTCGTGGCTAGAAACATAGGCGTCCTTTTGTAAAATAGATGGGTTTCCAACTGGCAAATTTGGGCATACAACCCATGTAAAACCAGTGGAACCCATCAGTTTCTATTCAAGGTAACCTAAAAAAGCCACCTATGGCTAGAAATGGAAACCAAAAGGCCAGATTCGGTCGATCCGCTTTGGACAACAGAGCTTGTCCAAAGTTCGGAGCTTCGGGCTGGGGTCCGTGGCATTTAAAACCCCAAGCTCCGAGTGGATTGGCCAAAAAACAGAAACCAAACTTTTAATTTACTGGTCTTCCCCAAAAGTTTCAAGTCCAGGAACTCAGGACTGAGAAACACCCAGGTCCGGAAAACAAAAAGCTACCCATCCCGGTTCGGCTTCCTTTGGATCAGATCCACATCATTGGGAGGTGCCGCCCGGCGTGTGGGCTACTCAAACTATCTTCCTTGCTGGGTGTTGAATGGATCTCACTCGTGCCATGGTGAAGACTCGGTGGATTCCACCAAGCGGTGCGCTCTTTTGGCACTCTGTCAGCACCTCTTGAAGGAAACTCCGACAGATGCATTCAGAGCAACCCCCCACAACCCCCCCACTCCATGCACCATGCCGGGCCGAGCGTCGAACACGGAGTCTGGCAGCTCATCAACGGCCTAAGGTCGATGCGGACACCCGTCATGCATGAAGATCTCCAGCTTGAAGAAAGAATCTAGTTCATGAGGGGCGTGCGTGAAAACGTGTGGGATTTGTGGCAGAAATGCGAATGCGAGGAACTGTTGTTGGGGAATGCAAGGGCAATGTTGGGAAACAGCTCCTCCTGGACGGACCATTTTTAGTGGGGCAGCCACCTAAAAAAAAAGGAAACATCATCGGTGCCACTGAAGAACTGAGATGCACAACGCCCTCTTAGATTTGTTTGTACCCCGGTCTCGAGCACCAGCAGCTTTGTCCGGCGTAACTCACTTCTTCCTCTAAACTTCCATTTGCTTTTTCGCCCCCTGGAAAAAAAATCCAGTAGCGAGGACTCCCCCGGCCCTCTGCCCAGCCTCCGGCCCCCAGGCCAACGCTTTCACCTCCACCGCCGGAGGGTTCAGTTGCGCATTCTTCCTGCCGTCGGTGAGTTCAGACGCTCAGGTTGGCTCAGGGATCCTTACATTATACACCTGAACATTGCCTTGTAGATGGTGGTGTCCTTTTGTTTTGGTGGGAAAAGCCATGTTTCAAATGGGCAAAATGTATCTTTTAAGGAGCCCTAACCCCATGAACACTCCATGAGGACTCCTTGCAGATCAGCATGGAACCCAAAAATCCGAACGATGTGTGGAAGAATCTCCCTTTTGCGGACCCCACCCTTTTGAGTTCCACGCTGATTTGTGGGGGAGCAAGTGGTTTCACCTTGGTTCTTTGTGTAAACCCAAGAAAGGTGCGGCATCATCAACACACACTCCTTGGAATGTAAAAGGCCGTAGGCCAAACACATCCGGAAGGTCGGCCTAGGGAACTGCCTTTTGCATGATGGACCCCAACCTGAAGATTTTCTTGATCCCCAACAGAGTATCCCCCAAAGACGCAACACCTGCAAACCGAAACAAATACAACCGACACACAGAAGCACACGGACCAGGGCGGACTCGAACCATCATTGACATGTATGTCAAGCGTCACCGCAAACAGTGACGCCTTATCCATTAGAGGACTGGTCCAGCTGCTTGCATGTCCTCGCCAATGTTTATGAAGGCATAAAAAGACCTGAAACAAAGAAATAAAAAGAAATCAAGGAAGGAAAGGAAGAAAGAAAATAATGAAACAAATGAAATAAAGCAAGAACGCAAGAAATGAAAGAAACAAATGAAAGAAACAACATGCCAAGAAAGCAAGAAAGCAAGAACGCAAGAAAGCAAGAAAGCAAGGAAAGGAAATAAATAAAGACATGAAAGAAATGAAAGAAAGCAAGAAAGGAAGAACGCCAGAAAGCAAGAAATAAAATAAGTGAAATAAATGAACGAAAGCAAGAAAGCAAGAAGAAAGAAATGAAAGAAACAAATGAAAGAAAAGCAATGCAAGAAAGCAAGAAAGCAAGAAAGCAAGAAAGCAAGAAAGCAAGAAAGGAAAGAAATAAAGAAATGAAAGAAATGAAAGAAATGAAAGAAAGCAAGAAAGCAAGAAAACAAGAAATGAAAGAAATGAAAGAAATGAAAGAAAGCAAGAAAGGAAGAAAGCAAGAAAGCAAGGAACGGAAATAAATAAAGACATGAAAGAAATGAAAGAAAGCAAGAAATGAAAGAAACAAATGAAAGAAAAACAATGCAAGAAAGCAAGAAAGCAAGAAAGCAAGAAAGGAAAGAAATAAAGAAATGAAAGAAATGAAAGAAAGCAAGAAAGCAAGAAAATAAGAAATGAAAGAAATGAAAGAAATGAAAGAAATGAAAGAAAGCAAGAAAGGAAGAAAGCCAGAAAGCAAGAAATGAAAGAAATGAAAGAAAGCAAGAAAGCAAGAAAGCAATAAATGCAAGAAATGCAAGAAATGAAAGAAAGCAAGCAAGAAATGTAAGAAACAAATGCAAGAAAGCAAGAAAGCAAGAAAGCAAGAAAGGAAAGAAATAAAGAAATGAAAGAATTGAAAGAAAGCAAGAAAGCAAGAAAACAAGAAATAAATCATAGAAATAAAAGAAAGTAAGAAAGCAATAAATGAAAGAAGTGAAAGACATGAAAGAAAGAAAGAAAGCAAGAAAGCAAGAAATGAAAGAACTAAAGAAATGAAAGAAATGACAGAAAGCAAGAAATGAAATAAATGAAAGAAAGCAAGAAAGCAAGAAAACAACAAATGAAAGAAATGAAAGAAATGAAAGAAAGCAAGAAAGGAAGAAAGCCAGAAAGCAAGAAATGAAAGAAATGAAAGAAAGAAAGCAAGAAAGCAAGAAAGAAAGAAATGAAAGAAATGAAAGAAAGCAAGAAAGGAAGAACGCCAGAAAGCAAGAAATAAAATAAGTGAAAGAAATGAACGAAAGCAAGAAAGCAAGAAAGGAAGACATGAAACAAAATAAAAGAAAGCAATAAAGCAAGAAAGCAATAAAGGAAATAAATGAAAGAAATGAAAGAAATAAAAGAAAGCAAGAAAGCAAGAAATGCAAGAAATGCAAGAAATGAAAGAAATGAAAGAATGCAAAGAACGAAATGAAATAAAGAAAATAAATAAATAAAGAAAAACACAAAATGAAGAAACATGTTTGTTGGAAACAGCCATGTTTCAAACAGGCAACATGTATCTTTTAAGGAGCCCTGCGGAAGAAAACAAAAACACAGAAACACTTCAACCTCTCCCCTGACCTGGCCAGGTCCAGCGCGCGGCCCGGGCGGTCGCTGAGCGTCACCGGCCCTGCTCCGCCCTGCCGCCGGCAGTTTCCATTTTTGTTTTGTTCCCTTCTTTTTTTTTCCGGCAGTTTGGTTTCAGTGTTTTCTTTTTTTGTTTGTTTTTGTTCTTCTTTGTGTCAGCTTTCGTTTTTTCTTGTTTTTTCGGCAGTTTTGTTCGTTCCAAAAACCTTCCAAAATCTCGACCTTTTGAGGGGGGAGGTGTTTTGTAAGATGGGGTTTACATTAACACCCATTTTTCGTGCCCTGGCAAATCTACGAGGTCCCCTGCCGAAAGTCTAAGACTTTGAGTGGTGTGGAAACTACGAAAGCTCACTTGGCCAGTGACCAGCCATAAACCAGTGTACACTTTTTGGGCCACCACTAGTAAAAAGGGAGAGCCCCCAAGGAAAAACGTGTGTGTCTACTGGCTGGGTGAGAAAACGAACCTAGGGCATGGCTGGGAGCCCCCAGCCTGGCTGCCTTTTTTTGGGACCGGGGAATCTGCTTGGTCCATGAGTTTGGGAATCTGGGAAAAAGGGGCAGGGTTGTGACCAGCACGCTCACTTGCCCACAACACTTGGCTGCCCAACAAATTGCTCCCAAAAAGGCATCTTGGTAAATGGAAACAAAGACTAAAATCTGCGCCGAGCTTTTGGGTTTTGAGCCACATGACTACAAATGCACCCGCTACCTCCCAACCACCAATCCAAATCACAAAGGGTGAGAACTGGTTTTCCTGAAAGTTTGTCTTTCAGACCAGTTGGTTCAACAACCGCGTTATATTTTCCCTATACTTCACTGAAACAGGGCTCGGCTCCCTACACATGTCCCCGTACTATACCACCCCTATACTAGCTAAGCTTACATGGGCCCAAGTTGAAGTTTAAACTAAACAAGGAATCAACCAACATATAGGGACGCGTCCAGTTGCTTAAGCCCCCTAGAAAAGTATGTCCAGTAGTGATAACTCCCTTCAAAACCAACAGGGGAAAATAAACAAAATTATTAAGCAATTGAAGGACACCAGTTAAACTTGTTCAACTTCCCCTCAAAGAGGGGGCATATTTAACTGGCTGGTGATTGGACACCTCCATGCTCAAGATTGCTTGCTTGTGAGTGGGCAAATGGTTCACCCAGCTGGTTTGCTCGTCCCTTTTACCCAACCAGCTCAACCTCAATTTGCTCAAACATCCCCTGCGCGGAGGAAAACAAAAACATAAGCACAGTACTAATATAAATTCCCGGTGAAAATCGAGAGGGTGGAAATAACACATTGCTTATTTCAGCAAGAGCACCCCCTCCCCCACCTCTCTGGCCCCCTTCCAATCACCAACTGGTCAAATTCACCAACTCAGGTGGCTTTTGTTGTTAGTTTCCCCCGCAAAAAAAAAAAAAAAACCAAAAAAAAAAAACAAAAAAAACACTCCAAAAAGGGCTTTCCCTTACATTTCAGCACCCATGTCAGCACATGGAGCCTCCCAAACTTTTCCTTCCCTTTGCTTAAGCCCCCTGCAAAAAATAACATATTTCCAGTAGTGATCGATTCCTTTTAAAACCAACAGGGGGAAAAAAACACTTGACTTAACCAAATGGAAGTTTCCCCTCCTTCCCCACCTCCCGTCGGCTCGTTTGGGGAGCGCGCGCGCGGCCGCGCGCGAACGACGCGAACGTTTTCGGCCTGGGCCGCCAGCAGCCCCACCAAGCCGCTGCCGCAGCCCACGTCCAGCACGGAGCGCTGCTTCAGCTGGTCCTGCGGATGGACGCGAAATCCAAGACCGCAGCACTTGGAAAAACCTTTTCAGAGGGGAGACCCCCAAAACCTAATATGTTTAATATGTTGGTTGCTGTGGATGGACAAAATCCGTTCGCACCACTTGGAAACCATGAGAAAACATTATTTGTTGGTATTTACAGGGAATCATCCAAAACCAGGGTTGCTGTTGGGGATGAATCTTGGGTGCTGTTGACTAACCCCCTGGGAGCATCCACCCATCCAGTGGCTTTGGGCCAAACACGGAAACTCGGAACCCTAAGGAAGAGACCGAAACGGCCAGGGGTCAGAACCTAAAGTTGCCGCCCGTGATTCCACTCACTTGCTGAGTGGATGGCCCAAAAAAAGTTCAAACTTTATATTTACAACTAAAATGGTCTTCCCAAAAAGTTTAAAGTTCATGAACTCAGGAAGTGAGGGGCCAAGATCCACTCCAAAGGACTTCTTATGACTTGCTTTCCCCAGCTGAAAGCTTTGGGGTCTCAGCCCAGGCTCCGGGGGGCGGCCCTGAGGCAAGGCTCCACCAGGGTTCCACCAGGGTTCCACCAGGGCGCATGCTGTTGGGGATATCACCTGAGCTTATTTGTCTTCTATGTGTTTTTTTTTTTGGGGGGGGGAACAATATATTCCTTAACCCCCCGGACGGCAAATGACCCCTTTTTTTGAGGGGTCCTTCTAAAAAAGCGGTCGTGCCCTGGGCGCCAGGCCAACAAGAGGCCTCAAGGACACGTGCAAGTTGGTTATGGGCGCCCGGGGGTGTGCAAGCACCCCAGAAGATGAATTGTGAGTGTCCAAGTCCTTGTGGGAATCAAAGGGGTTACAAATGGAATCAGATCGGATCGCTTTGGTGACAAAGTCTCTCAAAATAGGAGGGGCCTAATTTAAGCCGCTGACATTCATTTATGACCCCCCCTCCACCCCTCCGGTGCATTTTCGGGCGGTGTTCCCTGAAGTGGTCCTTTGACCCCTGAAAGGAATTGGACCCAAACTCAACCTTAGAGTAACCTGTTGGGGCCATGACTAAGCATGGGCCAAGCCAAATTTAAAGGTTAAAGATCGATTCGCTTTGAGCAAGGAGCCAGTTCTGCCATGACAAAACCCCAGGATTTATGGCCAGCCCGAAGATCTTTCTGGGGACCTTCCATCTCCTGTGAGTCTGTGGACCCCTGCCCGGACGAAAAAGAAAATTGGGGGGGGGGGGTATATATGTATATAAAAAATGCAAATCACCCCCCTTTCCCGGAAGTGGACCAATCTCCAACCACAGAATCCCGGATGCGGTGCAAGTCGAGGAAATCAGAATCCGTAACCGCCCCCCTTGTGGTTTCCTTGATTTTGGGGCATCATCACCCACACCCCGCTGTTTTGCAACTTTGCTTCAACAAACTGTTGACTTTTTTAGGACCCAGGTGGGGGGTTTTCCACATAGCCTTCCCGCAAAGTGGTTGGTTGGTCTGTCCGAAATCAACTCTCCTTTGCTTAAGTCCTCTGAAAAAAGTATGGATTCCGTTTAGAACCAACATAGGCAATACAAGAAACAGGCTTAAGCAAATGGAAGTGTTGAGTCATGCCCAGCTTTTTTCGAAGCGAACCTCTCCTGGCGCTCCAACTGCAACAGGAGCCACGCCATAGCCTGCCCGCCCATCTGGACGGACGAAGAATCCCCGACCGGCCGTGGGGAAAATAAACCAACAACCCTTCCAGAACCCTGATCTGCAGACGGCTCCGAAACACTTATTTGGGCAGAGCCCAAAGCTTCCAGCTGTTGTTGAGAGAGAGGGAGGGAGGGAGAGAGACAGAGAGAGCGAGAGAGAGAGAGAGAGAAAGAGAAAGAAAGGATTCAAGAAAAACTGGTCCGGGAAATGGAGCCGACACGAATGGAATCGATGAAAAAGGGGCACTCTGTTCTGCAACTGTCTAAAAAGTCCACCCCCCACCAAGCAAAGCAAGGGCACCCCAAGTCTGCAGATTCCTCCCTTTGTTTGCTGCCCAAGGAGAATTCATAGCTTTCGCTCCTGGAGGTTTCTGCTCTTAACTCTATCGGCGATGAAAATGGGCCAAACACATCACCCTAAAAATGGCGCGCCCCACGCCACTCAAAATGGCCACCCGACATTCACAAAAACATGAATGCCCTCATACATTAAAGTATGACCATTCTGGTTAAAGCAGCCCCAACAATCAAAAAAACAACATGGCCACCAACATCCACCAACACTAGTTATTGGGGTTCCAAAAAATGGAAATGGAGGAAACCCCGTTAGACCCTGCATCAAGTTGAAGCACTTCATGACTGGGCTGCCCTCAGATCCCCCGCTAGAAGTCTAACTTTCGGTGGGTTAAATTCGGAAATCCCCACACTAAAAGGCTCAAAATCTCAGGAACCGGACGGCCTTCGGGAGCCCCACTAGACACTAAAAGGCTCAAAACCTAAGGAACCGGATGGATGGGAGCCACCGAGATGAGAGGGATTGGTTGCCACGGTTTCCCCAAGCCCCGCGGTTTCGATCTGAGGCGAGGCGCATGAGTGCCGGGCCAGATCCTTAGGCCCAGGTCCTCCGGCTGCAGCTGGTCCGCGCAAGTCTGCGCCAGCAGCAGCTTCACGCGGAAGGCGCCCACCTTGGAGGTCCACTCCCAGCTGTCTTCTCATTGGCTTACCCCTTAAAACTCCAAGCCCTGGGGAAGTTCTCATCTTTTACAGACATATAGCCCATGTTACCCCCAAAAAGTTGAGAAAAGTTGTGTTTTTAAGAGGTAAGTTGGGGGAGGGCTCAGTTGTCTTCGGGCCACCTTACCTTACCTTACCTTAGAAGGCTACTAAAGGAGTACTGAAAAAGACGTTTTTAGAGGGGGGAAGAACAGGTGAACTCCACTAAAAGCGGGTAAGTAGGCCATGAGGGAAATATCTGGTCGCATCCCCCCTACCTTAAGGGGAAGGGGCCCAATTCTATTGATTTAGTCTTCCCCATAAAAGGGAAAATGGAACCACACATGGAAACGGTTTGGATGCGGCTTTTGTGGATCCACCCCTGACATTAGAAGAGTACTAAAAGAGTACTAAAAGAGACCCTACAGGAGGGAAGCACAGGCGAAATCCACAAAAAGCTCATCCAAACCGTTTTCTAGAGGTAAGTAGGCTATGATGGAAATACCTGGTCGCAACTGGGGTTATAAGTGGTGCAACCTGTTGCTACAACTGGTGTAACTGGGTCTGGTGAAGCTCGAGCTTTTGCGTGCAACTAGGGGTTCTAACTGGTGCTGGGTCTCTGGAACTGGCGCTGGGGCTATAACTGGTGCAGCTGGGGGTTCAACTGGTGAATTATTCTCGGTTGCTTTCTGCTCCCCTGCTAAAAGTGAATAACTTTTAGTGGTTTAGTACGGAAAACCCGTTAGTTGGCAAAAAGTTAAAGTCCTAACAGCCAAGCAAAATGCACCAAAGTATTGGTGCAACTGGGGTTACAACTAGTGTAACTGGGGGCAGCAGCTCGCAGAGAAACCGACCGAACAATTCGAAGCAGCAGCAGCGCCTGGCGCTTCTTCTTCGTGCTGGGGCTAGAACTGGTCTCAGTTGTTCAGTGACCCTGGAAAAAGGGACGACAATTTTTAGTGGGGCAGCCACCAAGAAGAAACAAACAAAAGGAAAAAGGGTGCCACTGAACAACTAAGTGGTGCAACTGCGGTGCAACTGGGGTTGGAACTGGTAAAAACTGGGGCTACAGCTGGCGTAGCTGGGGTTACAACAGCAGCTGGGGTGTAGCTGGGGCCATAACTGGTGGAACTGTTTTTGTAACTGGTGTAACTGGGGTCGGGCTTATATCTGGTACAACTGGGGTTATAACTCCTGCAACTGGGGATACACGCAGTGCTGCACCCAGTGTAACGGTCATAACTCGTACAACTGGGGATGCAACTGGGGGAGCTACTGCATTCAAAAACTAAACGACTAGGGGTTCGAGCCTAACCCGGAGAAATCCGATACCCTAAAGAAAAGGTTTCAACATAGAGTGTCCGTTCCCCCGTTCCCCCCCCCCCCCGAAAAAATAAATAACAACAAATAAAAAAAGAAGAGTTCGGGGGAAGCCCACACATTTTCATAACTCCTGGGTACTTGACATGCCGGACGCCACTTCCTGCAGCTATAAAATGCTTTTGGGCAGCTGGAAATCACTTGGCCTCAGATGACAAAGTGTGGAAGTGAGTTTAGACAATGGCTACTTGGATGTTCGGCCAAGTCGGTAAGTGGTTAGCCGCCTGGGTTGCAACCCACCAATGACAGGGTTCACTCCACTGAGCGGGGGCGGGGGGACCTATAAGTGGGTTCTACCCCAGGTCACCAATAGCTTACTAAGGGATTGTCTGAAATGGAACTTGGCTTTCCCAACCTTTGGCCTGAGGATAAATCGAGAACGTCCAGAACAATGATAAGGCGTTGTACTGCAATACGTGGAGGGGTGGCTCAAGTTGGGGGACAAAATGGTCGGTCTCCGTTTTGGCTGCCCTTTAAACCAACCGAAAGAAGGTTCCCTTCAAAAAGTATCAACAAAAAACACACCGCTTTGCTTAAGCCAGAAAACGGCCCATTCGCAAAAATTGGACGCTGGGGGGCTTGAGGAAACCGAAAGAAGCTGAGCTGTTCCCTATTCTCAATTGCCCAAAGGGCACAGAAATACAAGGTTCACCTTTGGAAAGCCAAAAGGTCAAAAAGTCGGCTTTGAGTTACGGACAGCAAAGCAGCTCCAAAAAAGCGATTTTTGGGGCGGCGGGAACATAGGTGCCCTTTTTTGGTGATTGAACCACCAGATAAACCAGGGCCCTCTATTTTTCAACCAAATCAACCAAAAAGGACACCTGTGGGTGGGAAGGGGAGGAGGGTCTTGTTCAAGTTTCAGCGGATTCAGAGTCACAAGGTGAGCCACAGCCTAAGCTCAACTTCGGATTCGGCCGGAGCACATCGGAGCACTATTTTTGATTCTATTCGGTGGCAAGCCAGTTAGGGAATTATGTATCCCTTTGGGGCGCTACTTTGACTTGTAGGGTCCTCCGGATTCGAATCCCAACATTTCGGGGTTGGGAACCAAGATTCTAAAATCTAGGTCCTCCAGTAAAAAGGAAAAAATCCGGGTACACTTTTTTTTTCTTCTGTGGTTAATTTTAGGGGAACCCTCCGTGAGAAAGGGCACTACTGGGGGGCCTAGAAAACTATGAAATGGTCGTCTCCAAGGAACCGGATGTTCCAATCAGTGGGTGGCTCGAAACTTGGCCGAAGGCCGGTGGAAACATCCGAAGGCCCCATCCAGAAACGAGAAAAACCATGGGTTGCTGGCAGGGGCCACTCATTCTGCCGAGTTAAACCCTAGGGTTCCTTGCCAAGAGCCCAATTCGGATGAACTTCCTGGAGTAAACAATGGTCGTATTCTCGGAACTGAACCCAGCGGCATGCACAAATGATTCAAAACGGAGCGCGAAAGGACGAATCGGCTAGATTCTCACCCCCTCTGGCTTGATGGTCTGAACCCCAGGGTAAAGGCAAGGTTGAAACCAAACAAACCATCAGTCCCAAGATCATATTGACACGCGCAGACACACACCACCTGGGAAATGTCCAACCACTCACCCAGAGGGAAAGCCTCAAGTGAACGTTCATGGCATTTAATTGCCTTTCGTTGGTTTTATCTGGATCAGGCCGCTTGCCCTTAGCTAGCGAGGGCCAATCCGAACCCACAATTAACTGTTACCAAAGTTCGTAGGAAATTCCCCCCAGGGAAAGCTTGAGGATTGCACTGACATGTCCTTACAGTTACAGGTCTCCTGATAGCTCCCGAACCACTAAGTCCTCCAGTAGAGAGGTTAGAATAAGGGTACCTTTTTCTGTCGTCTAGTTTAGTAGGGGAACCCTCCCAACCAAACAAGGGTACCTAAAAAGGACACCTATGTCCCGAACCTGTATGCCTGCAAATCTGAGAGATATTTTGGGACCTCGGCTCCCGGTGCATCTTAAGAGCCAACCCACGACGCCCACACGCGAGCAAGCGCCTGGATGCAGCTGCCGCGCAGGGCCTCCCCGCTACAGTCCGCCACCTCCCCCAGGTCCTCGCTTTCTCCGGCGGCGGCAAACAAAAACGAGACCAAAGGAGAACGGGATGCCCTAAACTCGACTTGTTCTTCTCTTGGTTGCTGTTGACCCCCCTGCAAAAAGTTTATTTTTTTTTGGGGGGGGGTTTAGTGAAAACCCAACTTGATTTCAACCAAAAAGTTAAAGTTTTCTTCTTGGCTCTGCTTTCCCCATGGCAATCTCATTGCCGGAGATTCCGGAGATTTTGATGGCATTGGCATATTTGTCGGATGACGAGCAGTCCATTTGCTTTGTCGCGTCCTGGAAAAGAATGAGAACATGTGTCCAGCAGTGATAACATCCTTGTTAAAGCCAACAAGGGAAAATAACACAGTAACACATTTGTCCCCGGAGTAGACCCTGCCTTGATATAAGATAATATTGGAGTGTTCCCCAAAGTCTGATTCCCCACGAAACCCAGGTTGACACCCTCCGTCAAAAAAAAGAAAAGCAAAAACAAAAAACAACGAAAAACGCAGGGGAGCCTGGCGTCCAAACGGAAGCCTAGCCCTGCAGATCTGGCTGAAACAATGAAGGTACTGTTGGACCATTGGAAAGCCCCTGCTGCCCTAGGCCAACCTGGTTGGAAAGGGCTCCTTTGCCAAAGCAAGTCACTCTGATCTAGCTTGAGCTGTACTGGCCGCAAAGTGGATGTGAAGTCTGAAGTGCAAACCACCTCTTACATGGCCCGGCAGACTTCCCAGGTTCTTCAACCACTGCTGGTGGTACAAGTGGTTCCTCGATTGCTTCTTGTGAAAGGCGCCAATTTGGACCCAACCAAACAGCTTGGAGTGGTTGGGGGGCCTGTAGTTCAAAACAAGTTGAAGAAAAGATTAAAAAAAAGGCATCCGAGGAAAAAGCTAATTGACCCTAAAGCTCCTTCACTATGGCCCCGGAAAAGCATCTCCCTGCGGCTTTTTGCGGCCAATAAAACCAAACGCTTTGTGGGTGGCCGGCTTGCTCCAAGTTGACCGGTGGAAAATTATCTTCCATTTGGTTAAGACCCCAGAAAAAATAATAAAACCATATATATATATATGTTCAGTAGTAATAAATTCATTTTAACACCAACAAGGGTGTTTATTATTATTTTATTCTACTTAAAACAAAAAAACTTAAGCAAATGCAAATTATTCAAGGACTTGCAACGAGCGCGTCGAGCGCGCGCCTCGCAGGGGAAGAGGCACACATCCTCCCCGCAGTCTTCCCAGGCCATGCGGCCGAGTCGGCCCAGGGAGCCGAACGGCGACCCGAAATCCGCGTCGCTTTCCGCGTGACCCAAAATCAAAACGCCTGGTACGTGCTGCTTTTGCTGTCCTCTTGGGTGGTTTTCCTCTTGGTGTGCCTTTTGGTTTCCGCCACAAAAGGGGAGACCCCTATGGATTTTGTCAGGTTCATGATTTTGGTTCCTTTTCTAGGTCCTCCGAATTTGAGAGGTTAGAATTGGTACCGTTTCTTTTTTAGGTTTGGTCTAAAAAGGGTAAGAGGGCACGACTGGGGGACCTAGTTTTCAACCAATCCCAAAAGGGTGCCCTCAAAGAGACGTGCCCCACATTCTACTGATGTTTGTTTGTACCGCATTCTCGGCGGGCCGTGCTTGTGCGAGTGAAAACATCGAGCCAATAAGAGAACAGTGAGAAAAGGTAGGACACGGGGATCAACTGAACAACTACTTACTATTGGTGATTCCATGTTTAGCGTATCCAACCACACGAAACTCACCTTGCCTCCAGTTGGGTGGTTTGGTTTGGTGACTTGGATGCTAAGGGGGTGCCTTCCCCACTTGGCTTCAAAGGAGCTGGGATTCCTTTGTCCCCAGTTGGCATCCAAAAAGGATACTCTGCGGATGGACAGAGAGTTTCCTTCGGCGTGTCCCGAAAAGAAGGCCATCCAAAAGCGGCCGGCTTTGCGCATTTTACCACCCTCGGTTGCTTTCTGCTCCCCTGCTAAAAGTTTAACTTGCAGTGGTTTAATGGAAAACCCATTAGTTGGCAAAAAGCTAAAGTCCTAACATCCAAGCAAAATGCACCAAAGCACCCACATGGATTTGCACCATGGCCCAACTGCAAAGAGACACGCTATAGCCAAACGTGGCGGGCGGCGTGGTCCATGCTCGGCAGCTCTCAAATGCAAGCCACTAAACTGGGCCTTCTCGTCCGTTTGCTCAACCCTGCTGGGAAATACATATTTGCAGCAGTAATAGACTCCCTGTAAACCAAACAGAGAAGAAGAAAAAAGAAAAACGCACACTCTTAGTCAAGCAAATGGAAGTTCTATGAAGAGTCTGCATTTTGACGGAGACCACCACAAATGACTGGCAACTGGTGTCGTTTGGTTTCACTTTTGACCAACCCAACTTTGGGGTTCCGGTATCCCTTTCAACCCTCCTCTTGTGGGTTCCATGCTCGTGGACAGCAGTAGTTTCTTGCCGTTGGATGGGGATCCCTCGGCCTTTGTCCACATCCCATTTCATCCGACTTCGCCTATATACCCTCCCTGGGATTTTCTGGCTGATGCTGTTGGCTTGCGCGCTTTCCCAAAAGGGAAGCAGTGCTTTGGGTGCTTCTTGGCACCCCTCCGGGGCCCATCCATCTAAGATGCCTTCAAAATGTCCGTTTTCCAGCGCCTGCAAAAAGGAAAGGGCGCCGGTGCCGCAGACCTGCGATCCTTGGATTCGTCCTCCAGATTTGAGAGGTTAGAATAAGGGTACCAACTTTTTTTCTGTAGTCTATTGCAGTAGGGGAACCCTCCCCCCCAAAAAAAAAGTAAAAGGGCACCTAGCTGGGGGACCTAGTATTTTAAGCGGCCATCGGGACCCTGGTCATTTGGTCATCCTGAAGTCAGCCACTGTTCGTGTGTGTGTGCCTGTGTCTGCGCGTGAAGGTTCTTTGCATGTCTGTGCGCTGGAGTGTTTGTTGAGAGCATCCGAATACCCTTTCAAAATCCCGCCTACCTCAAGGAAAAGGGGGGTGGGGAGTTCGGGATCCAATTCCATTTGGTCTCCCCCCATGAATGGAGATCCTCAGGGTCGTTTTCTCCCCCCTCCTCCGCTTCCGTTTTTTAGGGGGTGGAAAAGAAAAGGATCAACTTAGGTGTGAAAAACCAACGTCAGGCAAGCAGGTTATATTACATGGCCAGGGTTGTATTTGGGGACGATCGTTACACTACTTGTAACCATGGTTACAAGGGGTCAACCCCAGCTACACCACTTAGAACCATGGTTACAAGACTAATCCCAGTTACACCACTTTGGACCATGGTTAATTACAAGGGGGTAACTTTTGACCATGGTTACAAGGGGGTGACCCCAGTCACACCAAGGGGACGACCACCCCAGTCACCAGTTACCATGCTACTAAGTGGGTTCAACATCCAAGTGGTAGGGGATGAATCGAGCCCTAGGGTTCACTGAGTGTTCCAAGTAAATGTCCTTAGCAACGTAATATACTTACCATGGTTGCAAGGGGATTAACCCCGGTTACACCACTTTTCCAACTGACAACTGCCCTCCCGCAGCCTTCGACGTCCACCGCCCCAATGCCAGGACTGGGCGGGGGGGGGGGGGGGCTTGGCGGCGTTGCGGCGCCAGGGCAGGTTTACTCAGAATCCTTGACTCGCAACTTGAGTCAAAGAACATGGAAATCAAAGGTTAACTTTTGGGCTGAGACTGAGCATGAAACACAAGTGCAAAACCAAAAGATGCCAAAAGGCCGGTTTTGGGCAAGTGAAGTGGGTTGAGGGAATTCCCATGCGAACAAAGGCATGTAAATCAGACTGTGTATGATTCACTAAGGAACCTGCATATCGAGTACGCATGCATGTGCACATGTATAGATGTCTCAACCGCTCTTTCACCAACAGGCCCCCACTCCACATCAACGCAAACCATGCTAGATTTTCCAGATTGATAGGCAATGCTCAAGCAGTGTGGAAGTGTTACTTGCCCCTTCCCTACGCTGAGATCCTTAAATAACCAATCCAATCGTTTGCAGGTTCCAAGTTCCATGGGAACTCGCAAAAATCTCACTGAATTTGCCAAATCAATTCAGACGTTGGTAACTGTTCAGCACCTCCTATTCGCTTCCCTCCAATGAGTGTTTTGGAATTGGCAGTTTGGAGGTTGGGGGATGGGCTTCCATTTGACTCTAAAAATCCAAGGAGTTCAAATCCCCAAGCCACCAATTCGAACCACCAATTAAGGGTAACCTGATGACCTAAGAACTTTGGAAGCATGTGGGAGGGAAACCAAACAAACCACTTTCTTTTCGCTCGGAGCAACCCGAGCCAGAGCTTGCCTTCGAACGAGTCAACCAGCGCCACCTATGGGTAACCCACCTAACCTAGAAAGGACACCGATACGCATTCAGTGCCTCTGGCAGAAAATGAGAACCCTTCTTGGGCTTGACCACCTAGCCGGCACTCCGCAAAACGAGGGACAAAGGGTGCTGAACACCTGCCTGGGCAGTTGGATGTGAGGTCCTCCAGATTTGAGAGGTTTGAATAAGGATACCAACTTTTTTCAGTAGTCTATTTTAGTAGGGGAACCCCCAAAAAGGGGTGAGAAAGGGCACCTACCTGACTGCAAAACAGCGCTCGGTTCGATTTCAAAGCGGCTGGTGGATCAGCGCGATGTCTGCAGGAGGATTCTGCTTGTAGATGGTCTGCTTGGTATCGCACCTGGGGTTTTCGCTTCAGGGCTCCTTGCCCCCAGTAAACGAATGGCTGGCAAGGGGGCCCAACTTGGATCAAAGTTCCAGAGGGTGAATACGGCGGTTATAATAACAATACTTTGATTTAATGGTGGTTTGGCCCCAGGGTTGACGTTTCTAAGTAGAAGGGACCCTAAACATAAAAGCTTGCAAAAGGGGGTCCTTTTCCCCGAAGGGATCTGTCGTTCTGAATCAACGGCCAGTCATCTTGGGGTTTAGCCTCTCCTCCCCCTGAGAAGAAGGTTGTTCGACCTTTTGCGGGTTTAATGGAAAAGCCTTGTTTCCAACAGGTCTCAGTGGTAACTCAGCCCAAGGGACCGAGAAATAACAGTTTGACCTTTTGAAACCTTGACTAAAGAGGACCACATCAGGAAAACCACACATCAGATCCGGTCAATTCACTTTGGGCAACTGGGAAGGGGTTAAGGTCACACCAAGCCCGCACGAGGCTTCGGCCGGCACAATTCCATCTAGTCTGGAAGGCGGCAGTTTTTTTGAATCTTGGGATGGGCGATGGGGTGACGTCATGGACCCCCAAGGGGGGCTATGGAAGGGGGGATGCTATCCGTGGATGAGCCATGGATAAGCCCTTGATAAGGCCTTATTCAGGGGTTAATAAGGGGTAGCCCCCCCCCCCGCAAAGGAAATCCCCAGTTGTTTTTTGTGGCGGTGGGGCATGCACCAACAGACGAGCGTGCACTTTCTGAGGTCGTCCATGGCAATCAAGCCAGGGATTGATGGTTTGGAAGTGTTCCGGAGGTGGTTTCCCATGTTCATAACCATGGTGTAGTTGTGGTTAGCCCCCTTACAAACATAGTTGCAACCTACCCCCAGACAAAGTGTTAGGTCAAATTTAGGCAACTCCGGCGGCGCGTTTGCAAACATAGATGGCCCCGGCAAATGGAATGAAACCCACCTAAGCCAGTCAGTGCAACCTATGTTTATTCAAAATAACCTAGAAAGGTCACCTATGCAGAGGCATCTCAAAAGAAAACTGGGGAGAACCAAATTTCAACAAGTCAAACGAGCGCCAAACGCATTCCAAACAAACCCGTAGTATAGGGAAACTTGCAGGCGAGGAGAGTGGGGGAGGCCAATTCCATCTTTGCCAGTTTTCACAAACGTGGAACTCTGAATAAACAAATTTCATCTTTCAGGGAATGCGACAAAAACACGGGGACAAAATAAATTGAAGGTGCCAAGAAACCGGATGGCGGGGAGCTACCAAGATGGTTTGGCCCCTTATATTCACTTGCCCAAAGGACCCAGAAATACAGGACTCACCTTTTTGGGGCCAGCACCAAAAATGGGAACCCCAACATCAGAAGACCAACAAACCAAAACAAACCGCCCCAAAAACAAACCGCCCAAAAACAAAAACAAACCAAAAACAAAACAATGGATCCCCCAAAGCAAAAGCCGCCCCGTGCAGCCGCGGCACGTCTCCTCCCACTGGCCCGTGGTGCCGGAGCCCTGGGTCACCGAGACTCAACATGCGCGTCGGGGGGTCAGGTGGCACCCCCCCTAGTCGTTGATTTTGCGGCAGGGATGGGGGCGGTTCTGAGAATGGAATGAATTTGTGGGGGGGATGGGGGTTGTTCCGAAAATGGAATGGTTGTAACCTATGACCAGCACTGGTCAATGATTAGAACCTAGGTCGCCAGCGCCATCTTCTAGGCTCATTTGGCTTTTGGAGCAGGTAACTATTTGGCATCCCATTGTGAAAATAGATCTGGACTCCCCCTATTCGTTGATTCTGTGGGGGGGATGGGGGTTGTTCTAAAAATGGAATTCCATACTTGGAAGTTCAACCGGCTTAATAAGTAGGTTATGACCGTGGTGTTTAACGGGTGTAACTGGGGTTCGTCCCATTATGACCAGTTACGATTAAACTACTTACCAAGTTGTTTCCTTATAAACATCACTCCACGAGGAGAAGCGTCCAACAAGTGGCTCAACATGTGATGTCTACTTCCCGCAGCTCTCTGCTCGGTTGTTCCATTGCGAACACATGCGGCCTAGCATGCCAGAACACGAAAGCCGGCCAGCTGATCCGTGCTCATCCCGTGCGCCTAGAAGCGAAGGAACCCCCGTGCCTACCAAACAATCAGGTATGCGAGAGCGTATCCAAAAACAAGCCAGCAGCTCGCAAAGTGTCTAGTTCAACAGACCCATAAGGTCCGATTTATCTGGCGGGTCCAAACGGTCTAGACTGGAGGGCTTGGGGAGTCCTCCCATTCCATTTCTCTAGCCTTCCCCATAACATAAAAAGGAACTCCAGGGGTTCACCCCCTCCTCCACTATAAGTTTTTAAGGGGTGGGGATATGGGAATTCAATCAGACAATTCACGCCCGGCCACTTGCAACGATGCTGACGAACACAGCACCTTTTGCGCATTCCCAAAGTCCGAAAACTCACTTCCTCAGTAGATTGGCCAAAGAATGTCCAACTAACATGTTGTGCACTAACAAAAAATGGTGACCACTAAATTCCGGGGCATGGAACCGAGCCTCAAAATCAGTGCTTTTCCCCGGCTGCCTTAGCAAATATGTGGGTCTGTTCCTCTTTCAAGGGGAACCCCTCGGTAGGTGGTTGTCTTGAAAAGCGATTCAAGGTGCCACTGGACGAGTCCGGAAGAAAAATTGCAGCCAAGCTTCAGCTTTGTTGTAGAACCTGGCAAGCCAGCCAACCCGAAATTGCCGCTCGTGTGTGTGTGTGTGTGTGCTGTGCTGTGCTGTGCTGTGCTGTGCTGTGCTGTGCTGTGCTGTGCTGTGCTGTGCTGTGCTGTGCTGTGCTGTGCTGTGCTGTGCTGTGCTGTGCTGTGCTGTGCTGTGCTGCTGCTGCTGCGCTGCGCTGCGCTGCGCTGCGCTGCGCTGCGCTGCGCTGCGCTGCGCTGCGCTGCGCTGCGCTGCGCTGCGCTGCGCTGCGCTGCGCTGCGCTGCGTTGCGTTGCGTTGCGTTGCGTTGCGTTGCGTTGCGTTGCGTTGCGTTGCGTTGCGTTGCGTTGCGTTGCGTTGCGTTGCGTTGCGTTGCGTTGCGTTGCGCTGCGCTGCGCTGCGCTGCGCTGCGCTGCGCTGCGCTGCGCTGCGCTGCGCTGCGCTGCGCTGCGCTGCGCTGCGCTGCGCTGCGTTGCGTTGCGTTGCGTTGCGTTGCGTTGCGTTGCGTTGCGTTGCGTTGCGTTGCGTTGCGTTGCGTTGCGTTGCGTTGCGTTGCGTTGCGTTGCGTTGCGTTGCGTTGCGTTGCGTTGCGTTGCGTTGCGTTGCGTTGCGTTGCGTTGGGTTGGTTGCGTTGGTTGCGTTGGTTGTTGGGTTGTGTTGGGTTGGGTTGGGGTTGGGTTGGGTTGGGTTGGGTTGGGTTGGGTTGGGTTGGGTTGGGTGGGTTGGGTTGGGTTGGGTTGGGTTGTTGTTGTGTTGTGTTGTGTTGTGTTGTGTTGTGTTGTGTTGTGTTGTGTTGTGTTGTGTTGTGTTGTGTTGTGTTGTGGTGTGTGTGTGTGGTGTGTTGTGTTGTGTTGTGTTGTGTTGTGTTGTGTTGTGTTGTGTTGTGTTGTGTTGTGTTGTGTGTGTGTTGTGTGTGTTGTGTTGTGTTGTGTTGTGTTGTGTTGTGTTGTGTTGTGTTGTGTTGTGTTGTGGTGTGGTGTGGTGTGGTGTGGTGTGGTGTGGTGTGGTGTGGTGTGGTGTGTGTGTGGTGTGTGTGGTGGTGTGTGGTGGTGTGTGGTGGTGTGTGGTGGTGTGTGGTGGTGTGTGGTGGTGTGTGGTGGTGTGTGGTGGTGTGTGGTGGTGTGTGGTGGTGTGTGTGGTGTGTGTGTGTGTGGTGTGTGTGGTGTGTGTGTGTGTGGTGTGTGTGGTGGTGTGGGTGTGTGGGTGGTGTGTGTGGTGTGTGTGTGTGTGTGTGTGTGTGTGTGTGTGTGTGTGTGTGTGGTGTGGTGTGTGGGTGTGTGTGTGTGGTGGGTGTGTGTGTGTGTGTGTGTGTGTGTGTGTGTGTGTGTGGTGTGTGTGTGTGTGTGTGTGTGTGTGTGTGTGTGTGTGTGTGTGTGTGTGTGTGTGTGTGTGTGTGTGTGTGTGTGTGTGTGTGTGTGTGTGTGTGTGTGTGTGTGTGTGTGTGTGTGTGTGTGTGTGTGTGTGTGTGTGTGTGTGTGTGTGTGTGTGTGTGTGTGTGTGTGTGTGTGTGTGTGTGTGTGTGTGTGTGTGTGTGTGTGTGTGTGTGTGTGTGTGTGTGTGTGTGTGTGTGTGTGTGTGTGTGTGTGTGTGTGTGTGTGTGTGTTTGGTTGTGTGGGTCATACCCTTGTTCTTTGGGAAGAAACGGACCCCCCCCGTCTCCCTTCCTGAGTGGATTGGCCAACAAACATCCAAACTTATGGTCTTCGCAGCGAGCGATGGTTCTCAAGCGGCTGTCTAAAGACCTCAAACTGGGAACACGGTTTCGAAATGAGCTTTGGTGTGCCGGCCTCATTATTTTACCATGATCAAAGTCACCCCCTAAAGTACCACATTTTCTGACTTTGATAACCCCCAGAAATCGTCAAAATAATGACCCCAGTGTTGCCGGGTGCAAAAAGATGCATCTTGGCCAAAGTGAAATCCACCTTAAACTGTCCACCAGATGTTTCAAGGTTTCTACATTTACCAGGTGAGTGGTTGGGCTCTCATTGCACCATGTACCAGAAATAAAAAAGGTAAACCTCTTGGGGCCATGACCTAAAATGGACCCAAATTGGAAAATAAAGGGTAAAGGGTCGATTCGCTTTGGGCAACTGAGCGGGTGCAAGCTTCTACTGGGGCCCAGTTGCACCCTTGACCTGGGTTCATAATTAATCCTTCCTGCAAAGAACCATGCAACCCACAATGGAGATCTCCCAAAAGGATACTCTGCAACATGTGATTCATGGTCAAAAGACCGATTCCTTCACTTGGGGTTGGCAGGGATGGTCATCCTGCTAAAGAACCTAAACCATCATTTTGAGTTTCTGTTGAGGGAACCATGACCCAATGAGGCTTTTGGGATTCAATAATACGAAACTGCAGGGCGCCCTTGTGCCGGCTGGTGATTTCCCCTGTGGTGGTGTCCCACTTCGGATCACGCATTTGGATTAGATTTGGTTTGCCCTCCGGGACCCCGTTTGGAATAACCCAAAGAAAAGGCCCTGTTGACACTTGCTGTAGCAAGCTTGCAAGCTTGCAAGCACCGCTGGGTTCCTACCTTTTGTGGGGTCATAAGGGAGCCAAAAAACTCACTCACTCTTCGAAATCCGTCCGTTTGGGACTTTAGTCACCTGTAGGGTCTGGACCATTTGAGTGGTAAATATAGTTCAAGCTTGGCTACTTTTTGTTGGCCCATCCAGGGAACGTGAGCAAAAGCTTGGTTGCTGTACCCCCTGCAAAAAAAGGGTTTAGTAGAAAACGCTTTGATTTTCCAAAAAGCTAAAATCTAAAGATCCAACCCAATAGCAGCCAAGAAAGGGAATGTCGAATCGACTGCGTGGTGTTTCCAAGTGGCAGAGGAAAATTATTGCGGTCGCCTTTCTATGGGTCGATTTGGGGCAATGGTTTTGTCTCAGAACATGCAACCCGTCGAAACTTCACTTCCTGACTTCCTGGACCTTAGTCACTTTTTAAGGATCAATCGATTTCTGCCGGGCGGCTTGGAGAAGTTGCCATCGCAGGAGGCGTTCATGAGCTGCCCATGGTTCTCTTTCCTCGGGCGAGCGGATTTGCTCCGGGCGTATCAAGAAAGCAAACCAAAACGGACAGTTTGTAGTCCAACAGGCCCGACAAGTCCTGATTTATCTGGAGAGTCTGGACATCCCCCAAACCTTAAGCGGGGGGGGTGGGGGTCTCCCAATTTCTCCAGCTAGTCTTCCCAAAGAAGAGGGAAATGGAACCATGAATGGAATTACAGGGGTTACCAGCCCCTCCCAAATCCATTTTTAATGGAAGGGGTGCGGGCGTCGGCACATAACAAGGGGATGTCTGGAGTTTGAGTTGTCCAGACCCTCCAGTTGACACCCAACCCCGAGACCAACATTCGGCCTGAAACAAACTCGCTCTTCTGTCCACGAATGGAGGGTATTGAATCGCATTGGGGCGCTTTGTTATGTGAAAAGTTGGGTTTGTCTATAAACTGCGGGTCTCAACCTAGAACGGGGTGAATTTCTTTTAGACCAGTCTTGGACACGTTTATCGGAAAATGTTGGCCCCTGTTTAATTAAAATGGAGGGCCAAGGCTTCTTCTTATCCTAGCCCGTGAGACCCCCATAACCCTTACGCAACGGAAGGAGGGATTGATTTTGGCCTGAGTTAGGTGTGGCTCAAAATTGAACAACTGGGGTTACACAGGTTTTAGTCTTTGGTTCATCTGCCAACGTGCCATGTTGGTACATTTGTTGGACCCAGAGCCAGATAGATTGTATTCCTTCCCAAAGTAAGGGCAACCACCAGCTCATGGCCGGCATCCCCTCACAGAAGCTTTCAACATGGAGCCCCAAGCCTCTCTGAAAACTCAAATGGCACCAAGCAGCCAATGGGAACCCAGGAGAAAGTTGATGATAAAGGGTGTGTCCCCTTCTATATAGTGGGGATTCAGGCCACTTTTGGAGACAACACCACCATATTAACAGGGTTTGTAAGTCCAGGGTCAACTGTCGAATTGGCCACCCTGCTTAGGACCGTGCGCACTGAAAACCGTTCATCGCACAAACACGTCACAAAGGTGGTGAGCCAAGCCCGGCCCACTAGCTGTCACTATTTGGACGTTCGGCCAAGCAACTGGTCAGCCGCCATCTGGGATATAACCCACGCACGACTGGGTTTTCCCCACTTAACGCTCCCCACTTAAGAAGGCTTATAAGTGGGCTACCCAAGTTTCCAATCGAACACCCAGGTACCTCGCAAGTGCCGAGACTCGTGTCCATGCACATGTCATACTCGATCTTCTTAGCCTCTTGACCTAAGTGCTCGGGCTCCAGGGTCTGAAGCCCGGATGAAACTTCCCCTCACAGACCGGGCCAGAACCCCGTTCACTTTTTAACTCACGTGCAAAACATGGAAAACCAAAAAAAAAAGAACTAAAACATCTCGCGAAGCCTCAATCAGAGACTAGGTCCTCCAGTAGAGAGGTTAGAATAAGGGTACCCTTTTTTAGTCGATTTTAGTAGGGGAACCCTCCCAACCAAAAAAGGGGTGAGAAAGGGCACTACTGGGGACCTAAAAACAATCAGCTCTGGGCCAGGCTCCCTTGCTGAAACAAGTCGAAACCGGGTCACCTATTCCCAGATGCCCAGTGGATTTCCATTGGAAAAACAGGGCATTCTTTTTTGCTGTGCCCCGCGCGTCCGCGGCAGTCATTGTGCTTCACCTTGAGTGTGGAGAGGCCCTTGTACCTGAGCCGCTTTGCGTCAAGGTGAAAGGACAAAGCAAAGTAGGATGAGTCAACCAGGATGAATCATGGGAACCTCCAGATTGATAAGCCTGGTTGATTAACAGAGGGTGCCCCCTTTTAATTGGTGGGGCCGGGGGGGGGGGAGAGTCCCTCGCTTCTTGACTTCCATTTGCTTAGGCCCCCTGAAAAAAACAAAAACAAAAAACATATTTCCAGTAGTGATCGATTCCTTATAAAACCCACAGCGAAAATTTGTTTAAAAAAAAAAAAAAAAAAACTTAAACAAATGGAAGTTGAGATTCCCCAACAAGTAAAATCCAGGAGAAGCTTCCAGGTGAATTCCTGTGCCTGTGAAGCGGAGCCTTCCGTGTCCTTTGTGGATGGGACCCACGGGCGCTTCATCTTACCCGCCCTCCCACGTTGCCCATGGCAAGTGAGAGAGACCCGTACCTCCCCACAGGCGCCATGTTACTGGGCGCCATGCTACTGGGAGGAAGGGTACATTGCCTTACTCTTTTTGAAAATGGATCTGTCTTCTTTGCCCTCTTTTTGCGGTTTTTCAAGGGAAAGCCAACAGGACAACTATTTTGTTTGGGGGTTCCCAAACAGAAGACACGCCCTTATCGTAATCGGGTGGAAACAAACATCCCGAAAGGAACAACGGCCCAACCGTGGGAGTTTTTGGCAATTCAAATGCCCCGGGACGAATTGCAGAGTGTCGCGATGTCAGGGCTCCCTTCACGGAACTACAGGGATCCGGATGCATTATACACCTGAGCATTGCAACTTGTACATGGTGGTTTCCAACTTTACTTTGGTGTTGAAAAAGCCATCTTTTGGTGGAAAAAGCCGGCCATGCTTCAAATGGTTGCAACATGAGTTTCTTTTAAGGAGCCCTGTTGCAACCAGGACGAATTTTTGTTCGAAGTGGCCAGACCCTGCTGGGCCAGTTCTGGGAGCTTTGGGGTTGGATTCTGAGGTGTTTTTGATTCCTCAGTTCAGTGACCCTGGAGGGAGAAAAAAAAATGGAACCCTTTTTGGTGGGCTTGCACCATTTTTAGTGGGGCAGCCACCCCCACCCAAAAAAAAAGGAACAAGAATTGGTGCCGCTAAACAACTGAGATGCACAACGCCCTCTTAGATCTGTTTGTACCCCGGTCTCGAGCACCAGCAGCTTAGCAGCTTTGCGCCCTCCGGCGTCACTCACTTCTTCCTCCAAACGTCCATTTGCTTCTTCGCCCCCTGGAAAAAATAACATATTTCCAGTGTAGTGATCGATGCCTTTTAAAACCAACAGGGGAAATAAAAAAAAGAGAAAAACAACACATAATCTTAAACAAATGGAAGTAAATGGTGGTCGTCCGAGTGCGCATGGTGCCCTGGCAACAGCATGCCGCTGCATGCGGGCGAGTGTCCAGACCAAGTCGCCCCCTATGGACGGGTGTCTTCACCGTTGTTGGCAAGTTTTTAGGTTTTCCAAAAGGAAGCCCATGAAAAAAAGGTCTATGTTTAGCGTGGTTCTAAAAAGCCCAAATGGAAGACCATCATTTTGGGGGAGGTCCCCGAAGAAAGACGAGACATTGTCTTCCCAAAAAGCACGCCAGGATCTGTGAGGTGGCTGCGAATCAGGGGCTTGCACCAACCCCCTGGAACCTTGCCTAGGTCCTCCAGTAGAGAGGTTAGAAAAAGGGACCATTTTGTTTCTGTAGTCTGTTGTAGTAGGGGAACCCTCCCCCAAAAAAGGGGTGAGAAAGGGCACTACTGGGGAACCGGTTCCTGGAAGACATGTTTTTTGTTTTGAAGAGGTGTGGTGGGCTCAAAGGCGCAGGTCGGGCCTTTTAGGCTCCAGAGGCGAGAGGGTCGAGGGGCCTTTTGGGGTCCGTACAAGCTGATCATTCTGCAGCTTCCAGTCTGAACTTCCGACTTCCGGTGGTCCGCCATCCATTTAGGAGTGGAAACCACTGAAGTGGCCAAAGCTGCAGGCCACCAATGGAACACCTGGAACCTGGCAAAAGGTCCCTTCAGTGTGATGTTTTCATGGAAGGGGCACGAAAAGTTGTACAGGTGCTATGTTTGTGTCTTTCTCACCCCTTTTTGGGGGGAGGGTTCCCCTACTAAAATAGACGAAACCGAAAAAGAAAAGAAACAGTACCAACTTATTCTAACCTCCAAATCCGGAGGACCTGGTCTATGTCTGTCTTTGGGATGTGTGGAACACGAGCTCTCGCAGCCCCAAAAAATTCCAGCGCCAGGGCGCAGGCTGCCGTGGCCGCCCGCGCGCACGGCGTTGGGGTGGCTCAAGGCTCCCTCCAGCGTGTCGTTGCAGAGGCCGAAGCCTCGGCTCTCTCGAAGCCCACGAAAGGCGTCGCGGAAGCTTCGGCGCAGCTCTTCTTGGTTTTCACTGGATGGCCCAAAAAGTCCGAACTTGTATATTTACCACTAAAATGGTCTTCCCCCCAAAAAAAAGTTCATGAACTCAGGAAGCGAGTGGGTGAAAAGCCCCACCTTGCTGGGATGTTCGATTCGCCAACTGAGTAGGACTAGGGCCTCCAGTAGAGAGGTTAGAATAAGCGTACCAACTTTTTTCTGTAGTCTATTTTAGCAGGGGACCCTCTCCCAAAAAAGGGTGAGAAAGGGCACTACTGGGGGACCTAGACCCTTTTTTTGTGGCTTTTTAAAGGGAGATCAACAGGAACACCAAACCATTTTGGGGCTCTCTGCTTGGATGTTCCATTCACCGCTGAGTGGCCAACGCCATGACAGGGTTACCTCCACTGGACGGGGACTAATAGCCCCGGTTACCGGCAACTTTACTAAGCTAGCCGAACACACAAGCGGAGCGGTTGGTGCCCAAAGGACCCGTATGAACAAAACTGGATTCCACTGCTGTCTGCTTGGCTCCTTCGTGGGCATCCCTGCGCATCATACCCTCCCAAAAACCAAGCCCTCTGGGTTTGTTTGTGGCAGGGCAATCCCTTGAGACACAAAAGAATTGCCCCAAGTCACAGAGGTTCAACAGGGCGTTCGCTCGTTTTCGCCACCGCACCGCTCCCACCTTCGGGTTCTCTGCCTTGTCCAGGGGAGTTCGAATCCCATCGCTCTTCCGGGTGTTTTCACGCAAGGGGTTTTGCCTTTCATGAACTTTGCCTGTCAGGGACAATTGGAAGTGTGTGATCCCGGGTTAAAAGGTATCTTGAAACAGGCTGCTGTGTCCAAACTTCCCCCCCTCCCCCACATTCTTCCAAGACTCTGGACACGGCATTCTTCAGGATGGTCTCATCCGCCTCAGAACTTTGATTCCGCGCCCGCGCGGAACGGGCGCGAGCGAGCTGTCAACTCAACCCCTCCACCCAGAAACAAACACGGGAAGCAACGCATACTCCTCCAGAACTGCGACAAGCGGTGTCCGTTTGGGCACCCCCCCTCTAATAGGCCCACCTGTCGCTAGGGACCACGCATCAACAGCTCAGCCCTATAGGTTCAGCAACTTCCACGCGGCAAAGCTTCCGGCGAAGTCCAGCATGAGTTGGGGGAACCCCCGTTGACGCTGATCGGGGGTGTCCCCGTTTAGCCCGAGTTCATCAATTTTGTAGGGGCCCCACAAAGAAGGGCAAAACGAGCGGGAAGCTGGGGGGTGAGGGTTATATGTAGGATTGTGCGGGGGAAGCATCTGTTTCACCACTAACATGTTTATTTGTGTTCATTGTGCAATTATGGTTTCCTCTTGGTTTCTTGTCGTGTTTGAACGGGCTGTGTTGGTATGTTGGTGTTCTGGGGTGTTGGGTGGCTGTTGTTGGTTCACCAGCACAATCAAATTGGTATTTGATAACTACAGACTTGTGCTTCTTTGATGTTTCCTTCCGTCTTAGATTGATGTTATGGCTGATTGTTTGTTGATGTTTGTTCGCAATCTATTTCCACACCATACGTTTGCACAATGGGCATTCATTCAATCATTGGCTCTCCTTGATGTTTCTCGAGATATTCTTTGTGATGTTGGCTCCAGAACACTGTTTTTCGTGTGACATTGCTGTGTAATATAAGGGGTCTTGTCTTTGGATAAAGTCCTCTTTCTTTTTTTATTTTTTGGGGGGTCCACCAGTGTTCAACTACTCTCATTTGTGTAGTTGCCCGACTGCTTACCGCATGCCTATTATAATGTCTCTATCTACTAGGTTCTCATGAACTTCTCTTAGCACACCAAGCCTAACAAATGAGTATATGGTCACTAGAGTGATGCCGCTATTATCAATAAGCATGTCAATAACAACTCCCCAGAATCCATGATGTTTAGGTCATGTCACACGGTAAAGCATGAGAAAGGCTGTGACTCTGTTCTCGTATTCAACCCCTTCTTGCTCAATGGATTCTGCATCGCTAGTCACATTTTCTATCGCCTTTTCAACTATTGTTATATGTTTGATTTTAACGTGCTATGACTTTAAGTATGCTTGACCCTATTTAAAGGGGTGTAACTTATTAACGAAACGACATATTAACGACTTATTAACGAATTTCAACACGACTTATTTACGAAAGACGAAACACTCAGCAATCTATCTATCATTGTTTAGACGAGGGTTTCGACAGCGCCCAGGCGACACACAAGAAGGCAGAAGAGAAAGACCCAATCACAACAAATGATGTGAAGACCTCTTTAAAGAAACAGCCCAATAAACAAAATCCATGGCACCGTTTGCACGATATGAATACCAAATATAACAACCTAAAGGCCAGACTCTTTGAACAAATCACTCCCCTGCCCAAGAATGAAACAACCACATACCGAATTCTCTATCCTCTCGAAGCGAGTGAACACCCCCTCTGTACATTCCCCCGCCCCACCCCTATTAAAAGCACGGGTTTGCTAAGTCGGGGTTCCCAGTATGTCTTCTCCAACGGACGGTTTTGAAGGTTTGTATGAAAACAAGTCAGGTGTTCCCGGCCATGGCCGGCAGAAATGCCCACCGGGAGATGGGGCGGCCAAAGGGAGAGAGTGACGACGACGCTTTAGGATAGGAGGCACTGTGGGATACTATATGTGTGGCTCGTCTTTTTGAGGATACCTTTTTTTTGGGTGATGTCAAAGGGACCCCGAAGGGAACGCCACCCTTTTGGGAAACAAAACAAAAAAAAACTCCCAACGCCACTGCCAGAAGATCCAAAGAAACTCAGCCAGGCGCCCAAGAACTCATGTTTTTTGCACCGGGGACACACCCGGGAACGGAGCCAAACTCGGGCAAACCTAAGCTAGGTCCTCCAGGTTAGAATAAGTTGGTACCAACTTCTCTGGAGTCGATTTTACTATGGGAACTCTCCCAACCCAACAGGGATCCTTGCATTATACACCTGGACATTGCCTTGTCAATGGTGGTGTCCCCTTATCTTGGTGGAAAAAGCCATGCTTCAGATCTTTTAAGGAGCCCTGCCCAAAAAAGGGGTGAGAAAGGGCACTGCTGGGGGACCTAGTGGTGGACCCGGCAGCTGCCAAGCTCTGGGATCGATCCCAGACTCGACTCGGCTCGAACGGATCGCCCATCTTGCAGCTAGGGGCTGCGAACTGCGAGCGGATCGCCTGAATCATGGAGTTGTTCAGCAGGTTCTTCACCTCAAAGCAGGGAACAAGTGCAGGGTTTGCCTTTTCCAGTGAAATGAACAGCCTCCCTTGAAAAGGGCCTCTGCACCAGGGGGGCTGCTTAAAACAGTGGAAAAGGCAAACCAGGTAACCATGGGAACAAGCATGGGAACAAGCATGGGAACAAGCATGGGAACAAGAACCAAAACCCAACCATGGGAACAAACAAGCCTCAGAAGTCCCAACCAAAACCCAACCATGGGAACAGAACAAACAAGCATCAGAAGTCCCAGCCAACACCCAAGCATGGGAACAAGCAGCCACACTGCGGTGGGAAGCTGAAAAATGACCGGACTGAGGCGGTTCTTCATTTTGTCGCGCATGAGAAGTAACCCCTGTGATGCCATGACTTTCTCACTTACGAGGTTCCTTTTCGTCAGCTACCATGTCCTTGCAGAAATCTTGGTGGCTCCTTAGCTCCCTCTTTACAGCAATTTTGGATACCCCCAGCTCCCTAACCTTCCAACCACCTAGCTAAAGCCGGCCAAAACCATGCTAGCCCATCTGCGCGCAATCTGAATTCGCCTTCACTGAGGCCCCGCGCTGTGTCCACGTACATTTTCATGCCTGCGCCCTCGCCAGGGTCGGCCTGCACCCAATCCGGTGGAACCCGAAAAGCGACGCCACCACTTTTCGGCATGTCAGTTGCAACCAGCGATCCTACGCTTCAACAAGCACGAAAAGTGGTTGAGCCAATTTGGATGAAACAAAATGGAGGTTCTATTGGCCCACTTTGATTTAATTAATGGTGGTAACTGAACCCCCTTGGGTAGAGGAAGGGGCACCCGACTCCCCGACCCGATCACATTTTCCCATGGGAGATCAGATACCCTCAGAAATCCATCCCACTCTGGCGGGGTCCCGCAAAAAAAAAAAAAAAAACGATCCCCGATGAGGATACCCACAAAAAAGAATAAGCTCAGGTGACATCCCCAACAGCATGCGGTGCTCTTTTTAGTGCTTGCACCACCCCGCAGCCCTCGCAGAACCTCGTGGAACCCTCGTGGAACCCTGGTGGAACCCTGGTGGAACCCTGGTGGAATCCTCGTGGAGCCTTACCTCAGGGCCGCCCCGGGCCACCCCGGAGCCTATCTGGGCTGAGACCCCAAAGCTTTCAGCTGTTGGGGAAAACTACCAAGTACGAGCATCTTTTTTGGGGCGCCCGTTCTTTTTGTCGTTTTAAAGGAAACCAAACACGAAGACCACCACCAAAAGTGGGTCCAACCTTTAAACAGACACCCTCATAGTTTTGAACACCCAAATGATGCCATGGTTGTCAGCTGCCCGGAACCCCCAAAAAGGAACCTGATTCTTCGTTCTCAGCCCCTATTCTTGGTTGACGTTGGAAGGGGAGCAAAAATTTAAAATTTAGCTGCTAAGTGGGGATTTCCCACTAAACCACAATAACAAAAAGTGTAAAATGTTTCCCAACAACAACCATGTGTAGGGGGGCCTTGGCAGCCATAGAAAATGAGTTGGCGCCCGCTTCAATCGCTCCGGCCTTGCTCGCCAGGTCTTGGATATTCTGCCTGAGAAGTTGCGCCCCACAACTACTTCCATGGGAACATGGGGTAGGGTACAACTCTCCATGGGCCCACTTGCGCATCAGCGTTTGGCGTGCTTTGGGCGCCACTCGGTCTTCTGGTTTGCGCTGGTTTCGATTGGCGGCTTAGGAGTTTGAACCCCTGGCTTCTTCTGGGGGGTAAACGGTAAACCCTTCCTTCACCGCCAAAACACAAATCCAAACCACCAATTAGAAGGAAGTTGAATGTTTGGACGGTGCTGCCCGATAATTTAGGTACCCACTCCTCTCTCTCTTTCTCTCTCTCTTTCTCTTTCTCTTACTCTTTCTCTTTCTCTTTCTCTCTCTCTCTCTCTCTCTCTCTCTCTCTCTCTCTCTTTGTATATAAATATATATACATACATGGAAGAAAATGACAACTCGTCTATCGATCTGCTGCATATGGGTGTGATTCTAAATCAGGGAACACTGATAGAAAAGTAAAGCAGCTTGGCCCATGGCAAGTTCCAAGGGACAGGCCCCTGCAAACAAAGCGGCCAAAAAGGTGTTTCAATCGCCAAAAAAAAGAGGGGTATCAGGAAAACCGAGCTGCAGTATCGACAACAAATATCTTGGGAGGCCGTTCTGCTCCACTTGCTTAAGTCCTGGAGGAAAAAACAATAATGCCAGTAGAGATAGATCCCCTTTACAACCAACAGGGGAAAATGAACAAAACAAAAAAAACAAGGTCTACTTCTTCCCAAGTAGATCCTTGTCCAAGCCCCCTCTCCCACCCGGGGCGGAGGTGCCGCAGAGACTTGTAGCTCTCCATCCGCGTTCTGTGCTCCTCGCGGAGAAAATGGCCACCGATGTGCATAGCTCGGGAAGGACGGGCAGTGCTATGACTTGGCCCACGTCTTGTTTAAAACCACGACTGGGTCCTCCAGTAGAGAGGTTAGAACAAGTTGGTAGCATTTTTTCTGTCTTCTATTTTACTAGGGGAACCCTCCTAGCCAAAAAAAATGTGAGAAAGGGGTGCCCTAGCTGGGGGACCTAGACAAAGAACATTTTTTCGCCGGGCTGCCCTCAGGTCCCTGCTAAAAGTTGAATGGAAGCCCTCACTAAGCCCAAAAGCCTAAGGGGTCGAGCGGAAACCGAGATTCTGTTTCATTGTTGGCGCACCCTGTTTTGGAGGCGAACCCAAACAAGGGAACCCGTGCATGTGTTCCTTAAGAACTGCCGCACTTGAAGGGACAAACTCCCATGCACTCCCCCAAAAGAGCTTTGTCATGTGACTTCAATTGAAAATGCATTTATCGACATATGTGTCCTTTTTGGAAAATCGATGGACCTGGTAGATGATTTTCAGGACACCGCCCTCAATTTTTCTCAACCAAACCAACCAAAAAGGACTCCGAGGTTTATCCAGCCAAGGCTGGGCATCCTCCTGACCAGACTGTCCAGAAGCGTAGAAAGTGTAACAACTCGGCTGTTTGCCCAGTACAAAGTATAAAACGTATAGTCAAGGCTGTCAGTGGGCGATCACCCCAGTTACTCAAGTAAAAGCAAAAAGGTATAGCCTACCAAAGCGGGTTGAACGTTGTTTGCCACTACACCGGTCACACTAGCATGTCCTTGCAGAACTCCGATTGGGAGAGAGACTTTACCTTCCAACCACTGGCTATGACCGTGCCTTGTCTTTCTTTTTCTCGGTTGCTTTCTGCTCCCCTGCTAAAAGTTTAACTTTTAGTGGTTTAGTGGAACACCCATTAGTTGGCAACAAGTAGAAGTCCTAACATCCAAGCAAAATGCACCAAAGTTGCCCTTTAGCTTCCTAGCTAAGATGTTGGCTCATGTTGGCCCATTTCGCATGGGGTTCTGATTGAGGGTGGGGTGGCCCCTTTTAGTTCGCGCCGGGTACATAGTCACCCGCACGCTTTTGCGCATGTCCTCGGAGCTCGTGCGTCTATTCTCAGGCAGTTTGACAAGTATGCATGTCTCTGGGGTTGTGGGACATGCCGGAAACTAACTATCTCAGGTCGACATGTGCAGTTTTCGACCAAGTCAGCAAATATTGCACTTAGTGGGTGTGCTTATCATGTGACAGCGTGTCTGCAGCTCTGACATGATGCGTGTCAGCGGGCGTGCTTACCATGTCGGAACTGCACGCGCGCTGGCACATGATAGGCACACTCGCTCACGCGCGTGACACCAGAGCTGCACGCGCCGTGGCGCATGCCAAGCACACCCGCTCACGCGCATCACGCACGCTCCGACGTGGCGCGAGTGAGCGGTGCTTTTCATGCGCCGACGTGCGTGCAGCTCTGACATGATGCGCGTGAGCGGGTGTGCTTAACATGTGCCAGCCTGCGTGCAGCTCTGCCGTGATGCGCGTGAGCCAGTGTGCTTATCATGTGCAACCGTGCGCGCAGCTCTGACGTGATGCGTAGCGGGCGGTGTGCTTATCAGGTGTCAACGAGCGTGCAGCTCTGACGTGACGCACGTGACAGGGTGTGCTTATCACGTGCCACCGTGCGTGCAGCTCTGACAAATGCGCGTGAGTAAATACCCGGTACCTTTTAGTTGTCCGGTGGTTTCCAGCTTGGTTTCCCCTGCCTGCTAGGTCCTCCAGTAGAGAGGTTCCCCTTTTTTCCTGCACGTAGTCCATTTTAGTAGGAGAACCCTCCCTCAAAGAAGAATAAAACGGCACTACTGAGAGACCTATACTTTAGTTTCCAGTGGTTCCCTTCTTGGCTTTCCCTTGCTCAGTTGCCCAAAGGACCTGGAACTAAAAGGTTAACCTTTTGGAGTCATGACTAATTGTGGACCATTGGAAAACCAAAAGGTTAAAAGGTCGATTCGCATTGAACAACTGAGCCTGGTTTCCTTTAAAACGTCCAACCATACCAGACCTCCGCTCGCCTCCCGAGCTCCGAAAATTTATTCCCCTTCCCCGCCCAAAACCGAAAGCGGCGGGCGCGGAGGCTCCTGGCTGGCGCCGGACCTACCGAGACCGGAGAGGGCGCGGATCGAAGTCTCAGTTGTTCAGTGACCCTGGACAAAAAGGGAACCCTTGTTGGGAAGACCATGTTTAGTGGGGCAGCCACAAAAAAAAAGGGGAAAAGGGTGCAAAAAGGGAACCCTTTTTTGGGGCTTGGACCATTTTTAGTGGGGCAGCCACCAACCAAAAAAAAAAAAGGAGCAAAAGAATGGGAGCCACTGAACAACTGAGAAGTGGAGTCCCATAGCTCGCCTTGGGCCGTCTGATCCCCTGCTGAATGTGTCTAAACCAACTGAAAACCGGAAACTCAACTTGTTTTTCGTGATCGGACACTACCACTAAACCAACTCTAGGGGAGCAGCCCAAAACACTCCAAGTACTGGCGCTCCCCTAAAATAGTTGAAAGCTTGTGTGGGCGAAAAAATCACATATCTCCTGCGGTGAAATCGCTTGTTCTTTAAAGCCAGGCCCTAGCCCCTTGGACCTCGAACATGGCCTCAACCCCCAGAGGTTGCCGCTCGTCCGTCTCGCGAGTTTTTCCAACGAGCAAAAGCTCGTGATCGACCCCTCGTAGGTTCAATGTCCAAGTCCAAGCATTTGCTTTGCTGAGATGCCCAGTGGATTTCCATGGGGCAAAAAATGGGCACCGGGCGCCCGCTGTTTTGCTGGCTGAGTTTCAAGGAATCGGAACCCTTACCCCGAAAAGAAAAGGCAAACAAAAAAAAAACACTGGAGAACAGAGCAAGGCAAACTGGAACGGGAGCACAAATTCTATTGTCTACGGATCCCGCAAAAAGTTGCCGAAAGAGTTGGCGGATCCACTGGGCAACAGAGTTCCAAACAGAAATGTTCACCCCGGATGAATAAACCCCTGGTCGACTTTTATTGGGGGGGTGTCCAATTCCTTTTAGTGGTTGGATTCAGACCACTTTTGGAGGGGCCTCCACCCGCCGAAAAAAATGGGACGGGTTTAGTCATCCTGGGCCAACATTAGAGGGAACCGGGAGCCAACATGGCGCTTATCTCGATCCCCTGCTTTTCCCTGCAAAGCAGCCGGCAAAAAGGCCAAAACGGGCAACATTACCCAAAACCCGCAACTTTTGGACATGAAGGGCACGTGACCAGTCCGAAAGATCAGCTGAAACACCTCAGACTTTGAGTGGGCCCAAAGGAGCTGGAAATGAATGGTTAGACTTTTCTAGGTCCTCCAGTAGAGAGGTTAGAAGAAGGGCACCAACTCTTTTTCGGTTTCGTCTATTTTAGTAGGGGTATAGGGGAACCTTCCCCCAAAAAAGGGTAAAAGGGCCCTAGTTTTGGAACCTTGACTAATATGGACCACATCAGGCAGACCAGAACATGAAAAGTCGATTCGCATTGAGGTTTTACACAAACCCTGAAGCCGCTGTCTGTCCAGAGTGTAGGGCCATGGGGACGAACCTTTGGGTTCCTTTGGTGGGCCTTCCTTGCAGGGGTGCCCTTCTGGACACCTGGACTCCATTTGCATTTAAAATTTAGCGCATGGGTTTTCTGTTTAAATGGCCTGCAAATGCGACCCTGACGATCCCCAAGCCATGAGACAATATATGTTGGACGAAATCTTTGACGTCATGGTTGAAACCATAAGGTCTGTTGGTACTTACAAGGGGTTCATCAGAAACCCGGTTTCTGAACGGTGGCGCCTAAGAGAATGTCGTCCATCCACAGTATGTCCCGCGCCCGCTCTTAACTTGGGCGCTGTAGATCCCCCAGCAAAAAGTTTGTTGAAGCTTTTGCAGGTAAAAAGGACATATGAGGGGAATCCAAAAAGTTGAAGTCTAAAGATCCAACCCAGCAGTAGACTAAAACCCATGGCCCCCGGGCCCTGGGCCTCTGCTCTTCCACCTGCAGGAAGTCAGACTGGGCGCTCAGCTTGCGGCCAGTTGCCTTCAGCCGAGCCAAATCCCGCACCCCTCGCAAGATGCGAGGGCCATATTTATATGTATAAATATGGAAAGAATTCCAATAGCTAATAAACAAACAAACTAACTAACTAACTAACTGACAGACAAACAAGATAGATAGATAGATAGATAGATAGATTAGATTAGATTAGATTCGATAAGATTAGATAGATAGATAGATAGACAAACAAATAGATAGATCGCTAGATAGATACATACATAAATGCATACATACATTAAATAGCTAAACAAACACGCGAATACATACATAAGTCAAAAAGTAGGAACATAGAAATGTAAACAACAGTAAATAACACATAAGTACAAACGAAACATGCAGAAAACAAATCATAATACAGTTTCTGTTTTAAGTACGGAAACATACATATGCACACAAATTGACCAAACAATGTACGAATACAACAATGACATACACATATATATTAATTAACTAGTCAATTATAATTCACAGATTAGCTAATTGATCATTGATAATAACAACACGCAAAATCAATAAATACATGTCTGGTGAAAAGAACATGTCTAATCGGAACAACTACATAAACAAATGCATAGATATGCTCAAATTTTGCCATACATACATGCACTAATCAGTCAATCGATCAAACAATAAATCAATGAGTAGATAATTGAACAAATGAAACATGTAATTACATAACTTCAAACCCTTCCATACATTACTTGGGAACATCGCCCCGTAAGGATAAACCCCGAAACCACTTACGTTACAAAAGGATGCTTTAAACTAGGTCCTCCAGTAGAGAGGTTCGAATGAGGGTATCAACTTGTTTTTTTTCTCTGTCGTTTATTTTAGTAGGGGAACCCTCTCAACCAAAAAAGGGGTGAGAAAGGGCACTACTTGGGGCCCGAGGAAGGGGGTTTGTTGTTGAATGAACCCAAAGTGCCCTTCAAGCGATGGTTGAGGGTCATTCCACGTCTCATTCCCTGCATCTCCCGCACCGAGCGCAAGAAAGGGATCGTGCAAGAACGGCCCAAGCATATAATGAACCAGTCCTACGGATCCAGCCATCACTTACTACCCCAAGGGGCCCTTCTTCCCGGGGAAATTACTTGTCAATTCCTGGAAACCAACGAGAACAAAACGAGAACAACAGGCGCTGAAGATCCAACTGCGAGGCAAAAGCAGGGCCGCATGTTCTGGGCTCCTTCGGTTCATTTGGCCTCGGAAGCCTTCCAAAAACTTATGGCGAAGCCGGGCCAGCCTCCCCCCCTTCACACCCCTCGGCTTGCTGGAGAATGCCTGGGCGCCCTGATTCCAAAGAGCCGTGGGGGGCTGGGGTTTGTGAACTATGGCCATTGAAGCATGAGCCTAACACTTTTGGTGGCACGCTGTCCGGTTCAACCAAAAATAAAGTGGGTGCCCTCAACGTGGAACCAAAAGAGAGGCCACTGTAGAAAGAAGTCCGGGGACCATGGGCAAGTCGACTTTCTGCATGAGCCACTCTGCCAGCAAACGTAGCACCTAAAACTGGACTCGTTTTACCATTGTCAAAGTCACCCCTTAAGTACGTAGTTGGCCAAAGGGCCAGTTGTTGACTTTGACTCACTTGCTGAGTGGATGGCCCAAAAAAAGTCTGTCTGAACTTTATATTTACCACTAAAATCATCTTCCCAAAAAGATTAAAGTTCATGAACTCAGGAAGTGAGTTGACAACACCGGTGCTGGCAACTCGCAGCTGTCTTCACAAGCCCTCTGCGCGGATTGACCTGGAACCCGACAAGTGACCATGTGTGGACGAAGCTCCCTTTCTGGGCCCACCCTTTTCGGGTTCGATGTTGACTTGGGGAGTAATGCGTGTAAACTACACACAATCTCCTTCCTTTTGTACTGGAAGAGTGGCAATTCCCCATTCTGCTGGCAATTTTCCGGGAGTCAACTGCCTGATTCTGCGAAAAAATGTGACCTACCGGCCGGCCGCGCTGGTTTTCCCCCGCTGGCGAGCCAAGTATCCGCCGGCGAGCTCCGAAAACTGATCTGCAATGCCCGTGATCCAGATGCAACCCATCCCTTCTTCCAACAGTCTGACCACGGCGCACATTCGGCCGCACCATCTAGGCACCACCCTTCGGGTGGTGTAGCCGGCCATTGGTTTAGACCACCAGCTGCGCTTCCGGCTTGCAGTTGTCGCCACCCTCGTGGCAGTGGACCTGATGTTTTTTACTTTTGCCCGAGCCCGAGCCAAGGAATGCCATGTTCTCCAATCAAAGGAAACTCTGACTGGACTCATTGTTTTACCATGATGGTCAAGTCACCTGGTAGGTTAAACGGAAACAAGCCCCACTTCTGACCCCCAGAAACCGTCAAAATAATGAATTCTGTTTGATCAGTCGGAGTCTCAGATGCCCAGTGGATTTCCATGGGAAAAGAAGGGCCATCCTTTTTTGTTGGTTGAGGTTCAAGGGGAACCCTTATTGAAAAAAATGGCACGCACTGCACTGGGCAACAGGGGAGTAATTATGATTGGACTCTGTGGATGTCTGGTTCGACTTTTCCACCACGAGCCCTGTGGATGCTCAGCAATTGGTTGCCCTATGAGACATGTCAGACACTTGGATGAACCGCAGCCGCAATTGTTTGAGCCGTTGGTTGAGTGACGATAAAATCTCGGCTGCTTTCTGCTCCCCTGCTAAAAGGTTGTTTTTAGTGGTTTTGGGAAAACCCATTAGTTGGGAAAAAGGTATAAAGTCCTAACCTCCAAACATGCAACAAAGAAATGGTTTCCAGGTTCCAGGATCGGTCACATTTTGATGGCTCCCGGCTTCAAGAAATCTACCGTACCGTTCCATACTCAACATGATTGCCCGCGAACGCTGGGCAGCCAATCATATCCAACCAGTTTCCCATGTGCTTCATCCCCTCATCCGCTTATCTCTCATGGCCTTATCCCCTCACCCCTTCATTTCCGCATCCTTGCATCCCCTCCCTGACTGGGTGCGTGACAAAATCGGGATTTGGACGGAAAGCAACTCCAAAAACACGATCCCAATGCCCCCCCTAAACACCCCGGAACCCCTGGCTTATCCCAAACAATCACACACGCACACACTGTTTCCGACACCCACAGACGCGGCTCAATCCCAAGGGAGTAGAATGCTCCAATTCGAGAAGAAAGTCAAAACGCATTGAGTTGGATTGCTTGAGTGGGTTCGGACACACACACACAGACACAGACACAGACACAGACACCCACACACACACACACACACCAAAAAAAAAACGCGCACACACGCACACACCTTTATACATATACAGGGATATAGATATAGATATACATACTTTGATGTTCATCACAAATGCAGGGTCTATTTTAGAAGTCTATTTTAGTAGAGGAACCCTCCCAACCAAAAAAGGGAGACAGGGCACCACTGGGGGACCTAGTGCATATATATATATATGTATATATATATATATACAGGGCTCCACTTTTTGAGTACCCCAAGATAGACTTAAACCCAGGGGTTTCCCTTTGGGGGACATCAACCACCCTGGGTTTAAGTCTTTCTTGGGGTACTCAACAAGTGGAGCCCTGTATATCTACATATGTATATATACATAATATATACATATATATATATATATTCAATTATGTATGTACATTCCTTCGCTTCACTTCACAGGGCTCTACGAAGGCTCGCGCCTGGTTGTCCTTCTCCTCCGCGGTGAAGGAGCCGGGCACCGCCCAGGAGCACTGCTCCTACCGAAAACTCAGCCATTCGACCGGTTGAAACGAGCTGAAGTTGGTTGCTTTTTGCTCCCATGGTTTAATGGTTTAATGGTTTAAGTCGAATCCCCCCTACCATAAAAAGAGCGGGGTGGGGGGTCCCCAATTCCAGTTGTCTAGTCTTCCCCTTACAAAGGAAATGGAACCATAAAAGGAATTCCAAGGGTCACCGCCCTCCCAATTCCATATTTAAAGGGGTGGGGAAGAAGTCGATAAAGCGCGTTCCTTTAAAGGGTTTCCCGAATGTTGGCACTTGATTAGTAATGTGGACCAGACGAGGGTCCACATGTTTTTGTTTTTTGTTCTCGGATTTTGGTTCTCACCCATTGTTTAAACCAGAATAGAGTCCACCGTTGTTTTTCTCCAAGTGACTTCTCTTGGAAAAAACAAACTAAAAAAACAATCTAGAAATTCAAACTCAAAGAAAAGGCTTGCCCTTGGACAATAGGGGGAGGCGATCAATGGATACCAGGATCTTGTTGCGCTGGCACCCTTCAAGAAACAGGAGTGGACTGCCCTCAGCTGGGGGTGAACCAGGGACCGGTAGGCACTAGTTAGTGTGTGTGTGTGTGTGGGTGTGGGTTTCCGGTTGGAGTGGACTGCCCCCCAAAAAATACATTTTGTGACTCAGACCCTGTCCTCCAACTTCAAGGCGCCCTTGGCCACCCGTAGCCCATCTCACCCCAGAACTCACCCCAGTTACGCACGATCCAGTACCTCACATGCCCGCGCGCAGGCAAGCGCACATCCGGGTTTCGCCGTTGGCCCACGACCGGCGGTTTTTTGGTCCCCGGCGAAGCGCGAAGTGTGGCGGGTCCTGCACTTCCTGTGTTTCTAGGTCCTCCAGTAGAGAGGTTAGAATAAGGGTGCCCTTTTTCTGTAGTCTGTTTTAGTAGCGGAACCCTCCCCCCAAGAAAGGGGCGAGAAAGGGCACCTAGCCGGGGGACCTAGGTTTGCTGGATGTAATTATCGCCCTGGCCAGTCTAAAGTGAGCTTCATCTGGGGTAATGTTCGCGGGGCTGATAAGGACCCCTTGCTTTCGACGATGTTCTTGGAAAGCTGCGGCCGCCTCCCACTAGAAGCAAGCATTGATTGAGCATGTGCGTGTCTTTTTTGAGGGTCAGGGGGTCCAGGCAAATTGAACCATTACACATCTACTGTTGCTGTTGGGTCCCTGAACCAACAAAAATATGGGATGCGTGAAGCTCTGTGTGAAATGATCATATCTTGCAAAGATGCGTTTCGACTGTCTGAATGAAGCCCTCCCCCTGGAGTGAACTGCTGACATTTCCTCGAAAAATGGATTGGTCTTTTTTTGTGGAGAATTTGGGTGGACCTCCCATGTCTGCAATAGACTTGGCATCGCCACCAACAGCAACCACCCCCAACTGCAAAATGCAAAATGTACACCCCGAAAAAATCAAGCTCAGTCTATGAACAGACTTCTTTCCCTCAAGTGATTCCCCAAACTCAGAAACACCTGGAAGTGTTTCCCCACTAAACCCAGCACCTGGGGCAACACCTGTAAAATGGTCGTAATCCCAGAACCATGTAAAGAATCAAGAAGCCGGATATCCGCAGCTATTTATGGTTGGGAGTATCCCTTACTAACCTTCACCAATCCCCGGGTTTTGGCTCACCTGGGCTTGACCCGGCCTCGAATGCCTGAACGTTTCGAGTCCAAAGCCCCAACAGTCCCAGGGTTCCGGGGGTCTTGCAACTCGAGCTACGGACCATCTACTTCCATTCTTTGCTTCTACGCTCCCGGGGAAAAATATGTCTGGCAACAGGCTTAAAAAAAACGATATTCTTAAGCAAATGGACGTAGCAGTGATAGGTGTCCTTTAAACCCACCAGGAAAAAAGCAAAGTATTCTTGAGCAAAGGGACGTCTACAGGTGAATATGGTGCAGTGTTTGAGGGTATCGCTGATGTTTGCTGGTTCAAAGCAAACCGCGAGAAAGATCAGCCTCCTGTTTCGGGGCTGCAAATCCCTATATGGCTGTGGCTCCAAAAGATGTACCAAAATCGCACCTTGGCAAATGAAACCAAAGACTAAAACCTGCGGAACGGCTCTTTAATTTTCAGCCACACCCATATTGACACAGACGCACTGTACAGATCAGAGTCCTGTAATAGTCCTGTTTGGGGGGTGCAAATCCCTTTCTTTTGACACAGACCCACTGTACAGAAACGCATCTTTCTAGGGGTACCTTCCCCCTTCTTTCCAGGAATCCTTCTTTCCAGAAAACCTCCTTTGGAACCCAGGGAAAACGGATCCAGTTTTTGGAAAGAACGATGGTTGAAAAGAATGGACAAGGAATCAACCCCTAGAATCTTGCCGTTGCCCTTTTTCGCGGCGCAGGCGCATGCCCTTCTGCTTGTCGGTGCCCCAGCCCACCACAGAGACCACATGGTCCACGGACTCGCCCTCGTCCGTCGCGATGCCTTGGCTTGGCTTCAGACCTCCGTTGGTCGTGGAAAACCGGGCGCCGCTTTTTTTGCAGCAGATTTGGGAGGCAAACTAGGTCCTCCAGTAGAGAGGTTAGAATAAGGGTACCCAATTTGTTTTTCGGTTGTCTATTTTAGTTGGGGAACCCTCCCAACCACAAAAAGGGGTGAGAAAGGGCACTACTGGGAGACCTAACTAGTGTCTTTTGTGCAGCTGATTTGGTAGGGAAATCTTGTCCGACAAAAACAGGGCTGCGGGAAATGACAACTTTTGTGATACAACAAAAGGGGTTCTCGAAGACAAACCCTCCATATAAAGTGGAAATCCCCTTGTATCACAAACCGAGTGATCCCACAACCCTGAACAAAAAGGAAAGAAGGGCACCACTGGAGGTGTGCGTAGATCTGAATTTCCTGGCTGCTGCTGGAAACCTCAACTTTGCTCCTTTGCTCGCTGGTCTCTGGTGCAATGGCCATCTGGCACAAACCAAGAGGTACAATGGAGGTCCAAAAAACAAGATTGGGATGAACAGCAGGAGCAGGGTCCTCTTTGCAGGATGTGGGGGAATTCCCTCCCGTCCACAGGCTAAAATCGTCTTCGAGGAGCCCGAGTCAGGTTCCATGTGGCTGCAGGGCATGACAATTCAATCGAACAGTTGATGGCTACTCCCTTCCCAAAAAGCTTCTACTATTCCAATAAATTTGGTAACCAAACTGAGGCATTCCAGCCAGCCACCTGCAGGAGGTCCCAGGGTTTGATCACCACCAGGCATATAATATCTGAATGGTCAAATGGAGGTTCTTTTCATAGGATGCCTTTAAGGATACATTGCGACCAGTTGGAGCAAATTCTCTGGCTAATTTAGTGGATCCCCTTGTAAAGGCATGTGGTTTTCGGACGTCGCCCTTTAAGGAATCCTGCATAGAACCTGATATTAAAATGGTCTACCGAAAACCAGGTCTTGGTTGTGGGTGTGCCGTTGTTGAGGGACCTTCTGGGTTGGCTCAACAGAACGTTGAAGGGAAACTAAACCCACGTACATTCCCTGGAATTAAACAGGAAGTCCGTGCTCTCAGGAAGTCCCTCTAGCATCGAAACAAGTTGAAGATTGCCGGATCAGGCAGACACTGAACCACATTGCTGGAATTTACTTAGTTAAACATAGCGAAATCTTTTCTGAAACAACATTGTGAGACGCTCAGTTTGTGAATCCAACTAGTGAATTGAGAAGGTGGATGTACAAGGCGCCCTGACCCTTCACCCATTCGCGCCGAGCTGCCCTGCTCATAGTTCAGCAAGGGCTAGGCATCCACGCCGCAGCCGAGCCCCCGATGCAAGACCTCCTTCATCCTCAGAACAAGAGAAATCAGAGGGATCCGACTTTATAAGAGTGGAGAAAAAGTAAAACCCTGCAACCCTTGGTTTGGAGGGTTTTACTTTTTCTGCATTTTGCTGAGGCAATTGCTTGGCCCACATCTTTTAGGGTCATGATTATTTTTACATCAAAGAGTTTTGGAGGTGATTCTTGCTCCGTCCAGCCCAGAATCGCCCAAAGTAGAAGAGTTTCGATTTCGGGCTCCCTCCTTTTTTCCAGGACGCCCTTAGATTGCTCTTTTACACCCCTTGGAAGGGCGTGGGGGGCCAAAGGCGTCAAACCCTGCCCCCCTGTTCGGGCGCGCTGTGCTTTTGTGCGGCCACATGATTCACCGAATTCTGCCCCCCTCTTCTGCGGCTTGCGAAGGAAACCCAAGCCTCATGATCCCACCAGAAGGAGATTGCCCCTACATTGGCCCAAAAAGGTGAATTGCAAAAGCACCACAAGGGGAAATCGAAGGAGCCCAACCCCAGATCAATTGTCCGGTCAAAGCTATCCCGGGGTTTCCGGTTAAATCTTGCTCACAAAGTAACATGATTCACCTGCCGGAGCTAAACAATGCAGAAGAAACAGACCCTCACTATGGGTAAGGCGATTCTGACCACAAAGCGCTTATGTTCGAGTCATTGGGAGTGCCTCATTGAGTCGAGGAATGGGCTGTGGCACCATCTGGTTCATGGCCTATGATCGCTCTTCTTTGTCATGGGGACCCAACCCCCTGGTCTTGGCTGACGTTGGAAGGGGAGCAACAATTTAAATGTTAGCAGTTAAGTGGGGATTTCTCACTAAATCACAATAAGCAAAAATGTAAAATGTTTCCCCACGACAACCATGTGGTGGGCATTGATAAGGAGCGCGCAAGGCACCCACAGCATCTCTCCAGTGGGCTTCAAGGGACGGCATGCCCGCAAAGCAACCGCTTCCAAGTCATACCTAGAGCTGCTTTAAGAACAAGTTCCCAGCATTGTCCTTAAAAGACAAAAATCACGCGAATTGATAGAAAAACACTTTCTGTTTTTAAAGAGTGAATTTTGGCTCGACCATCTACTAGGCCCTCATCAATTCCATGGCCAATCCAAGCCTAGGAACTCCAGACCCTTTCAACTTGTGGACCATCAAAACTACCATGTTGAGTACCATTCTTCACCAGCTGTCCATGAGAGTCAACATGTTGTTGGCAGTTTTCGCCTAGATATCGGAAATTCTGCTCAATTGGCGAAGTAAGCAAAACAACTCGTAATAGGAAAAACACCTGTTCCTTTTGGAGGCTCCACGTGTTGTCTATTTCTCGTGCGAGGTGCATGGCGATGCTTCCCACGTCCCAAGACATTCAGCAAACAACCCTGCACCCTCTCGTGATCCCAATAGATCGGGCCTCATCCAGAGCAGTTGCAAGATCAACCTTGCTGGTTGCTGGAACCCCAGAGAGCCAGAAGAGGTTCTAGGCCCTCCAGATTTGAGAGGTCAGAAGAAGGGTACCAACTTTTTTCGGTTTCGTCTATTTTAGTAGGGGAACCCTCCCCCCTAAAAAAGGGGGTAAAAGAGCGGGCACCTAGCTGCGAAACCTAGAAATCATGTGGTGTCCAAATAAACCGCCGAGTGGCATGGCATCCGCGCCGCTGATGGAGCCGTAGTCCGTGATGGTGGCATTGGGATAGTCGGACAGGCCGGTGCAGGGGCCACCCTCCTAACGCGTCTTCGGCACTTGCCTTTTGACGCCGCCCTATTTGCAGAAAAATCAAAGGGCCCCCCTCTACAGTGTCAATGTACAGAAAACCACCTCTCTTAGGTGGTGAGGCCCCCCAGCCAGCGCAACATTTTGACAATCGGTGGCTCCAAGGGTGGCAGGCGCAGCACTTTGACGCGTGAGTGGCAGGCACAGAACTTCGTAGCCTCCCCGAGAGGCTGCCCGGTCGTTCCCAAAGACATCGCCCAAGACGACGGCAGACACCCAGCAAAGACAATCCACCCCCAAAGTCAGCCCTCAAAGACATCGCCCAAGAAAACTGAAGACGTCCTGGAAAGACACCCGCAAAGACATCCCCACAGAATCCCGCACGGACAGCCCCTTAACGACATTGCGAACAAGACATCGCGCCAAGGCAGCTTCCAAAGACACCCTGGAAGTCATCCCCAGAACGACCAAGATTTCGTGGCAGACGAGGAACGAGGTTCCCTTCTTACAATATGCACCTACTAATTTAGTATGTCTTCCAGCAAGAAACCCTCAGATAGTGGCCATGGGAAAAAAGGGCGACTTTAAAGGCGAACCTTCGCCCCCCCCCCCAAAAAAAAAAAAAAAGGGGTACCACTGGGCAACTGGGAACCAGGCTGGGGGGCAAAACGAACCTGCCGCCCAAAAAAAGCCGTCGCGTGCCACGTTCACCGGCTTGCAGGAGGTGTCCACATGGGGGCAGAAGCCCTCCACGTGGGCAGGGGAATTTTTGAGACACCCCAAAGCCCCCAAAACGATCTAGGGGTGCCTTCTTCATTATTTTTTAGGCATCCTTCTTTCTAGAAAACCTCCAGAATCTCAGGGGAAAACGGCTGGCTATTGAAAATAACGTCCATTTTCGTGTTCGCCCTCTGGAAAAATAAACATGTTTTCAGTAGTGATCGATTCCTTTTAAAACCAACAGGAGAAAAACATCTTAAACAAATGGAAGGGAATGCCCCCCAGAAAGATACAAGTAGCCATGGTTGATATAGAAGTTGAAGCATTATTGGATTTGGTAAATTAGCTAAAGCGATTGCTATAAAAGATGCCCATTCCGACATTACAACACCAATTCAAGTGTTAACAAAGGACAAGCCAACTTCTTGCTTGCCGCTACATGGTCTTTCCAATTTGGGTCAAGCCTGGGAGGAACATCGTCCAAAAGCTCCGGCGTTTCCATCGCGCCGCCGGAACGGCTCATCAAACTTCTTGGCTTCCGGGACAGAGCCATTCTTCCTTCAGATGCCCAGTGGCCACAAGAAAAAAAGACTCGGCCTCTTTTTTTTGTTGACTTCAAAGGGGAACCCCTTCCCCTGCCAAAAAGAGATAGACAGGAAAAGAGAACGGAAGAAAAAAAGAAAAACAACTGGCAGACTCCACTGGGCAGCTGGGATAAGTTTCCCATAGGCACCATGCCTTTAAGCCCTTTTTTTTGCGGTGTCCGCCGGTTTCCCCATGCCTTTCAGCCCCTTCTGACACAACCCTTGGTATGGTAGCAAAAATCTCTGTGCTTTTGCAGCCCCCCTACAAAACATGAACAGAACAAAACAACTACAAAACAAGAAAAACATGCCAAGAACAGTGAAGTTTCCCATAGAAACCATGCCTTTCAGCCCCTTTCAGCCTCGGTTTTCCCCGTTCCCCGCTTTCAGCCCGCCTCAGAGGAGTCCGAGCTGCAGGCCACGTAGGGGTTGGAGGTCTCGTAGCTGATGCCCGTGCCCTTCTCCGAGATGCCCTCGCGGCGGCGCAGAGAAAAAGAAGGGAAAACCCTTGCAGCTTCCCCGGGAAGTGGGGTGTTCCCCTTTTGGCTTCTTCGGTGGTTTCCTGAGTGTTCCTTGGACTACTGGGCGGCCATCCGGTTCCTTAGCCTTTTAGCCTTTTAGAATTTTAGCGGTAGTTTCCAGTTAGCCCACTAAAACTTCGTCACTTTTAGCGGGGGATCTGAAAACGGGCCAGGTCCCTAACCAGAACTCCCAAGCAACCGCACCCCCTTTCAGGGTTCCACTTTTGACGCTACACCCAGGGTGAAGATCCTGAAAGGGTGGTGGAAGATGCCCTCGGGGAAAGGCGCGGCTGGAACTAGGGGTTGAGGTGTTTTTTTTTTACTAGCCCCGGCTTTTTACTAGCCCCGGCTCGGCACAAGCTGGGGGTTGGTGGCCGCATCACCAGCATCCCCAGCATTTCCGGTTTCTTGTCACGGCTGCGTATGGGGCATGACTTGCTGCTCGGGGCCAGCATTACTGGCCTCACTCGGACGAGAGCTGCCTATTGGCTTTGATTTGGTGGCAGTTCAGGGTTGATCGGGGCTGGTTTGGGGTGAGTGCTGGGCTTGCTGAGATATTAATGCGGGCGGGTCTTGGGTTTGTTTGGGGTTCATTTAGCCTCGGCAAAGGGCCGATATGCAGGATGCGGTTGGGAGGGTTTCAGGTTGACGTTGGGTCGGTTTTGGCTTGGTTGGGGCTGATTCGTGCTAGATGTGCGGCTGGTTTAGCCGTGGCTTTCGGGTTGCTTCAGGGATGTGGTTCTGCAAGTTTTGGGCTAGGATTGGTGGTTTGGGGCAACGCCCCACAACCAATCCCAAACCAGCCCAAAACTTGCAGAGCCACATCCCTGAAGCAACCCGAAAGCCACGGCTAAACCAGCCGCACATCTAGCACGAATCAGCCCCAACCAAGCCAAAACCGACCCAACGTCAACCTGAAACCCTCCCAACCGCATCCTGCATATCGGCCCTTTGCTGAGGCTAAATGAACCCCCCACAAACCCAAGACCCGCCCGCATTAATATCTCAGCAAGCCCAACATTCACCCCAAACCAGCCCCGATCAACCCTGAACTGGCACCAAATCAAAGCCAATAGGCAGCTCTCGTCAGTAATGCTGGCGATGCGGCCGGCTGTCCCGAGCAGCAAGTCATGCCCCATACGCAGCCGTGACAAGAAACCGGAAATGCTGGGGATGCTGGGGATGCGGCCGCCCAGCTGACCAACCAACCAACCAACCAACCAACCAACCAACCAACCAACAACCAACCAGTCTCCGAGCCGGGGTTAAGCCCCGAGCCGGGGCTAGTGAAAAAAAAACACCGGTTCCGGAACTAGGACCCCAGCAAAAAAAATATAAAAATATTTATATTTATTTATTTTTGTGCCTGGTTAGTAAACAAAGGGACCCCCAAAAAAGCAAAAAACCAAAAGGGGGAGCTAATTCCGGGGAAGGTAGGATGCGAAAAGAGTAAAAGAGGCACCGAAAAAAGAACCGAAAGAAAAAAGAGCAGGTGAAATCCACGCATCACCGTTTTCTAGATGTGGGGACCTTTCAGTCGGGGAGGTGTGTCCGCCCACCCGCTCTTCAAGGGGCTTCTTGAACAATTCCTTCGGCGTCCCTCTTTTTGGCTTCAAGTGAAGCCACAAGGAAACACGGTGCCAGTTGTCGGAGCTACATCTTGACACATACCCATATGGCTGTGGCTCAAAAAACCGGTACCAAAATAGAACCTTGGTAAGTGGAAACATGGACCAGAACCTGCGAGTAGCTCATTTTTTCTTCACGCTTGCATCTTCGACACAATCTCCGCCGTGTCTTTGGAGAGGCTCCTCAGCGGTTCACCGAACATTCTGAACCCGGCAACATAAAACAACAATCGACGAGCCTGCAACTCAAAAACCTCAAAGGAACACATCTTGCCAGTCTGGCAAGCCAAGAGCTAACTTGTTCTTGAAAAATGCACTTGGCTTCTTCCCATGGATTCTTTTTTTCGAGTTGACTGGTGGCCCGAGTCAATTGGAGGCCCTTCAAAGACTGCCGCTGCGGCATTTCAAGGAAGTCGTGTGCAACTGCAGCCCTTGCTAGGGGGCCCCTCCCCCCAAAGAAAAAAATCAGATTGCATTTTGGCTTCCCCTTGAACCCAGCCCAAAGGTACCAAGCCTGGATTTTTCTCGGGTCCGAGGCTCATCTTCTGCAGGGCCTTCAGCCTCTCGCGGATCAGCTCCTGCCGGTCTTGGTCCAACTTTCGCCAGGTCCGGAAGGCGCCGTTGGCCATGCCCGCCGCCACCTGGGGGTTCAGGCCGTCCACCTGAGCAAAGCGCGCGTCGCTTCACGCGCGCGACTTTTCGCGGGCAAGATGAGACACGCAGAGCGTGAACGGCTCTGCCTGCCTTGGGTATCATCTCCAGGGCGAAGTCGTAGCCGGAGCCATCCGCAAGGTGGAACTGCGGGCTACCGATGAAGACGCTGACCACCGAGCGCAGGCGATTTGGATTCTTGAGGGTGAACTCTGGGTGCTCCATCAACTGCCTCACCTTAACGCACCCAGGGCCAGTGCTCCAGCCCTCTCTGGCCGCCCCAAGCCCGGATGCCCTTGTTTTGGGCATGGGGTCAAAACACATTGGGCACTGCCAACAGCCTTCCAAAGCCCGGCTCTGGGAAATCTTTTGTGAATTTGCGCCGGCCCCGCGACATACGAAGTCAACAGCCACCTGAACCCAACTCTCCCCAGTGCAGGCCGCGCCACCCGTGGCAGCAGGTCATCTACATCGGCCCTTGCCTGCGAAGCAAACCACTTGTCGATGACGTTGGCGTCGCCTGGCTGCCGAGACAAGACTCTTCATGGGAATACTGCCGCCCGCTGCCGCCCGCTGCCCCTCTAAGAGCTACTTGCCAATCTGAATGACTTGTCTACGCCCCATTTCAATAGTGCATCCAACCCCCGATTGTGGCAATCAGGAGGCAAGCCAACAAGCAGCCGCCCTCAGAGCCGGGGGGCCTTTGGCTTCCGCCAGGAACACCTCCACGGCCTCCTTGGCCTCCGCCGAGTCCGGCATGGAGCAGAGGAGGCTGAAGGCTGCCTCCTTGTCCGTCATACCTGCACCAAACATGTCCCATCAGCTTCTGCGATGGTGCCAATCACCTGGCCCAACCACCCCCAACCATCCCAAGCACCCCCAAACACCGCCTTTTGCCCTGGTCCAACGTGCACAGCAGGTATACAGTAGGTGACGGTTGCGGTGTCATGTGCTCATTCCCGCTACCCAGTTGCCAAGGATAGAAAGAGCAAGTGCTGCGGTCAGGAACGCCTGCGGCCAAACCCATGTGCAACAAGCACATCGAGTCCATCCATCACCTTCCGGCCACCAAAAGGCCATCAAGGCGCGCAAGTCACCCGCGCGCCTCGTGCGCTCCGAAAGTGTGCGCCGCACCGCGCTGCCGCCTCTGCGGTTCCGGGTGCAGCGAGGTACGCCAGCAGCACGTTGCGGAGCCGGCGCCGGCTGGCGTTGGGCCCGTCGATGGTGTAGGTCTCGCCTTCCTGATGTTGGGTTGCCCTGAAAGTGTTGGAAGACAACTTGGAATGTTCCGAACTTGGAGAAATGCAATGCCTTTGCCGTTTGCATCCTGGAATTAAGGAACACGTGGTCGGAAATGACTTGAAACGCCTGCATGCCATGATCAATGAACAAATCTCTACATAACTCTTTGAGGACACACCCTGGCTGCCATGCATGGCCAAGCTGATGATTTGTCAATCCAGCCGGGCAGCTTCTGGCGTCAGCTCCTCATAGCGCTCTCTCAAGTCTTCAGCAGCTTCTGCGGCGATCAGCTTCCGAACTCGATTCCTGGCCGCGTGGAGGCGCATAGGGTCGATGGGCGGCTGCGCCAGCTGAATGAGGGTCGACTCGCTTGGCAGGATCAGCGCATAAGCGATCAGGGACAAGTCTTCCGTCTCCCTGTCTTGCACGGTTCTGCGCAGGGCGTTCATGAAGGCGCCCTCAACATGAAAGGATTCAAGATCCTCTGCCGCCAGTGCATCCAGCACAGCTTTGGTGCCAAGACGTTGCATGGACTCCCAGCGGTTGAAGGAATCCGTGTCGAAGGCGGCAAGCAAAGCAAGGTCCTTGTCACTGTAATCCTGGGCTGCGTTGGGCAAGGAACTTGCTAGGAAGGCTGACGGGACGCGCAAAGATTGGGTCAAGCACGTGTTTGCCCCCGTGCTGACAAAGGACATGCGTTTTAGGATGGTGAGTTGGCAGAATCAATATGCGAGCCAGCCAACCAAGCAACCAAGCAACCAACTAAGAAACCAAGCAACAAAGCAACCAGCCATCAGCCAACCAACCGACCAACCCACCGACCAAGCAACTCAACCAGCCAACCAAACTACCGACCAAGCAACTAAGCAACCAAAGCAAGCAAGCAGAGCGGCCGAACATGCAACCAGCCAACCAGCCAACCAACCTACCGACCAAGCAACTAAGCAACCAAGTTACCAGAGCAACCAGCCATCAGCCAACCAGCCAACCAGCCAACCAACCTACCGAACAAGCAACTAAGCAACCAAGCTACCAAAGCAACCAGCCACCAGCCAACCACCGAACCAACCGACCGACCAAGCAACTAAGCAACTCAGCCAACCAAACGACAAACCCAACGACCAAGCAACTAAGCCTTTACGCAACCAAGCAAGCAAGCAGAGCAGACGAACATCCAACCAGCCAACCAGCCAACCAACCTGCCGACCAAGCAACTAAGCAACCAAGTTACCAAAGCAACCAGCCATCAGCCAACCAGCCAACCAGCCAACCAGCCAACCAACCTACCGACCAAGCAACTAAGCAACGAAGCAACCAAGTTACCAAAGCAACCAGCCATCAGCCAACCAACCGACCAACCCAAGCAACTAAGCAACTAAGCAACTAAGCAACCAAGCAACCAAGCAAGCAAGCAAGCAAGCAAGCAAGCAAGCAAGCAAGCCAGCCAGCAAGCCAGCCAGCCAGCCAGCCAGCCAGCCAGCAAGCAAGCAAGCAAGCAAGCAAGCAAGCAGAGCAAGCAAGCAAGCAGAGCAGCCGAACATCCAACCAGCCAACAGCCAACCGACCTACCGACCAAGCAACTAAGGAACCAAGTTACCAGAGCAACCAGCCATCAGCCAACAAGCCAACCAGCCAACCAACCTACCGACCAAGCAACTAAGCAACCGAGTTACCAAAGCAATCAGCCATCAGCCAACCAGCCAAAAAGCCAACCAACCTACCGACCAAGCAACTAAGCAACCAAGTTACCAAAGCAACCAGCCATCAGCAACCCACCGACCAAGCAACTAAGCAACCAAGTTACCAATGCAACCAGCCATCAGCCAACCAACCAACAAGCCAACCAACCTACCGACCAAGCAACTAAGCAACCAAGTTACCAAAGCAACCAGCCATCAGCCAACCAACCTACCGACCAAGCAACCTACCGACCAAGCAACCAAGTTACCAAAGCAACCAGCCATCAGCCAACCAAAGCCAACCAACCTACCGACCAAGCAACTAAGCGAGCAAGTTACCAAAGCAACCAGCCATCAGCCAACCAGCCAACAAGCCAACCAACCTACCGACCAAGCAACTAAGCAACCAAGCAACCAGCAGCCAACCAACCAAGCAACCGACCGACCGACCGACCAACCGACCGAGGCAAGCAAGCAATCGCAGGCAGCTTCGCGCCGAGGTGCGTACTGCAGCTGCACGGGCGCAGAGAAGCCCCGCAGCAGCGACGGCACCGGCTTCTCCTCGGCGGCCACCGGGAGCTCAAAGGAGTGCTCCTCCTGGGCAAACGGTCGAGCGCGCCTTGGCGCACCCGTTCCGCATTTCTAGGATGGCGCTGTGTCGTCTTTTTGTCTTGTGCTCAAGGGGAACCACATGCAAAGCACATGGAACCAAATCCACATCCAGCAACCCCACACCTGGAACACGCCTGGCCTCAAGAAGCTCAAGCACCGTGTCCGGCACGAGCTCTTTCCCCGTGGCTCGGTCCAGGAGCCCAAGCCTCGAGATGTGGCCAGTGAGGCGCGACGACGCTTTGCTCTTCGTATCCCTTTTGCACCCGCGAAAAAGGCCGGCAGCGCAGTCCAACAAGATGCAAATGGCTTGGAACGGGAAAGCCCAGATGCGAAAAGCTTGGTCTTGGGCATGGTGGTCAATAAATAACTACAATTGCAATAATACTAATGACCAAGAATAATGATAATGATGACAATGAAAAGAATAATTTTAGTAACAATAGCAACAATAATAAGCCTCCCGCCTGTGGACAAGCGTTACACAAATTCAAAGCAGTCGAGAAGCCGGACTGGGATTGGCATGGGCAGCGTGCCGCTGTCGTCTGCAGTGGCGGGGACAGACTGCTTCCTGAGCCCGCTTTGTGTCCAGCCACTCGCGTCATATGTAAGACACTTGCATATGCACACTTGCATACATGACAGGGCAGCCGATGTTCAAAAGTCGCCGTTGAGCTGCAAAAACATTGTTGTATTTGAATACGGCCTGCCTACGGCTAGGAAGACACGAGAACATGAAAGGCCCCTTCGCGCGCGCCCTGGGCCCCATGCAAAACCACCAACATTGTTGCAAGCTGACAAAAACCCGCCGAGGGAGGAACAAAAAACCAGGCGCTCCATTCCGCCACCGCTCTCGGCTCCAGAGGCTCAGCCAAGGCGCAGCGTCAAGGTGTAGATCCCCTGCTCCGGGTCCCAGCTGTCTGCGGCCTTCACCAGCGGCGTGCCCGCCTGGGAGTACCACCGCTCGAACTGCGAGAGGTCTCGGCCATTGGCGTCCTGCGGCTGTTCGCGTTTCGAAAGCCGAAGCGGCGCAGGATGAGGCGCTCGCCCGAAAAGCAGAGAGCGCGTTGCAAGCTCGACGCCCCGGAATGAAAGAAAGGAGACCGCTTTGTCAGGAACCCACGGAGCAAATGGCCAGCTGTCATGTAACAATCGCGCCGGCGCGATTGGAACCCAGGAACCCACGCCAGCCTGGGGCGTGGGTGGTTGACCGATCCAGCCTGCATGGCGGCCCGGAAGTCATCGCAGGTCACTGCAGTGCCATCGTGGCGCTGGAAGTAAAGGTCCATGCCCTTTCTGAAGCCATCGCGGCTCAGCAGAGTCTCATACATGCGGATGACCTCGGGCCAACCGATCACTTTGCCACACTTGCCATGGAATCCCAGCCCAACGCCCATCCAGCCTGCAAAAGTCAACTGGCATAGCTGAACTGGACTTCAAAAATCAGAAACCTACGAAAACCCACTGATGAGTGGCTTACATTCTGCCCACCCAGCGAGAGAGGTGTAAGCCAAGCACCTCAGCTCCCTTCTCGTAGACTGTGGCCGTATAGAAATTATCGATGGCCGCATACTTCTCCGGGCGGATCGGGTGTGCCATAGGTCCGCTGTCCTGCCGCAAAAACAAATCCGAGCCGCGAATACAAAAGTGGGCTTCACTCGCATTCCCCAGGAAAAACCAAAACAACACAAGCAACAACAACTTGAGCCCTGGCAGTATATGTTCAGAAAGCCCCTCCCTTCGACATCAATGTGGAGAGTTGCCCGCGTCCTCTATTTATTTGCTCTGATGTTCGTATCCATGCTGTCCGCTCCAGGAGACTAAACTTTGATCCTTTGCTACCCTGCACATGCTGACATGAATTTATCTAGGGCAATCAGGCTCTCAATTACTGCTGGAATACAAAGCGTTTCGTCCACTTCAAAAGGGCTGCACATGACAAGCAAAGCAGCTTGATCCATTGAGGGCGGAACCCTGCAGTGGGCAAAGACACCTTGCCTCTTGCACGAGGGCTGGGTTTTTGTTCGGCGTCCTCCGGGAACTGGTATGAGCGCAGGATGCGCACATCTTCAATACGCTTGCGCGCTCGGGAGCCCATGTCCTTAGCCATGGCATTCCCTCTTCCTCTTGCTTCAAGTTTACATGCCGAATTGGCAACCAATGTGACAAACGATCCGTTAAGCCTGCTTGCACTGCTTGCCTTGCCCTTGGCGGAAGCCAAAGCCAAGGCAAAGCCTGTCACGGAAAGTCATCCAGCCAAGTCTCTGAGGAGAACTCCTGATCTCTGTACACCGTGAGACCTTCTTTCAGCGTCAGTTGGAACCAATCCCTGCACGTCACCCGATTGCCCGTCCAGTTGTGGAAGTACTCGTGCCCGATAACCCCTTCAATGCTCTCGTAGTCGTCATCCGTGGCGGTATCTTCCCGCGCTAGCGTCAGCGAGGTGTTGAACACGTTCCTGGTTGGTTCTGGGGTCTGGGAGAAACACATGAATCACATTGCAAAAAGGGGTGCGCGCAACCTCTAGTCAGCGTGCATCATGACCGGCCCACCCGAAGCTGTGAGGTTTCCGCCCTAGTTTTCTACGGATTTGCAAAGCAGCAAGCACAAACAGCACCCAAAAAAAAGAGTTTCTTTCGCTGCCTGGAGTCAGGCTCTTATTTTCCATGGCCCCCATGTTGAAGTCCCTCACCGCCACGATGTTGTATATGTCCAGGTCGTACTCGAGGCCGAAACGCTCCTCGTCCCAGCGCATGGCGTGCTGCAAGGACCGCATGGCGTGCCAGAGCTGGTCCTTGTCCTCCCTGGCGGCGAAGACCTCCAAATGCACCTCGCGACCTGCACTATCGCCGCTAACGAGCTGCCAGGCGTGTGTGTGGCCCCTCGTTCATTTGCGAACCCGGAAAGTAGGTGGAAAAAGTGGGGGGGGGGGGGGGGACCAGGGCAAAAGGGGGCAAAAGGGGCGCGACAGGAAAACGAAAGGCAATGAGGAAACCAGATTGGCCGCGCTGCAACATCAATCTCGACAAACGGGGCCTGGCAACAAATCTGTTCAAGTGCCCGCCTGATGCAGTTTCAAACTTGTCCTGGATAGATGCCAAATCCCCCGCCACCAATGCGAAAAGGTAGCAGGGCTTCGCAAAGGGATCTGACCATTCAGCGAAGTGCCTCCCCTCCGGCAGCTTGCCCGTGGCGATGCGGTTGCCATTGCTCAGCAGGATGGGGCACCGATCCTCATCCGCCTCGATGCGCACGGAGGTGAATTTGGACATGACGTCCGGGCGGTCCAAGTAGTATGTGAACCTTCGGAAACCCTCAGCCTCCATCTGGCTGCAGTACATGCTGCCGCCTGAGCTTGCGTGAAAGCCTGGGCACCGGGCACCCCTTGTGCTGTTGAGAACATCTGAAAGGAAGATGAGCTTTCCATGGGTTCCTTCAAGATGAATGGAATGAAATAGCGGGCAATCTGCCATTGCTCCCTGAGCTGCTGTAGTACAGGCCTGACAGCTGTGTGTTCTCCTCCGGCTTGATTTCCACCTCCGTCTCAAGCCAAATGTCCTCCTCCGGCGCATCCGCCGCATCCAAAGCCGCGGCAGAGATCACCAACTTCTCCCCCGTGACATTGTAGTCCTCGCCGTCTTTTAGCTCCTGGCCTGGATCCAAGACGCTGGCAGAACCCGCCGGACCCACCCAACATCCTGGAGTGAGAAGGCACGCACACACCCCAAAGCTCAAACATTCGCTACGCAGCTGCTAAGAAGGCATGACTGAAGGATGCTGGCTGCCGGCACAACTCCCGGTTTCAGTTCTTCTCCCATCTTAGTCCTAGCGCTCAAATCGCGGAGGACTGGAACCAAACCGAAACACCTTTTCCATTCCCATCGCTTTCCTCTGCGAACCTAATGGCAATGAGAAACTGCCCTTTTAAAGGGACAAACATTTCCCCTGCCATTTGGCCATGGGTCAAATCCCGGTTAGCCCCCAGTGAACATCCCAATCCCCACTAAAATAGGTTCTAAAATGGGTGGTGAATTCACCAATCCCAACGAAAATGGGATTTCATTGGTGTTGACCGGCCATTTCCCCCGGAAAAACCGAAAAACCGGGTGCCTGCCAGGACCACCCGCTTCAGCCTCAGCTCCTCCCCATCCAGCGCCAGGCCCTCGCCCCTCGACTCCGCGCGCTCCAGGCGCAGGCGGCTCCGCACCTCGGTGCGCTGCTCGAAGATGCGCACCGTGAGCCGGGCCTCGCGGATCCAGCAGCTGGGCTCCTGGTAGTCCTCGGCGAAGCCAAGCTTTTGCTTTGCTTTCCAATGGGAAGACCAACGGAAACCAGCCATCTTCGGGCCCAACTGCTTGGGCACCGACAAAACGACCAGGCGCCTTATGCCGAGCTGGGCGACTACTGTTAAGACACACCAAGCTTCACCATGGACCCTCACCCCGCAGGCCTTCCGGAAGATCTCCGGCGGCGAGATCGGCGCCGCCCGAACTGCCGCCGAATTGCTGCTGTGGCGCCGGCGGCGCTGCTGTGCGGCGACGAAAGCACAGGCGCCCCAGGCGGGAGGCGCGGACCAGCCTGAAGCCAAGGAATCTGGGCTGCTTTTCTGCGATCCCCTGCTAAAAGTCTAGGTTTCAAAAGTCTAGGTTTTCCCCTGCGATCACCAAACAAACTGAACACCTAAGAACCCAAGGCTGGGAGCCAAGGAGTGTGTGTCTTCTGGTTGCCCATTTGGAGTGCGACAGGCAGGTTATTCTGAGCATCGCTGCCACCTTCCAGCGGCATGGGCCAGGGAAATTGCTTTGGGCCTCGAAGAGCTATCATTGTTGTGGCCCAAGGCTTTCCGCAGAAAGGGAGGGAGGCAAGGAGGGGCAAGGGATTCAGACGCCTTCTGAATAATTGGTTGGCAAATTCCCAGAACCCTTCTCTGATTGAAAATGCCCCTTTCCTGCCCAAATTCAACCATATACAATAAACACAATAAGGCTATGTCCAATACTTTTGCCAATACCAATTCCTTTCAAAGTCCCAAGGGTTTCTGCTCCAGAAATCAAACAAAAGAGGCCGCCTCTGGCTGGCCGGAGCTTGTCGAGCCCGGGCCGCGCCGCCCGCACCGGCGCCACGGGCGCCCGCACCGCCCGAGGCACCCGGGCGGCGACGCGCGTCAAAGACATGGGCCGCGACATGGCCATCCCCGGCCGACTCAACCCGTTGACCGGCCGAGCGGAAAGCAAAAATGCAGGTGCAACTTGATGCCCGGGTAGAGTGGGAACTTGCTTAGAACGACTACAATGAGCAGTGTGTGCAAAGTTGAGGGCGCATCCGACATGCTCATGTTTGTCCATGCGAAATACAGTATCATGATCTAGCGTGCTACCTTCCTCTACATGCTCCCACGTGACTTGTGCGTTAGTGGTGGTGACCTGGTGCGTTCATTGCGTATTGCATGGAGTTACGCATCTGCGCCGCATGCGCAAGGCATGAAGAAGTATCAATGTGCATTCTTCCATTGTTCGATCACTCTTGTGCTGAGGAAAGGCAGCCAGACGTGCAGACGGACAAACAAATGCGGACAACCAGCCCCAGCCTCGCCGAGAGGCCATGATTCTGATTGCCTGCCTCCCCAAGTATAACAGTGACATGATCATTGCCGGGTATTCTCCAACCAACCCAAGCCTACTACGAAGCAGTTGAAGAGTTGAAACGTGACTCCCCGCCAAACATCCCAGCACCCCATCCCCTATATACCTGCGGCCTGCTCTTCTTCTCAATCCGCCCAGCACACAGGTTGGGATCAAACACATCTCCGACAAACTCCTCCTGAAAAAAATGCTCTGCAAAAAATGCTCTGCTACCTTGCTGCACCGAAACAAAGCGACACTTCTTCCCAAGCCTGGTCCGAGTTCTTCCCTGAACGCAGCATCACATGATAGGAGGGTGGCGGCAAAAGTGGCGATTGGCAGCTGATTTCCGGCCCCACGTGGCCCCAGCCAGCGCCTCGTCGTCGGAGCTGCCGCTATGGCCTCCCCTGCCCCTGCGGCGCAAAGATGCCAACGCCTGGGAGCCGGGCGGCGTGCGGCAAGGGGCGCTTCCCCACGTTGAGCAAAGGGCTGTGGTTGAAATGGAACCCATCTCTGTGATAGTCTGCGATACAACAAAAAGGGCCTCCCAAAGACTAATTAGCCCCCCCCAATTGTTTTTATAAGGCAAGCGAAACCGGCAAGCAAAGCAGAGGCGCAGGTTATATAAATCAAGACCTCCTGCCCCCCAAAAAAATCGAGGCAAAGGAGTCTCTACCGCAACACCCAGTGCCTCCTCCGCAGCCGCCAGCGCATCGGCCTCTGTGACAGTATCGCCCCCCAGCGCGCGGAGCAGTTCCTCTGGCAGGCCCAACCTGTGAAGATCAAAAGGATTCAATTGGGACCAACCTGTGAAGATCGTCTTTAGATTTGGGAGATGCTCTCGTTCTCGGCCGAGGAACCCTGATCAAAGAACCGCCAGCTCACCATGCTCATAAGCTTGGTCTTCTTCGCCATTGCCACCATCATGCTTACAACTACATTCTTCAGCGCCGGAAGTGAACATTAGGCGTTCGCCAAGTGGCTCATTCACCATGAGCCCTCTGCCCTCGCCGGCGACAAAGCCAAAGCCCCCAGACCTCATCTGCTCGCGAAAGAGTGTGCAAAGCAGAAGGCATCCGCCACATGCCACGGAAAGTGGCCTGAGGTTCATGGATTTGCACAATGAAACTCCTACAAGTACAAGCTTCTTGGGGCTTTGACGGGCTTTGAGCCACTTGCGTCGAACAATCAGTCTCTAGCGGCACTCAGCAGCTTGCAGTGGAAACTGCATGCCTCGCGGGCAAAAACCCAGCTCAAACCTCAAGTGCGCCCAAACTGCTAAAAAAAGCTACATACCAGTCGCACCAGCCCTCGCAGAACCTCGTGGAACCCTTGGTGGAACCCTCGTGGAACCTCGGCGCCGCCCCGGACCACCCCGGAGCCAATCTGGGCTGTGGGAGACCCCAAAGCTTTCAGCTGTTGGGGGAAAAACACAAAAACCGGGCGCCACTGGGCAACTGAGGAAACAAACCCATAACGCCGAAACCCGTGGACTTGTGGTTCTACTAACAGGTGTGCATAGGCCTTACTATAAACCCAGTTAAACCAAGTAGAACCACCTACCAAAATGGCCAAATTGGGGTTGTGGGCGCTATGTCCCCTTGACAGACATCTCGTGAGGTCTCTCCCGCCTTGAGCCACTGGTAGGGCCCGTCCACAGACCCGCCCTTGCAGGTGCCAACGCTTCCGCAGTTCAGCAGGTGCTGCACTGCCAGGTTAATGTCCACACCCGCGCCCTTTCCTGGGGGCGCGTTTTTGGCGCGTTGTTGGAAGTCGCAGCCCTGGGAATGAGTTAGCATACCGCACACCCATCCAATGGCTACAGTTAGACGAATTACATTTGGAGGTTGCTCAGGAAATGAGTCGGCCATAGTTGGGGTTCCAGGTGCCAAACTGAGTGTTGCTCTCTGCAAAGGATATTCTGCGAACTTCTGGGCCCCAAGTGAACATGGGAGATATCAACATGACTTCTGCTTCCCGGTGGTTTCCTTTGAAGCCACCATGTAGAGGGTAATTTTGAGCTGGTTCAGGTGAAGTTTATAATCTTGGGTCCATGGGGAACGTGTGGAGGTTTGACCGTGTTTGCCTGTCCAAGTGATGAAGTTCGTTCCTTGACCGTTGGAGGTTTGCTGAAGCTCCCGCACGCATCCTTAATTGTAGAGGTTGCGCACTTGGGCGTGAAATTTAATAGGGGATCCTCAAGTGGACATCAGAGTTCGGCGGGGGTTCATGCCCACCAACCACGCGTGTTTGGTGGCTCCGTATCAGGGCTTCTGTGCTACAACAAAAAGGGCTTCCCAACGACTAACCCCCCCATATAAAGGAGGAGATCCCCTTGTATCACAGAAGTGAGATAAAGCCCTGGTGATCCCACAGCCCTGCTCCCTACTAAACTTCATAGCCAACCTGCATGCAGTTCTCCGTGTGATTGAGGTTGTGCCACACATTGCTTGGGGTGGGGTTCATAGAGGAGAACACGTTGAAGCGGTTGGGCGGTCTGGCTTTGGTTGCCAAGTTGCTTGTTGCGTTGGATGTCAGCGTTTGAGACTTCGAGGCAAATCAACTTCGAGTTTGTCGGACCCTTTTCCTTCGGAGCAGTTCTACACCTTTAGCTTCCTTTTGACTTCTTCAGTTGTCGTTCTGCGCGTGTCTTGCGTTGACCCCTTTTTGGGACGCCTTTGCTTGGCTTGCGTCCTGACCCGGCTCAAATCCTTTCGCACCACTCCTTCAACTACTTCCCACTTCTGATAACCTCCCAAACTTACAAAAAACAACAAAAAACACTACTTTGCACTTCTGATAACCTCCCATTGCAAACCTAAAATAAACAACACAACTCCGACATGGTTCAGCTCCTTTGCTTCAAGCGGCGGGCGATCTTGATGCGGTCGCCCAGAGCTGAAATGGCTCCGTGTGCCCAGCAACTGCCGCAGTACTGGGGGATGTGCTGGTTGCGGGACATGGTGCAGTAGCTCTTGCCATCCTCAAGGCCACCCGAAATGAGTTGCTTTGAGGCCGGCTGCTGCCAAAGGCCCCCCCCCCCCAAACAAAGAAACGATAGAAGACGTTCCTGTATTTCGAATATTTTGCTGCACAAAACCACCGCACAAACAGAGCAACCACGTGGTAGTGACAAGCCTTGAACTATCAGACCTATTCCGCGCGCGCTTTCTAACAAACTGCGGCATTTTGGGGGGGGCGCCCTCCCCTTCATGTGCCCGTCTGACATGCCTGAGGTTGCTGCGCAAAATGATGTTTCGATGCGAGCAGCCTAGCCATCCCTCTCAAGGACTCTGCGAACTGCCTCCGGGGGCATGCGCTGTGCCAGCTTGCACACCCCTCGCATACCCCTCACTTAGCGAGCAGTGAGTTGGCGCAGTTGCAGCATGAGTTGCTCCAAGTGATCCCCCACTTCCGCAAAAAGAGGAGGCGACCTCCAAGCGCCAGCGAACTTCGTGGCTGCACCATGGCCTTGAGAGACAGGGTCGGTGTCCAGTAAGATTGCTTGGACAGGTCCTGCGCCTGACCTCCCGTAGAATGGCGACACCCGGGGTCCGACGCGCTACTTGAGCGGGGAAGACGTACGCGCTGCTTTGGAGATCAGTCTCAGCGCGTCAAGTGTGCGTGACGCGTGGACGCAGCTCACGGCAAAAGACGGGTCGCCCTGAAAAAGGGCACCCTCAAAAGAAGCAAAGCCCCAACTTTTGGCGGTTTATTTATTTATCAAGTTAAAATCGATTTATTGAGGGTTTTTTTTGGGGTATCTATTTATTTACTTTGTTTTTGCGGTTTCCCTTGAAGCCAAACCTTCGCAGGACTCCCCCGAAACCCCCCAAAACCGTGCCACGCCTTGTTGCACCACGTGAAGTCCGAGGGCATCTCCGCGTCGCCCAGCTGCTCGTGGGAGCTCTCCCAGCTTCTCGGCCTGCGGCGACGGTCGTGTCGTGGACCCGTGGGGCCTGGTGGCTGGGTTGGTCCCCATGGGTATGCGCCGAACATCGAAAAGAAAAAACAACAAACATTGAAACCAGGATAAACAGGTGTCCTTTGGGAAAAATAGATGGCCCTGGGAAATGCGGCATTTAAAACCCATCTAAACTAGGTTCTCCAGTAGAGAGGTTAGAATAAGGGTACCGACTTGTTTCTGTAGCCTATTTTAGTAGGGGCACCCTCCCAACCAAAAAAGGGTGAGACCATGGGTATGCGCCAATCAAGCGCCCAAAAAACATCTAAACCAGGACAAAAGGTATGTGGGCGTCTCTTTTTTTGGAGGCCGTTTGTCAAGGTTTCAAAGGGAAACTATAAGGATTTGTTGGGGTGGGTTGTCTCTATATGGGTATATGGTGTGTCTTTCTGAGGCTTGGTACCCAATTTGGGGGTTTCAACCGGAAGCCAAAGGGAACACCTTTTTGAGGGTCCCTTTAAAACCACACCTGTATTGCGAGGTACTTTTTTTGGCCTGCTTGGCTGGTGTCAAAAGAAAGCCAAAAGAACACCGACCTGGGTGTCCTTAAGTTTGACACACACACACACGCACGCCATTGTGGGGAGGGGTTGGGCAAAAGGGTGGGAGGGTGGGGTACATTCTGTGTTCACCCTCTATTTGGTGTTGGGCTTGGGGCTGCGAATTAGATTCCAAGTGTCCACAAGTCACAGCCGGGGCTCAAGCCAAGTGGGGTTGTTTGGGGCCCAAGCTTCAATGAAATGGCTGCGGCAAAGGGAACCATTCAAAAGGGAACCTTTTGCAAACTGCTGGCCAGGGTGAATGGGGTTGCACTTCAAACTCAATTTAACTCCTGATCATACCCTCCCTCTCCCCCCCCAGTCCCTCCACTCCTAAGAATCATAAGATAACACTGTGGATGGACGAAGTCCTGCACCAACTGGGATGATTCCCCTATAAATTCCAACGAACAATGGGTTTCCAAGTGGCGCAGGAGTGTGCGCAATTATTGAGCCCCGCGTATTGACCAGGTGATGTGCGAGGCCTGGCAGGACGTATGTGCCATCCATGCGCAATGACCTAGCCCTTTACATGGGTCCGGGGAGCCGTTTTCCGGAGAAACCAAAAGGACAACAACCAAGCCCTATTTTTGAGACAAACACCAATGTAACATGGCAGGGCCCATCTTATATGGCAGAACCATCTTCTTAAATGGCAAATGGGCATTTTGGGCGCTGCTCATACAAGGAATTAGCCAATATATATATATATATATAATATATATATATATATATATCGCATCACATGGCAGGACCCCCAAAGACAAAGAAAAGCATTCGGGTTCTGAAAAAAGAGAGGAGTATCACAAACAAAATGGCATCGGTTTTCCTTTTGGTTTCCCTAAGCCAAGCAACCTGACAGGAGCCACACCTTGGTTCAGCCACGGTAGAAATGCGGCAGGACCCGCCCGAAACCCAACCCCCCGCCTCGCGGGGCAGCAGTTCGGAGGCGCGGCGGGCGGAGCAGGTGAACACGGCGGAGGGCAGCTTGGCCTCAGTCTGTCTAAACCCCGAGGGGTGGGTTTTTCGGTTTTCCTGAACCACAAAAAGGAGTTGAACCGCTACTTACTGCCTGCTCACCAAAATCCAATGGGAATGTTGACTGTTGCATGTTGGCCCCCCAAAAAATCAGCCAACCAGTTGATGAATAGGGTGTTCCCCTCTAAAAGGGATGATTCCCCCACTAAACCAATGGTTGAGACCCCCCCTATTAATAAACTGGGGTTGATTAATAGGGGGTCAACATTAGGGGTGGGTGTCTGGTTGGTTTCCCTGAACCACAGTGCGCTTAATCCTAAGATCGGCACAAACAGCATGAGGGATTAGCTAAAATGCGCGAGAAGGCAGCGAGAAAAAGACGAGCCCGCAAAAAGGAATGGAGCCTCGGAAAAGGAGATGGGTCTTTGGCGGGACTGCCTCTTTTGGATGGTTTTCAAGGGAAATCAACAAAAGATCAACAGACAACGCATCCCCGATTCCTCTAATCATTCGCTTTACCTGACAAAACTGTTCAACTCCAGCTATCCTGAGGGAAACTTCGGAGGGCATTTCAGGGGACGAATTTGAGAACCCACATGTGCGGGATGCGCGACCAGATCCGCTGATCGTGCGGACCCGCTCGGTTTTTCCATGCGGGTAAACAGATAGGGAAAACCGCGCCCAAATCTGGGAATCGCGGAAAGCTTTGGAATTCTGCAGGATCCTTTGAAACAGACACTGGTTGCTGTTGACCCCCCTGCAAAAAGTGAACAACTTTTTTGGGGTTTAGTACGGAAAACCCAACTTGATTTCAACCAAAAAGCTAAAGTCTAAAGATCCGTTGCCCAATAGCAGTCAAGGTGACACCAAGGGATTTTTGCGGCATTTTTGCGAGCGGCCGCGTTTTCTTTGGTGTAGCAGGCGCTGGGTACGGCCGACGCATCGCACCAGGAGCACTTGTTGCCGGCCTCACACCAAGCCAATCCCATGACCGTTTCTTTTGAAACATCGGAAGACCACATGTCTAGGTCCTCCAGTAGAGAGGTTAGAATAATGGTACCGACTTTTTTCCGCTGTCTATTTTAGTAGGGGCACCCTTCCCCCAAAAAAGGGTAAAAGGGCACTACTGGAGGACCTAGATGTTCAACGGTTCAACAAGCTGTTGGCTTACCTCAGTCACAATCAAAACCCGGTATTAAAATGGCCTACCCAGAACCATGTAAAGAATTAAGAAGGCGGCCGCAACTTTTTCTGGAGACTGCCCCTTACTAACCTTGATCTACCAGGGTTTTGATTGTGGCTTACCTGAGTGTATGATGTGTTGGGGGTCTGGTTTCCCTTAAAACAAGTAGCTTCCATTTGCTTAAGCCCCGTGCAAAAAATGAAAATATTTGCAGTAGTGATCGATTCCTTTTACAACCAAAAGGGGCGGAAAAAAAGAAAAGGAACAAAACAAGTATTCTTAAACAAATGGACGCCGGAGGGTCCGGTTCTTTGCCCGTTTGGCCTGACTCGATCAGACCAAGAACCGCGCCTGGCAGTCCGCCTTGGCGCTGGCCGCGTGGCAGGGGTGTCAAGATGGCGGCGGCCAGGAGACCAAATGCGGCAGCCTGGACTTCTCTTCGGGCGTGTCTTAGAGGGAACCGGGAGCCAACATGGCGCTTAATGTTGACCCCGGATTCATGCACCCCTGCTTACTAGTATGGGGGTATCCCTGGGTTTAGTGGGGATTTATCACTCTTGGAGGGGAACACCCCCCTAAGAATGGGACGGGCTTATTAACATTGGAGGGAACCGGGATCCAAAATTGCGCAACATGGTGCTGATCTCCCTTGCCTAGGTCCAGTAGAGAGGTTAGAATAAGTTGGTACCCGATTTTTTTCTGTAGTTTACTTTAATAGGGCAATTTTCCGACCAAAAAAGGGGTGAGAAAGGGCACTAATGGGGGACTTAGAGAAGGAACCGGGAGCCAACATGGCGCTGATCTTGATCCCTTGCTTTCCCTTCGAAGCAGCCCGCAAAAAAGGCCACCCCCGAGCCCGCAAGGAACAGCAGTTTTTTTGTTCAGATAGCTGGACTTCTGCGCCTTGAAGATGGGGATCTTTTCGCGGCAGGTGGAACCCGCAAGACCCTTGGGTTGCTCCAAAACACGTGGAGCGTCGAGAGAAATGAGTGCAACATTTGGCTCTGCTCTGGGTATCCCACCGGGAATGATGATTCTAGGGGTTGATTCGTGATTCTTGTCAAGAGTTGCTATTTGCAAACAGTCAGTTGCCCTGCGGTGTTGTTTGCCGGAAAGAAGGATTCCTGGAAAGAATGTAAAGTTTCTCCCCTGCAGACCAACATAGAACCCAACAAACATTGTTTTTGAGGGAAAGGCCCTTCTTGGAAGACCTTTTGTTTGGGGCTCATCAGCCCATGACAATTTGCAGCGCAGTACCCCCAGAATGATATGCAGCCGAACACAGGGCCCGCCCCATTGCTCTCTGCCTTGAAGAGCTTCATGCTTCGCAAGGGCTGAGGGAACAGCGAGGTGAACTTGAGCCGAAAGCCTACCGGAGACAAAGGACACGTCCCACCTGGAAGCCATTGGGAACGTATCCCCGGCTTTAATTCATGAAATGCCAAGGCTGGCATTGCTGGTCGTGCGCAACCCTGAAGGCTCCTTTTCTTTTGCTGTGCTCGACCGTTACCTCGCTTTGTGTACTGCAACCTGGCTAGGATTCCCTGCATCCCAGAAGCTCCACCAGTGCCATAGTCAAACTCATGGTCCATGGAGCACATAAAGCCCGCGGACAAATATTCGCGTCACCGCCCGTCCCCAGCTCACGTCAGCTGCTTATGCTTTGTGCAGCTGAGCGTGCGTCAAAACAGGGGCCAAATGGGTGTGCGTCAAAATAGGGGACAGGGACCCAAAAATGGGTTTTTCCTGTGGGTGGCTCGTTAAACTAACTTGACAAGGGTGCCCTGAAATACAATCCTTATCATGGTTGTCAAAAATATCCTAAGGATAATATGATCAATCCCTACCCCAAGGACGTAGCGAGGTATGTTCTTGGTGGCTATTGCCCTCTGCAAAAGTGCTACAGGCGTTTCAGTGAAAAAAGTACACCTTTCCCCGAAAAGTTGAAGGTCAAAAGATGAAAGATTTAACTAAAGAGCAGCCGGATCTGTTGCGGTATATCAACTTGGGTGTTCAACAAGAAACCCTGAAAAACAGACAGACCCAACAGTGCAACCAGTAAATCCCAGGCAAGCCCCTGTAGTAGGTAACCAGCCATTCTCCTTTTGGCTTTTAAAGGCAGTTACCTACAAAAAGAGGCAACATGGAATCACAGGAGCACATCTTAAGGTCTACGGATCCCGTCCCATCCCGTCCGATTCATTGGGCCCCCGACGCCCAGCAGACCTAGGCCGAGATTGCGCGTCAGCAACCGGACAACCCAAAGATGGGAATGAGTTTATCTCCAACCCGTGTTAGGGTGGCAACCAGACATTACGTTTGCAGCCCCCTAAACATGAACAGAACAACCAACCCAAAAACATGCCAACGACAGCGAAGAACTGGACCCCAAAATCCAAGGTTCCCTTTCAGGGCGTCCCTTAAAGGGAGTCACCATCAAAAGGGCGTGGGGCCAGCCAACAAAAATACTCAAAAGGATAGGTTTTGTTTTTGGCTTCCGTTTAAGGTGGTCCAAAAATGACACAGATTGCTCTGCCCTCCCGTTCACGAACATGGAACCTCTCTCCCGGTTCGTAGCGCATTTAAGACGCATTCCGTGGACGACAGGTTCCATTTGACCTCTGGCTTCGTTTGGCTTTTGGTTCCGAGGTTGCAAAGATTGGATTCGTTTGCATCGGTTTGCCCCGCGTCCAGCTAGCAGCTCCAATCTAAACCAGTGGAACCCTTTATTTCTAACCAAACTCACTGACCTAAAACTCACTTGCGCAAAGAAGTTGGAAATAAAAGGTTCACCTTTTGGCACCTCTACTAAAAATGGACCAAAATTGGAAAACCAAAAGGTCGATTCGCTTTGGGCAACTGAGAAAATGGGCGCCTAGTTATGTAGCCTGTGATGTGGTCAGGTTTTCCACCACTTGCGGCCTGTGGGCAACCGCAGTGCCAGCAGTGGCCCACGGAGCCCTGATCTGGCTGGTTGCACCAAGGCTCCAAGAGGGGTCCCGACCGCTCGCAGCGGTTCAAAACGCATCCGAAAAATCAAGGATCCGCGTCACCCAGCAAAACGTGTTTCCTGGTCTAAAATATGGGTCAGAAAAGACACATCTCGTTGTGAAGTTGGGTAGAAAAGCTGCAGGTCAGGGTCCCTGGTGAGCTCCTTTCAAAGGTTAAACCCATGCGCTCGACAGGGCGCATGCTACGAACAGCGCCAGCAGCGGCCGTTGCCGGGCAATGTGCTTCATTGGCCTCGCACAACTGCACGTGCGGAGGCCAGTGGGATGCAACAAAAACATCAGGGCACAGAAACCAAACCAACCGAAGAGGCTCGTGGACTTCCATTGGGGTCCTTCATTCTCTCCCACAAGCACCGACTAACCCTTCGTCCGAATACTGCAGAAATCTGAGATACCTCTCTCGAATGCCGACAGCTGGGGGGCAATGGACCCACAAGAAAAACACCAGGGCCCCAAAGATGCTTCGTGTGGGTGCCCTTGTTTGGAGTTGGTATCCCTTTTCGCGGTTGTAAAGGGAAAGTCGAAAAAATATTTCCTTATTTTTGGGAGGGGGGGGACTCTAAAACAAGACGCACTCCAGATTGCAAACGCAACGAAAAGGCATGTCATGGAACCTGATTGAGGGGTCCTGGTTTGGACTACTTTCCTTTGAAAGGGACCATCTGATGGGTTCCATGTTGGTGGACCGGGTACCCTCCAGAACGAACAAACCCACATCACCCCATCCTTGGTTGACGTTGGAAGGGGAGCAAAAATTTAAATTAAATTTTAGCAGTTAAGTGGGGGTTTCCCACTAAACCACAATAAGCAAAAATGCAAAACAACACCCCATCCGCCTTCCCCTTCGGGCCTGTTTCCAGCTCGAGGGAACTGGATGTCCTCGGCTCGGAGTTCGGAGTAGGAGGTCTACGCATCCCGCGGGCCGAGTCCACTCTGCAGCCGTCTTGCGCAGGTGCAACCACTTCTGTAACATCACCCTTGCTCTTCCAAGGACCCGCAAAACCTGGGTCCTTCTTGATTTTGATCTTGGCTCCAAATGGAAATTCGGCCAAAGGCAACTGCTTTTCCAGGGTCCTGGAAGATCAAGGCACTGGGAATGGTTCACTTGAAGAGAACATGCGAAAAAGGTTCAGCTCCCTATCACAGAAGTGGAAGACGCCTCCTTCCCACAAGCATGGTCATGCATGTTGGCTAGATTTATCACCCACGAGCAATCCCAAATTACTCGCGAAGCTCGAGATTGAGAACAAGCGGTTCAAAACGGACGGCCCATTCAAACACTACTTGGATGTACATAGTATGTAGGTTGCAACCATGCGTCTCAGGGGACGACCAGTTACACGAGTTCTAGCCATGGATACAACCTGCTTGCCTGACGTTGGCGTTTCACATCCCAGGGTTCGTTGCGGAATGGTGCTGAGATGCGCTGAGTCTTAACCCAGCCTTTTGCGGGCCGGCAAAAGGCAAATCCCTGGTTCCCAAAGGGTGCTCCTTCACCTCGCAGCCCTCAAAACAACTGACATTTTGGAGCCGGAAAAACGCTTGTGCCAGCCGGCGTATTATAAGTGCCTTTAAAAAAAAAAAGTGGTACTTAACAGCGCATGTGTTTGTCTCTTGCACTACCTAAATGAGAGAGACTGCTCTTGAAAGGTTCACCATGGCCAACCAGCCCACAACTCACCACGCCGTGCCCCCGACAGAGTCACCAACTGTCGCCTGCCTGCCTTCACCATCCACCCCTGTGCTGCCAAGCTTCACTTGGGAAGGGCCAAGTACCCGCTCACCGCCGCAGTTTGCAAGCGGAAAGAGTGAAAGCTCGATCCGAGCTGCGAATTTGCAACGGGGGCGGCGATTGAAAATCGGCAGCTGCCCCACCTGGGCCTTGAGAGGTGGTTTGGAGTGGTTTGGATGTGGTCCGGTGCCTCCCCACTTCTCAACAAGAACCAGGGCTTCAAACTTCCAGGCCAATCCACATCACAAATTCAGGGTATCCTGTTCAGGAAAAGGCCGAAGGGGCCTTATTTCTGCTGGTGAGAATTATTCCGGAACTACCATATCCCTAACTAGAACTGCTGGTAGCTCCAGAAAGCTCTCTCTTGAAAATCAATTTGGGATACCCTATGGCTCCCTAACTCCCTTTCAGCCACTAGCCAGCCCATGTAGGCGGACCCTTTCGGAAAACACACACACACACACACATACACGCACTCTATGCATGCGAGGTTAGCCTCATGGCGGAAATTCAAGCTGCAGCTCCTCGCCCGCAGCAATCCCCCCAAATCCCCTCAAACACGCTGGGGGCACTGAACTCAAATTTGGTCCAAGAAGTGACGCGTCTTTTCCCTTTGCCGAATTTCCGGGACCTGGCAGCCTGCCAATACCGCAAGCTGTGCACATGAGCCACAGCCAGCATCAGAAACTTCGATTGGGTAGGTCATGGCCCTTTTTTGTGAGAAAACTACTGATATTGGGTAAGGCCCCCCTCTCTCTAAATGAACAACAGTCTACCAGTAAAATCTTGACAGTTGCTAACAAAAAGGGCATGGATTCTATTTTGGGACCCGTTGGTGGACATCATGTGGAATTCACGTCCAACCAACTTAGTGGTTCCCTATTGAAACTCATTCCATCGTCAGATCCGAACCCCAAAAGTGGCTGCAGCTTCCCTTAAGAGAAACGCACAAAAATACAACTAATTTTGAGAACCTTCAAACAACCCGGCCAAGAAACAAACGCACGGGTTAACCGCTCGTCCGGAATGCCTGGCGACGTCTTTGGTCACGCCTATGATCCGGTGCCACCCGCTTGTGCCACCCGACAAGGCCTACATGCCCCCCCCAGGTCCCTTTTAAACATCGCTCGACCCACAGGACACTCTCCTGCGTATTGGCCTTTAGCGGGCTAAATGGACTCCATTAAACCCTAAAAGTCTAAAAGCCTAAGGGCACGTCTGGGAACCGCCAAGAAATGCACAGGTGTCCTTTTGGGAAAATAGATGGGTTTCCCTGGTAGATGAATTAAACCAAGTAAACCAGGAATCGCCAAGCCTATATTTGACCAAACCAAAAAGGACGCCTATGGGTAAGTCAACAAAATGCATTCGGCACAAGCTGGGCTGTCCGGGAGATCATGAGCCTATGATCAACAATGGAAGGGTATAGGATGGTTGCCAAACAGGGATCCTTACATCATACACCTGAACATCGCAACTTGTAAATGGAGGTGTCCCCTTATTTTGGTGTTGAAAAAGCCAGCCAGCCCAGGGATTGCCAGTCCAGTCCGCTTGGGCTTCCGGCTTGCTGGACCCCCAGGCGATGAGCACCGCGTTGTTGGCCTCGCTTTGCTCGGAGGTGGCTGTAGCTTGGCCAGGCTTGGGGCCCTGCAACAAGTAGATTCTGATCCGGGGGTGGGGTGGTCCCCTTGTGCTTTGTTTCCTTCGATGCTTTTTGGGTTTTTCCTCATTTTTCCTTGTTTGTTGATTGTTTCCTTAGTCTTCCTTTGGTTTCCTTTGGGACCCTACCATGTCCCTAACCAGAACTCTGAGGTCCTGGTTGCTCCTGAACTACTCCCTCTTTGTATCGGCAAAAGGTTTGGATATCCCCAGCTCCGGAGCGGCTCCTTCCCAACCACCAGCTAGTTGCTGGCAAAAGGAAAATCTGAGCGCACTGTTCCTAAGAATCTCAACTGCTTCTTAACGTGCTTAAGGTAGCCCAGAAGCATAGATAAGGACAACCCACGTGGTGAAAGATCCGACCAAATCGCAGCCAAGGCTTACTGGTCCTAACCTCCCAACCAACCAAGCACCCTGGGGAAGCCACCTAACCACCAACAATCCAACCCACCAATTGGAGGGAAGCTGAAAACTGAGGCTTCCACCCCCGGGGATCGCTCCGGCGGCCAAGGAGCCGCGTCCAAGTACCCGAAGGCGGTGCCACAGCCCATGCCCAAGGCTTCCTGAAGCATTTTGGGAAATGCTCGGCATGTTGCATTTTTCTTTGGGTCCCCTGAAAAACATATTCTGAGATTCCGGGCTGCCCGTTTTCCGATCCCCCGCTAAAAGTGACTAAGTTTTAGTAAAAACAAAAAGGCTAAAAAAGCTAAGGGGATGCCTGGGAGCCACCAAGTATTGACATGCTTCCAGTAACAGATTCCCTTTTAACAAACCAAAAAAACATATTCTTCAGCAAACAAAATATTGTGGCTAATGTTGAACCCATTTTTCATGGACCCATGCTTGATTTCGATCGGGCGTCCCTTTTAGTATCCCATTTCCCTTGTATCCCCCGGGTGGGGACCCGGTCCCAATTCTTCCATTTGCTTAAGCCCCCTGTAAAAAAAAAGAGTCCAGTAGTGATAGATTCCCTTAAAACCAAAAAAGGAAAATAAAACATATTCTTAAGCAAATGGAATAATTCCGTGTAACTACTATTCCATTTAACTAGTCTTCCCCATGAAAAGGAAAAATGACACCATACATGGAGATCTCCAGATCATGGGGGCTGGAGGAGCCCTAAATAAGGCCTTATTGAGGGCTTAGGGGCTTATTTTGGGCTCCCTCCCCCCCAGCCCCCATGACTACAGGTCACCTCCCCCAATTTCACTTTTAGGGGATTTCCTTGTTTCAAAGGGTTTGGTTACAGGACAATCTACAGGAAATCAGCTGTTTTCCTGTAGAATTCCCTGTAGCCCAACTAGTTACATGGAATTCTTCCATTTACTTAAGATTTTTTGTTGCAATCCCTTGTTGTCTCATTTAATGCCCCAGGTCCACTTTTGGGGGTGCCCTCATTGTCCCCTGGCCGATTCCCCAGTCCTCCGCCCAGCAGCCGGGCGCCAGCTGAAAGCCCAGCGTGAGGCCCACCAGCACACAAGCCACGGCTGAGGGGTCCTCCAGGGTAGGAGCCCAACGTCTCAACCGTCGCTCGGTCACTAGGTGGACTTCTGGCGCTTTTGTTTTTTTTGGTCAGGAACCTTTCAGGCCTTCTTTTCTTCTCCTTCCGTTTCTTGCCCGAAACAAGAGTGAAGGGACATGTCCCCTTCGAAACGCGGTTGCATTCTGCTCCCAGTGGTTTCATTCGGAAAACCCATAAACCGGCAATACCTTTCGTAACTTTTTGGGGGTTTAGTACGGAAAACTCATTACTTGGGGACCCGCCGGCCTCCGGGTCGGTTTCCTCCCCCCTCTCCAAAACCAATCCAAATGGACCCGCCCCTTTTATTGGAAACACATATGGGGTACACCACAACTAAGATTCTAGATTCTGATCCCGACTTAGTCAACCCAAACCATAACTCGGTTGCTTTTAGTACGGAAAACCCCGAATGATTTCAACCAAAAAGTGAAAGTCTAAAGATCCAACCCAGTAGCAGTCAAGACGTCAGGTCAAAACAAACCATGGATATAAAAAAAAAAAAACGATACGATCACACCAGTTCGACGAGTTCTAAACCATGGTTGTAACGTTATAACCTGCTTACTACGTTGGCCACCAAACATTCAAGAATCTCTCTCCCAGAGCAGGGGTGAACACCGGAGCTGCATGCGTATTTGTCATTGCCGCAGCTCACAAGCTGCGCCGCTTCGTGCCGGAAGTGTTCTAACGTTCATCAACCCGGGAAATTCAGCAAACATGCAAAAAGTACTCCGAGGAACAAACATGTGCCGCCTCCTTCGCTTTGGCCGAAAAAAGGCAGTTTTCGTAAAAAGCGGCAGAAAAAAAAGGAACACCTTGGAAGGTCTAGGTATGGTCGTGTTCCCTTTAGCTTGCCAGAAAAATGTTATTTTGGGTCAACCGTGGACGGACCAGTAGAACATGACTCACTTTTTGGGGAAATGACTTTTTGCAAGCACCAAACCAAAAAAACAACCTGTCTACAAATTCAATGGCAATTCTATATCTTGCAGGTCCTTTCCTTGGGTAGGTTGGAGGGGTTATGCTTGTATGGGAAGTAGAAGGCGTTTCTCCGTAGTACCGAAGTTAACCTTTTGTAACTACTGGACCAAAAAGGGGAACCCAAAAGGTCAAAAGGCGGATTTGCTTTGGACAACTGATGAGAATTGGACCCCCAAGGAAGGACCTTCAGTCACGGGTTTTCGCTCTACCCCAGTAGCATCGCTCGCCATAGGTGCATTTTGGCTATTTTTTCGGGCCACCTCCCTTGGTTCTGGCAGCAAAGGCGCAAGGCAAACCGATGATTCAAACACGCCCTGCTGTTGACCCCCCTGCAAAAAGTGAATAACTTGTTGGGGGCTTAGTGGAAAAAAACAAATGATTTCAACAAAAAAGTTAAAGTCTAAAGATCCGTTGCCCAATAGCAGTCAAGGGAAATGGTCGGTACCTGCATGTTTCCCCTGGAAAAACATATTGACATGCTTCCAGTAGTGACAGATTCCCTTTTAAACACCAAACCAAAAAACATATTCTTCAGCAAACGAAGGATGATGGCTAGCAGTCAAGTTGTATACGCTACTTACCCCTTAAAACTCCCTGCGCCCTGTGGAAGTTCTCTTTTACAGACACTTTTGGCCCATGTTACCCAAAAAGTTGAGAAACGTTTTGTGTTTTTAAGAGGTATATAAGAAAGGGATCCCCCCAAAAAAAACGGGGAGCTCATTTCTGGGGAAGGCTGCGTTGGTCCTTGACATTGGATGCGTTGGTCTAATTCACCTGTTCTGCCTACCTTGGTGCCTGGCTAAGTTCGAGGCTTTGAGAGGCTAGGTTCGCGCCTGCCAGGCGAAGCGAAACGGGCGGCCTGGCCGCCTGGGCTTGGCATGGAGGCGACCGTGTCTTGGGTGCTGATGCCCCAGCAAAAAGTGAATAACTGTTTACTGGTTGAAAGGAAAAATATGAGGGGAATCCAAAAACTTAAAGTCTAAAAGTCTAAAGATCCGTTGCCCAACAGCAATATATAGAGGTGATTCAAGTGACAGGACTTGAGACTCGGTACGCTTTTCTTCTGGGCTGCTTCAGATGGAGTGTTGGCCAATCCGATTTTGCAGAATCCGATTGACAGCCGCTGGACGGGGACCGGTCCTTGCTCAACCCAAGGTATGGACCTTGCGGATTGCCTTCGAACAGCGCGTAGCACAACCTGTTGGGTTTAAAGGGCAGCCAGAAATCAACTCATGGGGTAAACCAACTTTAAACCACCCCAAGCACCAATCTCAAAAAGGGTGACGCATCCTGGGATTGGCCAAAAACGGTACCGCCAGACCCAAATGTGACTGGGGTCCATGAACTCAGGGAGTGAGTGGTGGCAAGGGAAAACTCGCCTGCCCTTTTAAGACCCAGAAATCAAAGGCGATCGCTGTTTTGGGCCCATGACTAAGAACTGACCGACGCTGCCCAAGCCTTACCGCGCCCGCCACAAAAAAAACTGAACAGAACCAACACGTCAGCAGCAGTGCATGATTGACATGACCCCCCCTCCACACCAAAAAGCAAGCAAACTACGTGCCAAAAACAGTGTGGCGAACAACGCCACATCCAATCATCCTAATTTGGGTTCCCTTGCTCTAGGCTTCTCGCAGTGTGGATTCAGGTAAGCTATAGATCTTCCTTTGTTCCCCTGCTTGCGCTATTTCGGACATCCACCCTGGGATGCTAGACTTCCACGCTCGCAACGAACTGAGTGTATGGACCCCATACATGAGTGTCTTGTCCCCCGCGCCGGGTGTGTGTGTGTGTGCTCCCCCAGTAGTTTTGCGGAACCTACCACTAAACCCTAAACACCTAAAACATAAGGACCTGGATGGCTAAGAACCACCAACAAGGGCGCGTGCAACGAAAAAAAACAACAAAAAAGCGAGCCTCCAGCGCGCCAAGAGCGCATATCCGGTGCCGCCGCCAAAGGCGGTGACCAGGGAAGCTGCTGAAGCCAACAGCCAGGTGCCTCAGGGTTTTTGAGGCCACCCTCCCTTCCAAGGCGCCTGACGTGGCGTCCATGGAGGAAATCGATGCTATTGCGAACCCAAGATCTCCCAGTGAACGGTTGCAGCTCAATGGTGCCACTCTTGAAGGTCGTTGCACCTTCTCTACGGTTCGGTCACAAAGACCAGCCAAGCCACCAACCTAAACAACATCTCCAGGAAATGCTTCAGGAAATTAGCAAAATACCTAGAGAATGATCATTGAAGATAGCTTCTTGCAAACCTAGGCCCGCCCGTAAGATCAAGGCAACAACATGTGCGAGGTTGAAAAACAGGGAAACCCGCGCCCCCCGCATAAGTCATGAGAACGTGCGCACGATTTGCTGTGCCCTGTTTCTCCCTTGATTCTCCAAAGAAAATTCCTCCAAACATGCTGGCTGGGGAGGTCTTTTGGGTTGGCTTGCTTGGAAGCACCTGGTGCTGGTAGATCAATAAACCACCAGGGAAACCAACCTGCGTTCAACCAAACCAACCAAAAAGAAGATCTATGGTTTGCACTTTTAAGCTTGCCGGCGCGATTGGCTTTGGTCGGGTCATTACCTCCCAAGTTTGCCTCCAAATTTATACACCTCCGTCCACATTGCGGTTGATATTGAAGGGAGTCAACCGCACAAAAAAAAGGAACCAAAGACTCTGGTACTTTTATTTTCAAGGGGATCCCACGGAGAAAGAGTTGAACAATGAAAGGGTTTGGCAGGTAGATCATTTTCCACCACCAGGTAAACCAGTTTTAACCAACCAAGCCAAAACTTGCTGGTTCTCAGCAAGGAATCAGTGAATGACTAAACCATCCCCTATGGGTTCCTTTGAGGGAAACCCCAAACGGTTCATTCCCACAACCCAGAAGGTCCTTCCCTACGGAGCAAAGGTTCAACTTAGGTGGGTCTCTGCATTTGTTTGTTTGTTCTTTTCTTTCTGGGGGGGGTGGGGGTGGGAGTACCCGTTTTCGAGTCGGAAACTTGAAAGGGAAACCAGGAAACCACATGGAACCTTCGGAGGGGTCCCCCAAAAGAAAGACACACCCACACGAGTGTACTCATGTCTCACTTGAGCGGACGCAAGTTGCCCACTTTTTCAGTTCCTTCCCCAAAAATGGTAACCCCAAAAAATGGTCTACTACCCACTTCCTCACTTCCTATGGTCTCCCCAAAAAAAGAAAGACGCACCCACAGTAAAGAATTCCGACGGAACCCGCAACTATTTCTGGCTGCTGCCCCTGACTATCCTTCATCTACCCGGGTTTTGAGTGTGGCTCACTTGTTGTTTGTCACAAATGGATGGTCCACCCAAAAGTCTGAAGTCCGAAACGGAACTCAAGGAGTGAGTTCAGCTGTTCAGCTGGCCTGTGCTTGGAAATGCCCCGCTGCCGCAAAGACGGCAAACGCTTTCGGGCCCGGATCGGAATAGCCAACATGAAACCAACTTGCCGGTGTTGAAGCGGCCTTTTGGATGCAACTTGCCTGGCTTTGGCTGGATTGCTCTGTGGTTTTTTGTTTCGGCCAGCTCTTTTCAAGCTCTCTGGAAAACTGACCTTTCCTATCATTCACAAGGCCCTTTGCAGGGAGTTTTTTTCGGAAAATTGGCAACTTCTCTGCCCAAAGGACCCACAAGGACCCACAAATACTCTCGGTTGACCTTCCTTGGCTTCCTTCCAACCACTCGCCAGTCTAAAGCAATCTGCTCACTGAGCTCAGATCCCCTAAAAGTGACTAACTTTTAGTGGGCTAAATGGAAAGCCCCACTAAACCCCAAAGGGCTAAGAAGCTAAGGAACCGGATGGCTGGGGGCCACCAAGCTCAGGGGTCGGAGGGAGCACCGGCCACACTCGGCTTCCCGATTTGTGCGCCTCCGGCGTGGGGCAGGGCGGGGTATTTCAACAGCACGCAGCGGGCCCCGATGTAGCCACACAGCAGCAGCGAGAGGTAATCCTTGGCTGGGTGTTCCATTGAGGGTCTGGAGGAAAAAAACGAACAACTAAATAAACTGTTCAGCCCTTGGTATGGCAACAAAAACTTTGTTTTAAAGTCTTTATGGCAAAAATGAACAGAACCACAGAAACCCACAAAACGTGAAGTGCACCCAGCTGGCTACAAGGCAGCTTCCATGTCCGAGGCTATGTGAAAAGTCTCGGGGCAAAATCTGGCATTTTGCCCTTCCAAACAAAGTTGAAAAAATAAGAGTGGTTCTTGGAAACCAACCGGAGAACCAAAATCCATTTGGCGGTCTCCCTTTCCGCAGCGAGGCTGACCAGTGAAGATTTACCTTGGCTGTCCTCAGGCCCACACGAAAAACCCAAAAGCCTCAGGGGAGGGCCGGGAACCACCCAGAGAAGGAGTTTGCACCCTCTGAGGATATCCATCGGGCTGCGGACAGCTGAAGATCCAGGATGGCCGGCAGAGCCTCTCCTTTCCCGCCTGCTTTGGGCGGGCACATGGTGCGAGGCGCGGGCGGAACGCGCCTCTCACGGAAAAAAACCCGAGCGGAACTGGGTTTTTTGCAATGGAGACCTTAGGTCCTTGTTAACGGGTTAAACATCACAAGCAGGTGTCCTTTTTGGGAAAATAGATGGGATTCCCTGATAGTTGATTGAAGCACCAGGTAAACCAGGACCCTCTATTTTTCAACCAAATCAAACAACAAGGACACCTATGATCACCAGCTTGCCGAGTTCAATGTGAGCTTCCCTTGGTAGCGGTGCCGTCTGCATGTCCTGCACGTGGCTTCCGCCCCCAGTGTCTCGACTACGCGCATGGATCCGCGCGCATGAGCCAAAAAACTTCGCAGTGAATCCTCCCCACGTAGCTGAGACATAACTCACCTTACCTCCAGGTGGTGTTTTGGTTTGGTGGTTTGGCTGCCTAACTGGGGTTCAAACCACCACTAAATCAAAAGGGGGGTAATACAACCACTGTCATTTGCCTAAGGAATTGTCATCTTCCAAATTGAATATTTGTTTAAGGGGGGTTGAAACGTAGGGTGTTAGGCAATCCAAGATAACCTGAATAACCGCCCAAGATGAAGAGAAAGACCAGCCCACCTCCTGTAATATACTTCACGCTGAGGAACAGGGTCCCAACAAACAAGTTTTACACCTGTCAGTGGCTAGGTCCAGCGTACAACAAATAGGAGCGAGAAGTCAAACCATCCAAACATCAGGCTTTCAACTTCTGGTGTGGAGCCCGGTGGCTTGGCTAGTGCTAGCTTCCCAATAGAAACCAGGCCTATCCCAAAACCAACCCAAACTACCAATTAAGCGAAACTGAAACATGTCACCAACAGTCCAACCCCAACAATATACAACCAGATTCTGCAAGTATGCCTTCACTGCTCCCGCGCTTTCCACCCTTGCGCCACATGAATTGCACAACGCCCTGGCAGGCTCCAAAGCAACCTACTACCACGACTTCGGGGTGAACCAACGTGCCCAAATATCAAAACCTGTCTGCAGTCGTCGCTTGCCGTGATTCCGGAAAATTGTGCGATCAAACGCAAACAACTCAGCCGTTGACTGAACAAAGGCTCCGGGGTTCAAACCGCCACGAAGTGAAAGGGGCTAGCATGCCCTAAAGAACATCATCCGAATTGGGTCAGCCATTCTCGAACCCTAGGGTAGGCCAAACCAGGAATAAGGTTGATTCGCGCTGGACAACTGGGCAGCCCCCCATCCCCCAAAAAAACAATATGGGTGCCATCAGGAGGGATATGCATGTTCACATCCGACGAACTATGGTCCCACTCATGAATCAAAGGAATCCCTCATTAGTAATGGGAACCCCGGATTTACTAACCCGTTGATTTCGACCGGGGTCGTCCTTTGGCGAGATTTTATTGGAGGGAACACGCTATCAATAGGCCGGCGCCCGGGTTCTACTTTCCGGGTTCAACATTCGTCCTCTTTCCGCACCACGCATCGACGACCGCTAACTTCTTGGATGTGCAAACCATTTGAGTAAGTAGGTTCTGACCATGGGAGAAGAGGGGGCGACCACGCCTTTTGTCACCAGTTACCATGGCTATAACCTTGCCGATTCGATGCTGGTTGAACAAAGTTTATTCACCAGGGCCTGACCTTGAGCCTGACTTGGCCGCCGATGTTCAGCTCCGACAGCTCCGACAACAAAAGCACGCCTTGTTTTGCGCCAGCGAGCCCGCGGAAACCGGCGCCGCGAGCAAACCGTGAGGCCGAGGCGAACCACCTAACCAAGTCACGACTACTCGAAATAACATTCCTTTAGCTACACTATACCCTATAGGTGTCCCTAAGGAAAATGGTCTTGCAGAATATGTGTTTGTTTGGGAAGATACAGCGATCTATGTTTACTAAATTACTCTTGACCTATTGAACCACCTTCTGTTTTGCATGTGCGCTTCAACCTTGCTGTTTTCCCTTGAACGGCACCAATTCCCGCTTTTTCAAGTCCTGGCCTGGTGGAAAAGACAAAGATTCGAGTTGCCAAAGTTGCGTCTTCTAAGAAAGGGCCCTCTGAATTTGTGAGCACGGGCCTTTTAAACCACCTATGGCCTAGCCCACTACTCGGTTGGCTTATTGGAACATATTGGAACTGTTTGTGGGAAGGATAAGTAGGACCCCAATGTTCATTTCTGCAAAACTCATAATAATTCCAAAGCCTGAACCAAGTGATCCCCCGAAAAGAAACAACAACAAAAAGGACCTGCATCATGCTAACCTCGCATTCTTCCCAGCGCTCGCCATACAAATCGCAGACATGTCATGCACTTGGACCCGACGTTTCCGCCCGCGGTCGCGCCCCAAAAGGGCCTCAAGCCCCGAGGGCGGGAGCGGCTTTTTGCCGGGGCCAAGGCCCAAGTCCGGAGTGAGGCTCTGAATTGAGAAACTAGGTCCTCCAGTAGAGAAAATCGAATCAGGGTACCCACTTTTTTCCGGTTGTCTTTTTTAGTAGGCGGTTCACCCTCCCAACCCAAAAAGGGGTGAAAGAGCGGGCACCTAGCTGGGGGGCCTGGGAAAACGCCACCGCCAGACTCTCGCCGAGCACATCCCACGGAGGCCCGCGAGCCGTGAGGCTCACTTGCCGTCGGTGCGCGGCCGCGCGGCCGGCGGCGGCCCGCCGACGGCGAAGGTGTCCGGCAGCAGCGCCGCGGCCCCGGCGCCGCCGCCGGACCAGCCCAGCATGGGCCCATCCTCGGCGTGGGGAGTTTCTGAAGCTGGGGGGTAGGGGGGGATGGGCACGCGATGGCACGCGCCGGCCCTCTTTCCAAATGGCATTGGCGGACCCCAACTGCCTTAGACGATGACATCCCGAAAAAGGGAACGTTTTGGCCAAATCAAAACCCACCTGCTTGGATACCTGGAATCACTGGAGACCTGTTGCAGGGTTCACGACACTATCTTGCTCTGACGAGTGGCTGTCCTTCCAGTCTTCTGCTGCCATTTCGCGCTTTTGCACGCTACCCACTTTGCTCAACCGGACAAAATGCGAGTCGCGCCGACTATCCGGCCCTGAACCCTGAACACCACCACTGCACCCAGTTGCCTTTTTTTGTGATAACGGGTCTTTGACTCAGCCTCGAAATCTTGAGGGGGGCTCACAATTTCTCCAATCATGCGCGTTGAATTTGAGATTGCAAGCATTCCAGTCAGTCTGAAAACAAACCAATGCGACACAGGCAAATCCCGCCTATCGCCCTTCTCACCTCACTGTCAGCGTTGCAAGCAGGCAGCCCCAGTCAAGCGTACAAAGGGAAAGTGTGCAACGACGATCCTGCTGTCACAAAGCCAAGAACCCAAGCCACCAAGGCAACATTGCTATGATGCCTGCACAACATTGCCATGCGCATTCATCGCTTTCTCTCCTTTCCCGTTCTGTACACTGTACTGCGCGTGCAGCGAAATCAGTCTACCGTTAACATGCTCTGTCAAGCTCTAAACAGACAAGAACACAAATTTGAACCAAAGTTCCACGGACACTCGCGCCGTAGCCGCGTCTGCTGGGCAGCCGGAAAAGGGTGCGTGGAAAAACAATAGCTCCTCGAGCGTGTGCATGTCCAGCCAACTTGACTCCGCCTAAGCCTACAGTCTCTCTCCGAGTCTCTGCCGGCTACATCTCTACTGAATGACCAATCGCACGAACTTGTCGTTCTTGAACAAATGCGCGATCTTCGACGGGCTCTCGCCCCCCTGCGCCACCCACTTCTCCCAAAAAGAGGTGCGGAGCAGCTGCAGAAAGAGGCGCTTGCTTAGGGCCATGTGAGCCCCTCGGGGGTATCCGCCCTCTGGAACTGTCGGAAACTCCTCGATGGATTGCCGGTCCTGCCCGGCAAACAGCACTCTCTCTTCAAAGAGCGTCATGCATCTGAAACGGTGTGCCTCAGCAGTGTCGGCGAACACATCTGCCAGCTTCAGGAAGCCAGTCGGAGCCTTGGACTCTCCATCTTTATCATCCTCCTGGATTGTATCGTGGGCAAAGCAACGGACGGAATGACCACCGCCATCTGCAAAGCTCAAGCTGACAGTAGAGAAGCCACAACATCCTTCCCAAACGTCTTGAAAAACCGAATACCACCTGCTCTTCGGCCAAACTTTCGCTCTCTCAATGGCAACATCGGCTTCGATGGGTGCTTCATTCCTGTCACTTCCTTGGCCGTAAGAATGTGATGTTCGCGCCCATCTTCGTGGTCCACCTCCAAGGTGCTAAACAAGACCTTGTCACATGACTTGGATGCACGCAAGAAAGGGCCGAAGCGTTTTGCAAAGTCCTCTCTGTTGTTGTTATCAACGCGGGGGATGTTGACCGTAAGCTCTGTTGGCTTCACATCCTTCGCCATGTCCTCTTGTCCAAAGGGCAAGCGGGTTCGTAAGATCTCCCGGCTGCGTGGATCTTGGGCAAAGGTCACCAGAGATAGCAGTGAGTTGGCCACAAAGCCACGATACGCACAAGCCTCAGCCTGGGAATCAATGGTGCGTTGCAGCTCACTACTTCCGACGAGTAAAAAGCGGCCATCCCGTAGGAGAAAAATGCCTTGGAGTTGGCGCGTCCAGAAAGTGTACTGGAACCAAGCTGCATTGAGGGACAAAATCGCCAAGACATCATCCGGTAGCTTGGGTGCCGCAAGACTCCCATTATACCCGGGCACTGCCTCTAGTTCGAAAGGCATTTCCAGCGGCACTTCCTTGGCCTGGGGCGCGTAGCCTGCAAGATCCGCAGCTTGCGGAGCTGCCGACTCAGGTTGATCAGCCGCGTCCGAATTGTCTGCCTCTCGCGGCCAGTCAAAAAGCTCTCCCAGGCAGTCCCACCACAAGCACTCCGAGTTGAAGGGCTCGATGGAACAGCGGTAGTCTTCATTGTCCGCGCCCGGAAAAGGATCCGCGCCAGGTGCTGCCAATGAGCAGGGCTCCACAGATGAGATGCTGGCGGTCGATGGCCGCTTGCCGTGCCGAGTCCCTTAGGCACAAGTGCCAACGCAGCAATCGGTTAAACTCCTCCAGGTCGTTGCTATGTAGCCGGGCAGGCAACGAATTCGACTCAAAGGCCTTGCATCAGATGCTTGGGCTGTCTGGGCCTGTGAGACCTGAGCACCAAAGGCCTCATTTGCAGGCAAATAGCTGAGGACCTGTACTCGCTGGGGATTTGTCACCAGCTTAGCCATGGAAAATGCTATCGAGCAACAATCGATATCTAGGCTGCAACTACAAGCATAAATCTTGAGCCAAAAGGGCATGAATGATACGATTTTGCAAGAGCAGCATGGTATTATGGGGAGGTTTATCCTTCCACTCAGGCCCAGGAGCAAGGCTGTGGGTTTTGGGCCATCCGTCACGAATGTTTGCCCCAGTTGGTATGTCTCACTTTAAAGGACCGGGAAGTGTCCAAGGTTCACGTCTTGGGACGGCTAAGCACGAAAGGTGCAGAACAGCCACCCTCCCGAAAACAAACATGGGTTGTCTTGGCATAGGGGATTCCCCAAAATATCCCTCGGTGTCCGTTTGAAATCACTCCAAGATACCACGAAACTCTAGGGGAACCTTCCCCATTCTTTCCAGGGATCCTTCTTTCTAGAAAACCTCCGGAAATGTTGGGGAAACGGCTGGTCTTCGGAAAGAACGATGGTTGAAAAGAATGGACAAGGAATCGACCCCTAGAGCAAGAAAGGACACCCACATGGAGCTGAAAGAGAGGCGCCGTTCAGTCTTTGCCATGCACACCTTCCTCTAGGTCCTCCAGTAGAGAGGTTAGAAAAAGGGTACCAACTTTTTCGGTCGTCCATTTTAGTAGGGGAACC